GAAGTTAATTGTGTTGATGCAAGTTTTAAAAAATCAGCGTTTTAATATGAGATGGTGTATCACCATTAGATGAGGTTGAAATTCCCTAAACAATTCTGATTGTGGTTCAAAAAATTGATGTTATGAAAAATACCTTTTAAGAATGTTTCCTTTGCTTATTTTAACATTTACTCCACTTATCTTTCTCTTCTCTTTACCCCCAACCCACTTGCTTTCTTTTCTAGATCTGTGCTTGTTTCTTCTATCTTCTGCAGAACACAAATTGAGGTTGTGAAAGGTGCTATGGAAGTGTGATTTTTGCCTCTCTCCACTGCATTAGCTAGCTGCTATAAAGAGAAGGAAGAACTTCTCCTCTGCTCACCTGGGCCGGTAATGTGAAATATACTTTGCAGATTTTATGTCACTCCTTCTGGGCTCTGTGCATGAATGTGCATCACCAAAAGGAAAACCTTTCTCAAGATTGATGTGATTATTCTGTGTAATACTAAGAGGCCTCTAATACGGTAATCGTTTTCCTCTTGTATGGATTGTTAGCACAGTTCTGTTTTCTTTATTTTAAAATATCACTTTAGAATGTTTACATCTTTAGTAAGTAAGCATAGTAAGTAAGCACTCTGGCTTCTTTCCCCTGGTTACTTTCTTTTAATGTGCAAGCAAAATAACAGCATAATATCAGGCATTAGGGAAGTAGAACATCAAGGTCAGAGAGATACCTTTGCTTTAGCCTCCATTGCTTGTACTTGCCAACAAGCTGCTCTCAACAAAGCTGTAGGTCTGAAGACTGTATTGAGATCAGAGAACCTGTCAAATATCTGTAAACATGCAAAGGAATGTTTGCACCATGTGACCAATGGTCAAGGTCAGCATTGAGAGTCTGCAGTAGAATCACTATCAGGCAATGCAGATATTATCAGCCACAACATAAAGGGCTGCCCAGGCCCTATAGACGGTGCAGAGAAGAGCAACATGGATGATCCCCAGTGTTCGAGGAATGAGCTATGAGTAACTCTTAGATAACCTAGGACACTTCGGGCTTGCAAAAGTCATCTCCGAGGGCTTTAGAGGTATAGAGGTGTTCAAGATTTTAAACTCAATTGGAAAAGTAAACCTACAACAATACTTTTAGATATGCCAAGATTGTCAAATAAGCGCACAAGTTGCAATGGACAATTTCAGGACAGATATCAGGATGTTTTTCTTTACCCAGAGGCTAATTAACGACTGGAACCGCTAATCAGGATGGGTGATGTACCAATAAGTCTTGCGAGCAAGTCAACTCCATGCTGGAAATGGAGGTAGTTATTAGTGAAAGGCAGAAGTAATGAGAGAAGTGGATGATGAATCAGCTTTTTTTTAAATGTTTTAGTTTGGTTAAAGTAGGGTAAGTAAACATGAATACAGTTGGGTTAAAAAAAGTATCTAAACTTTTTTTGAAAGCATAATTTCTTTTAAAATTGAAACTTTGCTTTGCACCCAATGGTTAGCTATAGCTGAGGTAGAGACTGTTAATGTTTTGAACGCACGCATTGGCTGTGAACACATTGAGGTGTCCAAGATTCACTCAAACCTTTGCCAAAGAAGGCTTTTTACCCTCCTATTTTAAAGTCTCTCCAGCTGCCACATTATGTTTCATCTGGAGAATCTGGATATAGACTTCAATGCATGATTACTGACACTTCATAAATTGGAGGCATTGTGATGTGCGTAAAGTGAAATGGGCATTGATACTTATCTAGGGTACTAGGAAGTTTCCACGTTGAACCTCTCCAATAAGGGTTAAAGAGGTTACTTTGTGACATAGGGAAAATCTGTAATAAGCACATTGTCTTATGAATTTGACTTGAAAGAACCCAGTGCAATTTTTCCATTGGCAAGCCAGACATTTGCTGTCTTAATGCATGCTCCACTAACCCTGGATCGGTACATGATGGTTAACAGAGTTTACAGGTTCTTGGAGACTTCCACTGGCAGAGGAAGCAGTGTATGAAACTTTAACATTGGTAATAAAAACAGAGCTAGCATTCATACAGAGTGCTGGAGTGCAGCCCTGCGAAGCTTGTGTTTTGGGCATTAATTTGTAGCTCTGATGTCAGCTCTGGCAGCTCTTATGCTGCTGTTCAAGCCCTAATCCTCTAGAGCTCTATCAACTGGCCACTCCTTTCTGAGGTTTATGGAGGAACTTAGCTTAGCAGTAATTTCATATCTGGAGGGCCTCAGGGATTTTGTAGGCAATGTTTACTTCACTAGAAAACAGACACACAGCAAATAAAATATGATGCATTTCAATAGTTTTGCAATTTAATATTTCTTTGGATTGCCGAGTTGTACCGCTTTTGTCACCATTGTTTGCCACATTGATTCTTTCGTCTACAAAATGCAGTTTACAGCACATCCTGTGAAACACTTTGAGATGCCCATCCACTATATACAATGTAAGGATAATTATTATTTTCAGCTCTCCTATGGTCTGTTAACTTTACCCTGCCTGTTTCATCAGTCTTAATTTTCTCACTCTATATGCTTTCTATTCTACCCTTTGGTTCCATGCTCATGTCCTTGCTGTTGTGATTCATTTTCTCAATCACATCAAAGATCATTTCTGTTTCAGCATTTTTTATTGGATTAACTACAAATCCTGGTAGTTCTTCCATGTATTTTAGTATTGAAGATGTGGATGGAAAAAATCAGAATGTTCATTTTAAGATGTTTTGACATGATATTGTGCTGTTCATTTTTTGTGTGGTTGTGAGTCATATTGGCTTGGAGAATCCCAGGCTTAAACTCTGGTCTCTGCTAAGATTGATGATCTCTAGCCAGCTGGTCTTTGTATACCAGGACTAAGGAAGAGGGGAGGGGAAACTTTCCTGAATGTATTCACTGTCCAATGTGTAACCTGTTGGAAGGGGATCTGTGCAACCATGTCTTCCCCTCAACTCCGTGAGTGAATAGCCCAGGGAAAGTTCCAAAAGCCTACTTCAGATCCACATCCTCAACATGAGTTAGTACATTCAGGATTTATAAAAAGCCTATGATACAGTTAACTCCTAATAACTTGACCCTGACTCCTAATAACTTGTCACCATCCTGTCAATATAATTTATTTATGTGTGTATTCACCTACCTAACTTGCCATTCCGGATAACTCATCACCGAGCCCCTTTCTCTTGAAGTGATGAGTTTACTTGTATTTCTATAGAATATTTGAGTATACAACAGGATGATAATTTAATAAACCTAACAGCTCATAGTAACCATACAATTCTTAAGGGTAAACTTTGATTGTAAGTTTGATTTTAGTAGTCTACAGGAACTGTGACTCAGAAGCGGAGATAAGAAGTTATTGCCACTAATGCTTGTTTATATGAAGTTCCATGTTATCAGCGAACTAAGTAGTTACCAACACTCAAGAAAATCAGAGGAAGTTCAGAATCCTGATGTGGGGAGAATTACTTTTAACTCTGAACAATGTACTTTTTCAAAAAAAAATCTGTTTTGGTTTCATCTAACAGCCTTTTGCTGAAGTGCCTGGATACTTTGATTTAAGTAAGATGTAAAAGAGTGCTGTGGTAAAATTATAGAATTTTTCAGCAAACAAGGAAGCTATTTGGCACAGTTTGTCCATGCTTGGCTCTCTGTTTAGTCCCACCCCCACCTTTCCTCCCTTCCCCCCCCGCCATTTGTTTTGGTTGCACAATAAGACAAAATGTCTTTGAATCGTGCAATCCTCGTGGTTTCTTCTATTTTATTACCAGATTTACTATGATCGTTTGGAAGATAATTTGAGTAATTTACCATTTCTTCAGGAAAAGCAGATTGAAATGAAGGATATGGTGGCAGAAGTGATGTTGAACACAGTTGAGTTAGATCTTGATTTTAATGATTGGTGATCAGTGACCAGAGGGTATCAATTTATTATAGCTAGGAAACAACAACAACAAGATTCCATTTATTGAGCGCCTTTCACGTCGGGAGGACGTCCCAAGGCGCTGTACAGTTGGGTCAGGACCCGAGCAGGGGGGAAATGGTCAGGGTGAGGGGAGGGAAGGGAGGGAGCGAGGAGGGGTAGAGAGTCGAGAGGGGAGCTGAAGGCACGGTCAAAGAGAAAGGTCTTGAGACCGGCCTTGAAGGAGGAAAGGGAGGAAGCGGCGAAGGCACTGGGGATAGAGTTCCAGAGCCTCGGGGCTGAGAGGCTGAAGGCCCGACCACCGATGGTAGGGCGGTTGGGGCGGGGAATGTGGAGCAGACCGGAGCCAGAGGAACGGAGGGTACGGGCAGGTAGGTAGGGGGATAGTAGGTCAGAGAGGTAGGAGGGAGCGAGGCCGTGAATGGCCTTGTAGGTGAGGATGAGGATCTTGAATTCGATCCTCTGGGGGATGGGGAGCCAGTGGAGGCGAGCGAGGGTGGGAGTGATGTGGTCCCGAAGTCTGGTGCGGGACAGTACACGAGCTGCAGAGTTCTGAATGACCTGCAGTGTGGAGGGAGGTGCCGGGAAGGCAGGCGAGGAGAGAGTTCCCATAGTCCAGCCTTGAGGTGATAAAGGCGTAGACCAGAGTTTCAGCCGCGTGAGGGGTGAGGTAGTGCCGTAGTCTGGCGACATTCAGGAAAGAAGCAAACGGGGAGATAAGTAGAATTTGTTTCACGCAGAGTTGTTAGGATATGGAATACCCTGCTGTGTGCGGTGGTTGAGACAGAATCCATATTAGCTTTCAAAAGAAAACTAGATAAATATATTTTTCTTAAAAAAAGAGTAAACTGCAGAGGTATGGGGAAAGGGCAGGTAAATGGGATGGAAAGGATTGCTATTTAAAAGAGCCAAATCACGATGGGCTGAATGGCCTTCTTCTGGTCATCAGATTTCTATGGTTCTCATTTTGCTCTTAATGCAACTGATGTTCCCAGTTTAATCATCATTTTTTTTCAAAGAGTTTCAGAATGGATTTCATGATGATGATGATGATGAGTTGGACTTCTGTGTTTATTTTTCTGATTTATCTTTTCAGCATGGCGAGGAAACCTTTAATCGGGCTAAGATTCTCAACGTAGGTTTTGTGGAAGCTTTGAAAGAATATGACTACAACTGTTTTGTGTTCAGTGATGTTGATTTGATTCCCATGGATGACCGAAACCTCTACAAGTGTTACAGCCAGCCAAGACACATAGCAGTGGCAATGGATAAATTTGGTTTCCGGTGAGATTAACAGTGTCTGCATTTTTTTAAAATAGAAAAGAGTACAAAGATTGGTTATATTTAGTTCATTGAGTTTCTAAATACCTTCAAATTTGAAACCTGCTTAAAGTAAAATCTTTTAGAAGAATAGCCTTGGCTGGATCTTTTCTTCTTCGATTTGCAACGCATATCAAACATGCAATGATTTGATGACTGGTTGCCATTCTTGACTGCCATATGACCTGTGCAGCAAGCCAATGTCAATACAGATCACAATACCGACAGCAGCAGAAATGAACATTATTACTCCATTGTTCACAAGATAGGGTACATTTTATTGATTAAAAACAACATAACTCTTGAGTATGAGATAACTGCTCTTCAGGCGTCTGTACCATTTCTTTGATCCTGCCAGCTGGTATTCTGGTCCAGGAGGTGACATTTGTAAATTACTCTGTAGGGGAGGTGAGCTCTGACATACAGAATTAGGTATTTATTTGAGTATTATAGAGTATTTTTCTTACAATCCTCCTCCATTCATACATGAAACACATTGAGATTTCATCAGGGTACATTTATTTTGTAATCCCATTTTACGTCCAAATCATTAATATACAAAATACAGCCAGATCACTAAGTCCTGCCAATTTCAGAAACAGGATCTGCTTTCCGTGTCCCTCAGCCATCCTTCTAATTACTCTACTATTTTATCTTTACTACTGTGACTTTCAAGATTTCAATGAGGAAATCAAATAACTTCTAATTCTCAGATGCCATGATGATATTTTACAATTCGTTGAATGGGTGCACCTCGGAACTATATGTACAGTATGGGATAATGTAATACATGGAGCCTCCTAATGGTAGTACAGAGAAGAGCAGGGTGAAACTGGCTGATCTCCAGTGCTAGAGCCACAAGGAATAACCAGATCAGTTAGGGAGCTTCAACTTCACAAACAGATACATTTTAATTGAGGTATTAATAGGATAAAGAAAGTAAACCCTTAAAAAACTTCCAGGTCTACTAAGCGAGCAAGAGAGTCGAGCAGATGTTGAGGCATCTTTAGGGCAGGACATTAGAAATTATTTCTTTACGCAAGTAACAGTTGGAATGGATTATTAGGGCAGTGATCAAGGCCAGGAAACCAGACTCATTTTAGAAACAGCTTGATTTGGTAATGGGGAAACTGTAGGTAAGGATGAGGTTGGTAAGGATGAGATCAAATAGACTCAAAGGCCTTCTTTATTCAAAAAATTTTGCCCATTGATGTGAAATGATCACTGTTTTGTAACAGATCTTAATTAGGTGTGAATCCTTGTCCTTTGAAAGTAGACTATTGGTTTCCATGATCTCCAAGACATGCCGAGTAGATTGAAAAGCATAATGTTGCAAACTAACTGAAGTTGACATATTAGAATTCACAATTTGGTGTGGGTTCAGCAATCACTGAGTGCTGTTGTAACTTCTAGACGATTATCTTTATTACCACCATTGCATAATGAACTATATGTATCAAAAGAATAAAATACTGGAGATCATACTAAATAAGATAAGAATAGATAAGTTCCTATAAAGATTTAAGCATGAAAATATTAGGGGAGAATAGGAGAAATCAAGAATTATAAAGACTATTATTAAATCTTATTTTTTTTTCAAGCTTACCATACAATCAGTTCTTTGGAGGTATCTCATCTTTGAGTAAAGAACAACATGAGAAAATCAATGGATTTCCCAATGAATATTGGGGCTGGGGAGGGGAAGATGATGATATCTACAAGAGGTAGGTTTTTGTTTGATTTATTGTACAATCCATGTGAAATTGTGCCAAATTGACAATCATTTGACAAAATGGTTTTCTTTTCCTCACTTTGCTTATGTAGCATAAGTGATACAATCTCTCCCATTGGGTTTGAGCAGTGAAGCCAAGACAAATTTAGTGTTTCACATGGATTGTACAAGGCGGGTGCTGCTTACAGCTTAATTTATTGTGAAAACACAAACACAACACAAACACAAATCTCCAAACAAAACTACTGATAATTCCACATATGTTTGATTTCTGTTTGTCTAGTATTGAGCCACACTGTCCACCCAGAAGGTGTGCGTAATACTTATCTAATCCCAAGAATTAACTATACAGATTTCCAAGATTTCTCCAGGCTAGAAAGTGAAATGCTTAAATTTTTGTTTCCCATCTGTCTAATCCTTTTTCTTTTTTTAGGATAATTTTCAAAGGCATGGGAATATCAAGGCCAGATGGTGTCATAGGAAAATGCAGAATGATAAAACATGAACGAGATAAAAACAATGAACCTAATCCTCAGAGGTGAGCTGGTTACTACTCTAAACCAAACAGAGCCTGTATGCCTGTAGACACACATTTAAATATTATCCAGGAAAGTGGAGAGGATGCTATCAAGAGCATGTAATCAGTTTCATACTGATTGTTTTGCCTCTTCCTCCAGTACTCTAATTTTTAGTCAAGTTTTCAACACTTCAAAGAAAGAAAAAGCTTGCATTTTTATAATGCTTTGAAATGTCTCAAAGTGCTTCACAGGTAATTACAGTCAAATGGAGTAATTGTTTTTGAAGGAATGCTTGGCCATACATGGAATACAGCCAGTTGCTCCAGCAAGATCCTAAATTGAGATGAATTTATTTGGAAGGTTGTTGATGAGAACCGGTGTCCTGCCTAACAATCTGCCAGACTGTGAGCTCTTATTAGCAAAAAAGGCTGTTTTGCTTGCCTACAAAACAGCTGTAACATTTGACAGTAGTTACTTGTGATGTCCTTTGAGACATTTAAACAAGGTTTATTGTTGCCATTGACCACCCAAAAGGTTTATTGTTGCCATTGACCACCCAAAAGGTTTATTGTTGCCATTGCCCACCCAAAAGCAATGAAACCATTTTTAAAAATAAATGATTTCCTTTGATATAGTAAGGATTTATACATTCCAATCCATCAAAGACTTATTGTACATTAGATTAAAGTTTAATTGTTTTGAATTATTTGTTTGCAGGTTTAACAAAATTTCAAATACCAGACTGACAATGCAGAATGATGGTCTGAACTCACTGAAGTATCGAGTAATAGAGATCAAGAAGTATCCCTTGTACACCTTTATCGATGTGGACATTGGTGGGCCTGGAAGGCCACCTTCCTTGAGTTAACTAAGATGCTGAAGAAATTCCTTCCTTCCTTTCTCAGCTACATCTGGATTTGTCAAATCCAGGAACTTCCTCTTCATGTTCTATTCCATATATGTGCCTTATTCATTGCCCTCTATGTGTCTTAGTATGTTTATCAGATTTGATGGTGAAGTCTTGCTTCACAATTTCCTATACAATTTATTTGTTTATATGAAGTATATTTTAAATGACAAAAATGTTTTAAGAGGCAATCTACTCTATACTTGGGATAGATAATATTTTTTAAACGGGGGTATCCCATCAATTCTGTATTTAAAACCACTGCATTCTGCATTCTTCAAAACATATACATACCTCCTTTATATATCCTGTGCCTATATTAGGAATTCTTAAACATATTCTGGAAAATTTACTGTTATAAAAATATTGCCTACTGTCATTTGGGCTAAGGTAATTAACTTTTTGCTTCTATTTCCCCCGATACACAGCAGTGCAACAAGGAATATTGTGGTTACCTTTGGAACAACAACAATTTGCACTTATATAGCGCCCTCCACACAGGGTAGCGTCTCAAAGAGCATCGGAGGTAACACTTAACTTACGTAAAAGTTGGTGTAAAGTACCTGGCACTGCACCCTCCAGGTAACTGTTTCCTTTCGGCTCCTAGTGCCTAGTTTTTAATCTGAGATGGAACATTTATTTTTGGTAAATTTTCGATCCTACATTGTTAAACTCTACCAAAGAAGATTGACATTTCCACTTTACTTGGCCCCAAATACAATTAGCAATCAGCCTGGCCCAAGGAGACTGACAAATATCTTAATGAAAAAACTTACTTGCAGGCCAATGAGCTACAATTTAGTTCTTAAATCTTAGAAATTCACAGATTTTAAAAAAGTTATTAAGAGCTGGAAGAAAATAAATCAATTTCCCAGAAGACTGTGCTGTGATCTGGTGTTTTAGGTCAATGCTAAATGAGGAACTGCACAAAATGTATTCCTTCATCTCTTTGTGAACTTAACTACTCAAACCTAATTCTTAGCTTGATTTTTATCTTACCGATGGCCTAGTAAGTAGTGGTTCAGTCCTGGTTTAGCACCTGCTGTATGGACCTTAACTCACAGGGTGGATTTCCATTCTGTATTAACTCCCAAGTGGTGTTTCAGTTGATATTATTGTTCCTTGGACTAGAAAGGGTAAATCGCCACCATTGCTGGTTCCAATGGCCTCTGCTGTTATGTGCACTGTGTGGATTTTAGGAAAAGATAAGATCAGGTTCCGCTATAATATCCCCATGGCTGTGCCATCTGCCTGGACTCAAACCTGAGGTAACCCTGAAATTGTAGTTCATGATAGAGTCAACACCATCAGGAGAAGAGATGAGAAATCTGGCTCAAAACTTTTTTTTAATAATCTTGTTGCTTTGAGAGTAGGAACATGTTCTAGCTTCTTATAAGATGTGCTAATTGCCCCAGGGGTACTTTGCAGATATGACAAATAAACAAACTATGAATTTTACTAATTTTAAATGTAGGGCGTGATAGCAAATAGTAAAATGAGGAAATAATGTAGGCTTCTTATAGGAGAACATTTGCCCTCCCAAAAATGGTTGAGGAGACATGAAGGATTTTAACAGTAGAAATTATACCACAGGGAATACACATCACTGCACACTGATAGCAAGCCTTATCTGAACATGCATCCAATTTAAGCAAAATATACAAGGAGGAAATAAATGTTTCTGACAGCTAAAGCATTTTAAGAGTTAAATGTCAACAAAATTCAGCTAATATTACCAGCGTTTGTGCCAAACTTAAGCAGCTGTCTGCTTCCTGTTTTCCAGGAGCTTTTACATTTTGACTGCCCTACTGCTTTTCGATCTCGTGACTTCTCTTTACTAAGAAACCCAGATGACTTTTCTGTTACATTTTCCATTTTATTCCATTTCTCCTCTTAGGTTTGCAGTTACCTTTAATCATGTTCGCCTTTTGTGGCTTGTCATGTACCAGTGCACAAAAGAGCTCCCAGCTGCTGGCCTGCCTTCCCCTAGGACAATCCTCTTTAGTTCTAAACATTTCCCTATGTTATTGTGAAAGTCTGAATTCAACCAAGCAAACTTATGACATTGTGCTGTATCTCTAAATACATCGTATTTAGCTAATTATTCCATTACTTCCTATTGAACATTTTCTCTACCCTGTTGCTCATGACCTGGACTCCTTGCTTCTGTTAAGAAAAGATTATTCCAGACCAGTGGGAGTGTTATCTGTGCCGACCACATAGCAATACATGGCGTTCCCTGGTGCCTAATATCAGAGAACCCTGCGCCTAAATTAAATTTAAAGTGCTAACATAATAGGCCATCTCTGATCTTCTAATCATCTCAATATATATTATTCAAGCCAATAAATGGGAACTGTATATGTTCCAGTTATCATCTTTTTTGGTGGTGGGAGGGGGTGAGGAAGGAGAGATAAGCTGGCTGTGAACTATTGGAATCAAGTCTTGATCATCTGAGAAAGGCAGGTCCACCACAGTACTTAAATAAACTATTGATGACAGACCAGCCACCTCGCTCATCAACAGGACGTAGAAGGTAGCAGTCACAGCAGAAAATCTTCCCACGTAGCTTTTCTTAATCCTGCAAGCCAACATCTTAATGGGGAGAGTGGTCTCAGCTGCACAAACAGTGAGAAACATGCCAATGGCAAGCCATGTGCTACACACTCTGAGGTCCCTGACCCTTGACTTGCCAACTTACACTTCATACTTTCCAGAACTAAGTAAGCAGGAAGCATCTCTCCAGGGGGTATGTATATTTCATTTCAGATGCAGCAACAAGGTTAAGGGAGTAGAGATTGATGTAGGAATGTGCTAAATGCGGAGCATTGAAGGAGAAATCAGATGGCCCTGTCCTATTCTGGTAAGAGTCAGTCTAGCGCAGTTGGTAGCACTCTTGCCGCAGGGTCAGAAGGTTGTGGATTTGAGCCCCACACCATGACTTGAGTTATTATATTTGGCTGACACTCCAGTATAATGCATTGTGGAAAGTGCTACCTCTTCAGGTGAGTTTGTCTGGATTTGGTGAATCGTTAAATTCCTAATTGGGTTGAGGTAGGCGCATATTAGTTGTTGCAATCCTGCACGTCAAAGTCACTGCACATCAAAAGGTTATAGGTTCAAGTGCCATGTTGGGATTTTGAGCTCAGAGTCGAGTGGCACTCCAGTGTAATGCACTCGGAGATGCCGTCCTTCGGATGACACGTTATAAACCAACGCCCCAACTGCCTGTTCAGATGCATGTTAAAGATCCTTGGCCACAAGTCAAAAAGAGAAGTGAGTTTCTCCCATTGTCCTGGCCAACAATCCCCCAAATAAAATTCACTTCGTTTCTGCTGTGCACACATTGGCCTACAAATAGTCACTATACTTTACAGTAAATCTTCTGCAATGCTTTGAGATGTTTTGGTGATGTGCTACTTGAAATGCAAGTACTATTATTAGTACCTCATGAGAATTAAGTTGCAATATTTCAACATAAGTAGCTTTATCAAATGTATTTCTTTTAATTGTTATGTTCCATCTGGCTGAAAAGTATTTGGGTTCAGGCTAGAAAAGCTGTTTATATATTCTATCACTCATACAGAGTAGCTGTCGTTTCTAACATCTTTATTGTGGTTTGTAACATTGGGATCCAAATATTTTCACATGAAAAAAAATGAACAAGTTACTTCAGTTATATAGGCAAGTTTATCCAGCTACAAATCAGATCCTTCATCAATTGGACTGCAGGAAAGCCCGTTACTGAATAATCTGTTGCATATAACAATCACCTAAACAAACTTCTATTTACATTTGATTATTCTGTCTTAGAATCGGTCAACTAATGTCGGAAATGGTTTCAAAATTTGCATTTAATTTTTATGATTGGCCTTTTTACTCACTGAATGGTCTGAAATTTGAAAATATGATGGATGAGATGTAATTAAATTTCTTTAGTTATAACTTTTACATAAGATTTTTAAATATACTGAATATATTCAAAATAAATCAGGACAATATAACCAAAAATGTGATCAGAATAACAAATAGCATCTCTGAGCTGCAGATAGTGACAGCAAACATAAGTGTTTTACTTCAACCTAGAACTCTGCCTCAGATGTCAGTTGCATCCAAGCAGAATTCTTGCAGGTCAGTGATCCTCATTTCCAGCAGAGTTGCTACTTGCGACTTCTGTTGCTTTCAATTTGGTTACTGTTGTTAGTTAAATGTTGGGTGAATAAACCCTTGTGCACGCGCATTTTTATAAAGCAGTGTGTGAATTTTCTTTTAAATCCTAGTTGAAATTCTTTGGAAAATATTGCTGGTGATTTGTAGGTTTTAGGGTTTTACAAACTAGCTGGTACAACTCTGTCTTGTTAGATCACAAGCTATTGCACATATTCTACAGATGTGTCCTGGCCGGCACTTAAACAGACTAGGCTGCTCAATGCAGCAATCAGTCTACTTCTACCAGACATTACATCTGGATCTTGCAAAACAAAATATAGTTCAGTAGCACAGAACTCACAGTTGTGCTCCCTATAATGTCCTCCTTTTACCTAGGACTACTGTACTTGATCAGTATCCTATGATATGTGAAGGATATGTGGAGTCCTGTGGCTCAGTGGTTAGAGCACTCGCTTTGCAAGCGAGAGACCTGAGTTCAATTCCAGGCAGAGCGAAACCTTGGGCAAGTTTCCTTACTCCACACGCCTAATAATAATCCCTCCAAAACAAAAGAATAATAAATTGGTCATTTTCAATCCACGACTGTTTGTGGGACATTGCTGTGCGCAGTTGGCTGCCGCGTTTCGCTTACAAATATTCAGTCAATTCACTTTACAGCATATTCTGTGAAGCGCTTTGAGACGTCTAGAAGACATGAAAAGCGCTATGTCAAATGCAACGATTATTATTATATTGAGAATGAAGGTTATCTTCCTTGAAGAATCTGTGATTTGAATTAAAGATGTCCACATATTTCTCCCAGCCTCATTCAATAAGAGTGTGTTTTGTTTTGCTGAGAATTTTGTAATGAAAAACTAACTTTTTATACAGTAAATTCACTCTAATTCTCTTAATTTTGGAGAAGCAGCTGCCACTTGCAGCTTTACCAATAGTTCTTATATTGTAATGATAAGGCGCTGTATCAAAGCAAGGATTATTATTATTTTCAGGTGGCAAACTGGGGCGAATTTGGAGTGGGAGAGGGAGATACATTTTATGTGAAAAAATACATTATATAAATCTTGCTGCTGATGTATAACATTTTCCTTCTCCTCACCCTCTGCTTATATTCCATATATACAGAGATGAACGGCACCTTTCTGCTATTGCAAATAAGTAGGTTTCTCTGTGTAAACCCACTCAGAAAAACGGGTACTGTAAGGTGAGGGAAGGACATGTGAAACCCTATCCAAAGTTTAATCTCTGCTACAATGTTTTTCAGACTGGAGCTGTAGTTTCCAATGGATAGCAAGATCAACTATTTCTGACTGACATGTTTACACTCAGTTTTGCAAAAATTTGCACTAAGAATTAAATATGCAAACATTTTACAATGCCAAATTTTATTTCAAATGAATGCTTGTGGGTTTCAGCTTTTCCTTTTTAAAAAGGACAGAAGTGCATATTTAGGGTAACTTTGATAAGAATCTACTTTTTCAAGGTGTTGAATAAATGTGTTCGGATGTATGTTAAACAGATGGGTTATTTTAAAATTTGTTTTAGCAGGTTGTGTTTTTTTTAAATCATGCTTTGTTTCAAGAAAATAATACACGTTCAAATTGTAATGATCTTGAGGAAAACCCAGGGCAGAATTTTCCTGGTAATAAATATGTTGGTTGTTTAAAAAAAATGTTGCATGTGTTTATTTCCTGTTTTAGTTTAACACAATGACTTGATTATGGGTAGGATGATCCGTATTAGTAGAATCGGATACATGCATCAAAAGGAGACAGACGCCTGACCAAGGATCAACAGAGATAAGTAAGTATGTGAGTGGTAGGTAGGGAGTGGGGTCTAAGCAGGTTGGACGGATAGGGAAGTGCCAGGGTATGAAGTGATTTGTACATGACTTGTACATGAGGATCTTGAAATCGATAGGGAGCCAGTGGAACCTGATAGGGATTGGGGTAATGGAGTGCGGAGTTTGATTTGGGATAGAGTTGGCAGAGTTTTGAATTAATTGGAATTAATGAATAGTAAAGCTGGGATGACTTGTGAGGATGGCATTAGAAAAATTGAAGCAGGAGATGATGAATGAGTGGATCTGGGTTTTGGCTGCACTGGGTGTGAGGTACAGTTGGAGGTGGACAATGTGACAAAGCTGGGGGGAAGACAATCCTGGTCAGGGACCAGATATAGGGCAGGAGGGCAACAAGGGATCAAACCTGATGCCGAGGTTGTGCACAGGTTCAGTGAGTCTGAGGTAGGTTAAGGAGGTCGGAGCCGCAGGTGAGAAAACATGGACGGAAGCAGAGGAGCATAGCCTCCTTTTGTCAACATTCAGCTGCAAAAGTTGGTGCTCATCCAGGCCTTGATGTCTGACAAGAGGACATTGGTGGACCTGGGGTCATAACTGGAGGAGGAAAAGTAGATTTGTGTGTCATCGTTGTTAACTCTAAAGATTGAGTCTCGTGTTCTGGACACCAGATAATCAAGATTACAGAGACCAACATAGTCTAACAGTTTACTATCAGCAAACTGCAACCGTACAGAAAAGGCTGTTACTTAATCTAGAGAACACAGTACAGAGGCTTCAGAGAACTAGCTTCTCAAATCGCCTCTTTTAAACCAGCAGCTCCTCTGAGCTACCTTCATAACTTAGCTCTCTTCCGCATGTAAATGAGGAAAAGAAGGGGGCTGAGAATGGAGTTTTGGGGCATGCCTCAGGTGACTGTTTAGTGGGAAGAAAAATGGTTAGCGGAGACAGTGATGACAGTGGGTCAAGTAGGATGCCAACCAAGAGAGTTCGGTCCAACTAAAATGAGTGAGGGAGCAGAGGCAGTCAAGAAAGGTGCTGTGATCGACTTTGTCAAAAGCCGCGGAGAAATCCAGGAAAGCAGGGAACAGAGGGAGGAGAGGAGGTTATTTGTGACTTTGACAAGCACTTTATCTGCTGTGGGCAGGGCGTAATCCCGACTGGAGGGGTTAGAGTAGAGGCAGTGAGTGGAGGGAGAGGTGTGAGCAAAGTTGTTTGGCAACAATGTGTTTGAAGACTAGAAATTAAGGGCAAGTTTGAAATGACCTGGTAGTTTGCAAGGTTCGAGAGATCAAGGTGTTTTTTTTTGAAGAGGGGAGTGATGACAGCGGTTTTGAGGGGGAGTTTGACAGAGCCTGAAGAGAGGGCCTGGTTGACTGTGTCGGCCAGCAGCGGACAGCGGTTGGGTGGAGCGATTGAATGAGAAGAGTGTGTGTGAGAGAGAGGTGAGAAAGCAGGGGTGAGGGAGGGGGGGGGGGAGAGAGAGACAGAGTGATTGACAGAGAGGGAGAGAGTAGAGAGATTAAGAGTGTGAGAGTGTCCGTGTGAGAGGGGGAAAGTGAATGAGAGAGGTGACTGTTGTAAGGGTTAATTTATTTTCATAACCCTGAGGTGAAGTAAGGACTGATACAAATGTTGTACAATTAATCAAGGTTTATTAATTCAGATTAATAATTTCTAAGTAATTAAAAGAATACATCCAACTATGCTTATGTATCCACATATACTATAGTTCACAGCGATTTAACTTGACCAAACCAAATGCTGTGGGAGAGATAGGGGACCAATGTCCAATTTAATCCAAATATATGTCCATCAAAAGGTATCCAAGTATTGTATGGTTTCCAGTTCGATATCACCCAAAAGTATCCAGATATTATTGTACGTCTAGAGTTGCTTAAATCGTAGTCTTGATCTTCATTCTTTAGAAGCTGGAATATGATTCACGACTACAAATTCCAATTTCGTCCTCTCTCGAATAGATCTCCGTTTATACTGTTGATTAGGTGACCTTTCATCTATTGTCTTTTGCAAGATGGTTCCTTTGTAAAAACAAATGCAACATAGCTCTCTCCAGCTGCAGACCATTTTTCCATGAGAAAATGACTGATAAGGAATGAAAGCAGTTTGTTGTTTATAAACAGTCCTTTGTTTCTCCTCGAGCAAAGTCACAACCAACTACCTTCATATGAGATTGATCATATGTCTCAAATATATATATATATAAACATCGCAAATATAATTTGAGATATTATTTTACACATTAATTGCAGAAATCCTAGTGTGTGTGGGAGAGGGGGAGATTAGGAGAAAGAGAATGTGTGGGAGGAGGGGGAAGGGAACAGAAATAGAGAGTGAGAGAAGACAGTGATTGAGAGTGTGGAGATAGTGTGTGTGTTTGGGAGTGAGATTGAGTCAGAGAGAAGAGGGGGTTGAGAGTGATGGGAGGGGTGGGGGTGGAGAGAGACTGAGAGGAGAGGTTGTGAGGGCGAGTGAGAGAGTGCGCGCGAGAGGGAGTAGAAAGAGGGTGATTGAGAGGAATTGAGAGAGAAACAAAGAGAGAGAGCAGAGAAGTGAGGGCAAAGTTTTGGGGTTCACTGTCAGGACAGACGTTCAGAGCCTCCCAAGGACAGACACTGAGTGATGAGCTGCATTGTTTCCTCACAGAAAACTCCCTTTCCCCAGTGAGAAAATTCTATACATCCTTCATTCCATCTCCTCCCCTCTCTATCTCTGCAATTTCTCGACCTGGCCATTCTTTTAGACCAGTAAATACCAGCTTGCTGCATGCCCCACCCCTCCCCCATTTGCTCACCATCTCCAACCCCCACCATCTGCCCCACCATTGCCATTTTACCCGTTCTCTGGAGCTCTATTCCTGGAATCCCTCCAACTCGTTGACTCCCTCCCTGCTTCCAAGGCAAGTCAAGACCTAACTCTTTGACCATGCTTTTGGTCATCTTTTTCTTTCCCACCCCATCTCTCTCAGCTCCCATCCCCAGCTCAGGTGCCCAGCCGACAGTGTCAAGATGTCCTTCCAACATGAAAAAAGTGCTGTGTCAATGTTGTTATGTTTTTGGAAGGGAAACACAAATTATTGCTTATGCAGCCGCAGTGCCTTCTCCAATAGGGAATCCAGCCTTCGGCAGCCAAAAGATTGGACTCCTGGCTTAATTTATTAAGTTAGACAAGAGCCCAACCTAATATATAATTTAATGAGGGGTTCTGAGGGAAACAAAAGGGAAGAGCAGATTAGAAAGGAAAGGAGGGAGATAGAGGAAGAAAAGATAAATGAAAACATACTTAACCTGGAGGTTTGAAAATACTTATCTGGAGGTTTTTGGAACAATTTCAGATGTCCTCCTGACATGAAAGGTGGTCTAAATGTAAATATAAATAATTATTTTTTCCTAGGACTTTCTTTGAAGGATGATGAGATAGTGGTGCATTCAAAGTAATTCAGGATATATGTGTATGAAGAAACAGCACTATACACAACACACAAATAGTTTGTTATTGAAATCCAGTGCCATGATTAAAAGTATCCAAACCAGACATCCGCATGCCAACAACTGGCACTTTTTTAGCGCCCTTAGCACTTCACAGTGGCGAAGTCTTACAACAACCCAAGGGGAGAGGGATGTGACTGTAAGTGCGATCAAAAAGGTCTTTAGGCAGGATTTGAAGGTGGGGCAGAACGGGCAAGGCGGAGGGATCAAGGGAGAGCGTTCCAGAGTTTTGGAACATAATGGCTGAAGGCATGGTTGAATGGAAGGGACAATTAGGCTGGAACCAGCTGAGCGGAGACAGCGGATGCTGGAGGTCAGATAGGTAGGGAGGTGTGAGGGAATGAAGTGATTTGAAAACGAGCGAGAGGATCTTGAAGTCCTCTGATCTGTTTGGTGATTGGGAGCCAGTCAAGGATTGGTGTGATGGGGATACAGAGCTTCATGCAGATGAATATCCGGGTGGCGAAGTTTTGAATTAATTCGATTTTGTGTATGGTGGAGTTAGGGAGACCAGCGAGATGGGCGTTGGAATAGTCCAGCCAGGAAGTGACAAAGGCGTGGATGAGGGGTTAAGCTGCATCGGTTTTGAGGTACGGACGAAGGCGGGCAATGTGACGGAGGTGGAAAAAAGTGGTCCTGGTCAGGGAACAGATGTGGGGTAGAAAGGAAAGCTGGGGATCGACCCTGATGCCTAAGTTGTGCACGGGTTTGGAGAGTCTGAGGGAGAGCCCAGAGACGTTAAGGGGTTCAGACCCGCAGGAGAGAAGACGTTGACAGGAGCCAAAGAGTATGGCTTCTGTCTTGCCGACATTCAGCTGCAGGAAATTTGCACTCATCCATGCTTTGATATCCGTCAAACAAGTTGACAGGACAGCAGGAGACTGGGAGTCACAGCTGGAGGAGTACCACCGTCATACATGTGGAAGTTAAAACTGTGTCTGCGGATGGCATTGTTGAGAGGGAGCATGTAGATGTGGAAAAGGGGTCCAAGGATGGAGCCCTGGGGTACCTCATAGGTGACCAGCCGGGGGTGAGAGAAAAAAAATTGGCAAATATGAAGTGCTGGCGGTTGGTTAAGTAGGACTTGAGTATGCCACCTACACATGGGTATTTTCTTTTGGTCCTTTGAATGTCAGCATGCCTCAGTTGGTAGCATTCTGCGTCATAAGGTTGTAGGTTCAAGACCCACATCGGGATTTGGAACCCATATAGTCCATTGCAGTGTTACATTGTCAGAGGTGATATCCTTCTGATGAAACATTAAACCAAGGTCCCATCTACCTGTCCTGGTGGATGTTAAAGATCCTGTGGCACTATTAAGAAAGTAGTTTCTCCCAGTGTACTGGCAACAATCCTCTAAATAAACTTGAGTCATGTAGCTGTTGTGGGACATTGCTGAATACCAATTGGCTGTTGCTTTCACCCAATTTACAGTATATCATGTGAAGCACTTCGAGACATCAATGATGCAAAGATTGTTATAATGAGGTGTGCAGTCTCGCCCTAGTGGAATGACGGTCTCCCTTAATTCCAATAAATATTAGGTGCTGGTTTAGCACAAGTCACAGGGCATTGCTGGAGATTAACTATTGCAAGCATGTCTTGGAAGATTTGTACTGCTTGTCCAGCTAGGGCCACCCCGACTCAGATGGTAGTTCTCTAGCCTCTGAGTCAGAAGGTTGTACGTTCAAATCCCACGTCAACACTTGGAACCGACAGTCAATGAGACACTTGATCGGACACTCCAATGCAGTGCTTGCAGGATTAGAGAGAAGAATCACTGTCCTTCGTGACTGGCTGGCTCAGGAACCTGAGAACCAAGACCAACACGCCCACATCACCCACTGATACTCTATTCCAGGCACATCAGCTTAAAACCAGCTCAGCCTGGAAGACCCTGCTTAACTCCCCACTTCTTATCAGCTGACAGTTACCAGCTGGTCAGACAATGACTGCATTACTCTGAAAACCCACACCTAATATCCAGAATTGGAATCCTGTAGTGTTGTGGTTAGAGCACTCGCCTCGCAAATGAGAGGACCCAGGTTCGATTCCCGGGCAGGGTGAAACCTTAGGCAAGTTTCCTTTCTCTACAAGCATCTATTTACCTAACAGTAAGTTAGTTAACCTGTTATTAGTTGATTGATAGGCAGATCACTTTGCAGGGGTAACAATCTTTCAAAAAAAATGTGATCACTCAATCCATGACTGTTTGTGGGACACGGCTGGGCGCAATTGGCTGCTGCCCACAAAATGCACAGTCAATCCACTTTACAATATATTCTGTGAAGCACTGAGACGTCTCAATGACGTAATAAGGCACTAAATCAATGCAAAGATTATTATTATTATTGTGCTTTTGCCTGTGGGATACTGACATCATTCACTGAGGAGGAAAAACAACTCCAAACCTTCCAAAACTGCACCTGATAACCACAGATTTGTATTTGAGCACTTACTTAACTATTCATTACAGTTTTAATAAGACAAAATGGCATACACAAAATAATACATTTTGAATCATCCCTCTCCCCAAAGAAAACACTCAATCCTGGTGGTAAAACTGTAATCACTGATGTAGCTGGATAAAAACTGTCCAAACAAGACTTCCATTGGAGGCCACTGCAAAAAAGCAGATTGAAGTAACAAACCGGCAGATTGGTTGAATTCTATTCCTGTGCCAATCTCAATAAACCTGCACAGGATTATTCAGCTGCTGCTGAATTGTTGTTCATTACTTTGTAGAATGGCTGGTAGAAACGCCTTCAGTGTAATCCTCCAATATCCCAGCCATGTGGTCATTGTGAGTTTTGAATTTCCTTTTTCTCTGAGAGCCAGGTTTTTTCCTCTTCTGAATGCACATCTAGGATAAACATGCACATTTATAAATCTATAGCAGACGTTCAAATGTTAGCAATTATTTTCTCTTCCCTTTGAAGTGTTTCTTTAGTTTAAATAGCGCATGCACTCATCACTGTTCAGTCAGTTGGTAAACTTAAGACAAGCATATTTATTCCCTAAATATGACTGATAAATGCCAAGTGATAGTATCATTGGAATATTTATCCCATTGTGTTTTCTGGCACCTTTACAATTTGTATTTTTTTTATATAAAAGCAATCGTGTGGGATACAATAATTTGTATAGATAATAGCAATCTTGATGACATTAGGGAAAGCGCCTTAGGACTTCCTCCCGACATGAAAGGTGCTCTATAAATGGAATCTTGTTGTTGTTGTTGAAAGGGCAGTGTTGCTTTGTGGTAAGTGACCCACCAGCATGATGTCAGTGTGAAATTCCAGTAGAAGTTTATTAAAAATGAATCATTTGAACATGAGATGGGAATATGGCGAGACAGTTAAGAGAAGATACAACACTAGAAATATACAATAAAAAACAGAAAATGTTGGCAAAGCAGAATATTCATCATACATTTCAAGCTTCACTGTTCCACATTTAAGGTTTGGAGTCATTTAAAGTTAATGTTCATGCGTGGTTGGGGGGGGGGGGGAAGATTTGGACAGGTACTGCACCTGAAGCTCATCTACAGCTTCACTGAAACATTGATAAAAGATAGAAGGACAGAGGCTGAGTTCAAATAAAATTGGTCACTCACTCCACAGCTGCTTGTGCGATATTGCTGCGTGCAAATTGGCAGTTGGGTTCACCCACAACAAACAACAACTTGGATTTATATAGTGCCCTCCACGCCGGACGGCGTCTCAGAGCGCTTTACAGTAACGGATCCCGGGGCCGAGTCAGGGGGAGGGGGAGGAAGGTGATCAAAGGCGCGGTCGAAAAGAAAGGTCTTCAGCAGAGACCTGAAAATGGGAAGGGAGGGAGCGAGACGAAGGGAGTGAATCAGGCAGTTCCAGAGCCTCAGGGCATAGTGGCTGAAGATACGGCCGCGAGGGTGGAGCGGAGGACTCGGGGGACGAGGAGGAGGTCAGACCCGGAGGAACGAAGGTAACGGGTACTGTTTTGAGGAGAGAGGAGGTCAGAGAGGTAGCGGGGTATGGAGGAGTGCAGGGACTTGAATACAAAGGTGAGGATCTTGAAATCGAAAACACATAACACATAGTCACATACATATACAAATGTAATTTGTTGTTATGGTTGTTGTTGTCATCAATTCTTAATCACTGCCTTTTAGACTTCACAACAAACTCCCAAGCATTATATAAAAGATAGAAAATCTGCAGGTACAGTATTTGACTGTGGCTTCCAAATAATTAAAATACTGTCTTCAGTGCTTAAATCTGTTGATTGTAAAACAATCAAAATTTAATTGGAAATTCTACATCAAGAGTGATTTACTAGAGATCTATTCTTGTATTACGTGGAAGGTTTTGCCCCCAAAATATATAGTATTATCTATGAAGCACATCTCGAAGATGTGATAAGGCGCTACATCAAATGCAAGGCCAATTATTATTATTTGTCAGGAAACCTTTAACTGCTTTAACAAAAATACCTCCAGAGTGAAGCTATGTAAAAATACACATACCACCTTCTTTGGTCCAGTCTCCTGCATTGAGGAAATGCCTTGCCTTTTCAGGTACTCCTCAATCTTCTCTTCATCCATAGAATCCACTGGGATACCCCTCCACAGCTTCTGAAATTCTACAATCCAAAATGAAAAACAGCAATAATGAAGAGCAGCAGGTGCAGAGTCCAGGTATTAAATCTTATTAAATAAATTTGCTAAAACCAAATTTATAACAAACTTATAAAAAGGATAATATTGAACAATGAGAATGTAATAAATTTTGCATTTGATATAGCCCCTTATCATACTGTCAAAACATCTTAAATTGCCTACCAGGACTCAACTCTAACGTGTAATGAATGTGTATCTGCAGGCAAAAGAGGCAGCTAATTTGCAAATAACAATGTCCCAAAAATAGCGATAAAGTAAATGACCAATTTTATTTAGGGGATTTTAGGCCAGGACATTGAGAGAAACTCCCTTCTCTTTTTGAATATTGCCATGGGATCTTTAACGTCTACCTGTACAGGCAGACGGGACCTCAGTTTAACCTCTGACAATCAAAGGCTTGCTCAGAACTGTATTGGAAAATCAGCCTAGACTATGAGCTCAAAATGTGAAGCTTGAACAACAACAAATTACATTTGTATAGCGCCTTTCACATCAGGAGGATGTCCCAAGGTGCTGGACAGTCATGGATTTGGACCCGAGCAGGGGGTTGGTATCCGGGGGGTTGTGGAGTTCAGAGAGCGTAGGGGTAGGAGGGTGACCGAAGGCGTGGTTGAAGGGGAGGGCCTTGAGACGTGCCGTGAAGGCGGCAAGGGAGGGAAAGAGAGAAAGGGACTGTGGGATGGCATTCCAAAGGGTGGGGGCAGAGAGGCTGAAGGCCCGACTGCCAATGGTGGTGAGCTAGGAGGGGGACCTGCTGAGCAGAGGGAGCGGAGAGATTGATATGGGTAGGAAGGTAGGCACAGGTCACAGAGGTAGGAAGGAGTCAGGGCGTGGATTGCTTTAAAGGCGAGGATGTGAGTTTTGAACTCTATCCAAGGCTGTTTCGGTGCTATGGGCAGCTCGGAAACCTGATTGGAGGGATTTGTAGAGGGAGTGGCGGGAGAGAAAGGAGTGAAGGATTCGTTCCAGGACCTTAGAAAGGGAGGCTGGAGATGGGGTGGCAATTGGAGAGCAGGGATGGGTCCAGGGAAGGTTTTTTTGAGGATAGGGGTGTTGTCCTCCATCATCCACCTCAGTGGGACCGCACTCGCTTGGTTCGAGTCCTACCTTACAAACCGCCAGCACTACATTTCTGCAAATGACTTTTCTTCGCGCTTCCACCCAGTCACCTGCGGGGAACCCCGGGGCTCCATTCTTGGCCCCCTTCTCTTCCTCATCTATATGCTCCCTCCTGGTGATGTCATCCGCAGACACGGGGTTAACTTCCACATGTATGCAGATGACACTCAACTCTACTTTTCCACCTCCAGCTGCGACCCCCAGTCCCCCGATGTTCTGTCAGCTTGTCTGTCGGACATCAGGAGCTGGATGAGCCAAATTTCCTGCAGTTAAACGTCAACAAGATGGAAGCCATATTCTTTGGCTCCCGCCGATGTCTTCTGCCCATAGTTCCAACCTCCTAAACCTACCAGACCTGTCCTTAAAACTCTCTGAACCCGTGCACAACTTAGTTCAATCCCCAGTTATCCTTCCTCCCCCACATCTGGTTCCTGACCAGCACCGCTTTCTTCCACCTCCGCCAGAATGCCCATCTCCGACAATACCTCACCCCAAAAGCTTCCCAAACCCATGTCCATGCCACCGTCACCTCTCAGCTGGACTCTAATGCCCTCCTCACCAGTCTCCCCTCCTCCACTATTCACAAAATTCAGCTTATTCAAAACTCCGCTGCCCACATTCTCACCCGGACTAAGCCTCGTACCCCGATTACTCCAGTCCTTTCCAAACTCCACTGGCTCCCTGTCACAGAGTGGATCGACTTCAGGATCCTCACTGTAGTGTTCAAATCCCTCCATTCCTGGCACCCCCCTATCCCTCTCACCTCCTCTCCCCCCCAGCAGTACCCGCTGCCTCCGCTCTACTGAGTCCGGCCTCTTCCGAACCCCCTCGAATCGTCCTCTTAACCATCGGCGGTCGTGCCTCCAGCCACTACGCCCTCCCTCAACCCCTTCGCCTCGCCCCCTCCTTCCCCATCTTCAGATCGCGCCTGAACATCTTCCTTTTTGACCGCGCCTACGGTCACCTTGCCCCTCCCCCTGGCTCGGCCTTGGGCTCCACCATTGTTAAGCACTTTGAGACGCTGCCCGGCGTGGAGGGCGCTATATACGTACAAGTTGTTGTTGTTATAACGGTTGTTTTTAAGGGGGTGGTAACCGTTCCACTGGACAAGGAGAGGATGATAATGTATGTGAGTATAGGGCCAAGGAGGTGAAGCTGGGAGGAGTAGGAATAGGGTTAAGGGAACAGGTAGTAGGTTTTCTATGGGTCATAATGGTGATGAAAGAGGAGGGGTAGACAGGTTCGAAGGTGCTGAGGGAAGGATGGGTAGGGGCCTGGGTGTGAGGGGCAGATGGGGAGGGGGTGGTAGTTGAAAGGGCAGAGGCAGCCAAGCGGATCCCCTCAATTTTGGTCTCAAGGAAGGTCAGGGTCTCCTCACAGTTGAAGTTGGAGGAGAGGATGGGCGAGGCATGAAAGAGTGGGCGAGGAGTCCGTTTGTGATGAAGAGGAGCCTGGGGTTGTCCTTGGCCTCCAAGATTATCTTGGAGTAGTAGAATGATTTAGCGGAGGCGAGGGCGGAGCGGTAAGTTTTGATGTGGTCCAGCCAGATCTGCTGATGGACCAGATAAGGTCATTGCGGGAGGAAGCCCAGAAGGGGAGGAGTTCAGATGACAGAGGGCAGTGGAGAGGGAGTGTGGGGAGATTTTTTTCTAGGAGTGGTAGGAGATGGAGGTAGGTTGGGTGGCGGGGATACGGATGGAGGAGGTAAAGGAGATGGCTTTGTTGGTAATAGTGATTTCCGATTTCTGAGACGCTGAGGCCCCGGGTATCATCAGATCAAGCCAGTGGCCATGAACATGGGTAGCAGAGTGGATGTGGAGGGAGAGCTTGCAAGGAGAGAAGTCAGTGGAGATAGAGCAAAAGGGGGCGAAGTGCAGGTTGAAGTCACCTATAAACCCTCCAAGACGCTGCCTGGCACGAAGGGCGCTATATAAATGCAAGTGATTTTTGTTTCCTAGGATGAGGAGGGGTTCAGAACAGAGGCAGAGGGAAGCTAGAAGGGTTTCTGTGAGGGCGAGGATGTCGATGTTTCCATCAACAATGAGGTCATTGACAGCGAGGGCTTTGTTGAAGAGGAGCAGACATTTTGTAGGGCTATACGGAAAGAAAAGGTTGGTAGAGGAATGTACAAGATGGGCGGGGGGTGTGAGAGCATTGATAGGGAGAGTGGGAATGTGGATGAGGGAGGAGGGATTTGCCCCTGAGGTCTGGGGCCAGTGGGCCTTGCAGCGATAATGGGGGTTGAAGCATTCAGCGTGACTGCTGATGGACAGCAACATTGACAGTGGGTACCAGTGAGAATACCTATACCAAGCTGTATATTTTTAGGTGATGCTTAAAAGTGATATTGTTCTATTGTGGAAACAATCTCCCGTTTTGCAGTGGCTTTCAAATGAGCTGTATACTGCTAAACACTGTGACAGAAACGTAGAGAGCAGAAGGCAACAAAACACACAGTATCACTTAGCAATGAACAAACACCAGATCCCCCATCAGTTAGTAAACCACATCTGGAGGGGGGTGTTGTTTGCACTTTTTTTTAAATTAGTCTTTCATTAATATCTACTGCATCTATTTTCAACATAAATATTTGAGGACAAACTTAGAAACCACTTTGCTAGCCTCTCATGGATTAGCTAACTGGAGATGGAACTCTCAACTAAGTTATGGTTAACTTCGTTGAGCCACAGGTGTACTTCTTAAATGATAGTTAAGTGGGATATTGTGAGAAGCAAATAATCTGTCTGCAATAGCAGAAAGATAAAATGCAGATCAAAAGAGATACTGATGCTATATAAGGTGTTGCTCACACCCCATCTTGAGTACATTGTAGAGTACGTTGGAGGACCCTAAGAGATTTTACTGGGGGCATCTCACAATGCACTTGACAATCAGCTGGGATGGGAGCCAGGAGGAGGGTAAGAGGAAAGATGACTGAAATAGGGAGGTCTCAAGACGGACCTTGAAAGGGGTGAGGAAAGAAGCTTCGGGATGGAGTACCACAGATTGAGGGCAGATAGGCTGAAAGACATCTGTTCAATGCTACAAAAGCCGATAAAGCCTGTCAACAACTGGGGTGATGGGGGTGCAGATTTTGGTACAAGTGAGGATATGGATGGCAGAGTTACGAATCAATAGGACTTTGTGAATGATGGCTGAATTCTGAACTCTTATGCTGTTGAATTGCATTCACTGCTATAATAATATAATAATAATCCTTGCAGTTAATATAGCGCTTTTCACGTCTTCTAGACATCTCAAAGCGCTTCACAGAATATGCTGTAAAGTGAATTGACCGTGTATTTGTGGGCGAAACGAAACGCGGCAGCCATTTGCGCACAGCAGTGTCCCACAAACAGTCGTGGATTGAAAATGACCAATTTATTATTGTTTTGGAGGGATTATTATTAGGCTCTGTGTGGAGTAAGGAAACTTGCCCAAGGTTTCACCCTGCCTGGAATTGAACCCAGGTGTCTCACTTGCAAGGCGAGTGCTCTAACCACTGAGCTACAGGACACATTGTCTTTCATAAACAACCGTTACAGGGGCACACAGCAAAGCCTCATCAATTGTGAAAGGCAAAATGCCACCATGTTCAAATTCAACACATTCAGTACAAGTTTGCATTTATACACTTTGGGAGGAAATCTCACCTTCATCCATTGTGAACTGGCAGCTCTTGTCATTGTAGAACAGAATCTTCTTCTTATCAGGTCTTGTCACAAAAATGATTTGGTCCCCTAAAGCCTGAGAAGTACATAATGAGCATTATACCCTCATCATGTAGCCCTGCTACGAAAGCAGCAAAACGCTTAATAATTTGAATAATGTCTCAAAGCACTTCACAGGATTTTACTATGAAGTGTAATGACTTTCATTTTGTAGCAAATACATCAGCCAATCTGGTCACAGCAATGTCCCGCAATAAGCAATTTTATCTGGGGGATTGTTGGCCAGAACACCAGGAGAGATTGCTTTCTCTTTTTGAATATTGCTTGGGATCTTCACTTGTCCACCTGAACAGGCAAACATGTTTCATCAAAGGATGGCACCATTGGCAAAGCAGGGCTCCCCTCAAGTAATCAGTCTACTGTGAGCTCAAAGTCCCTACATGGAGCTTGAACCCATAACATTCTGACTGAGAGAATCCTGTGATATGCTTTGAGATAACCTTGTACTGTGAAATGCACTACATAAAATGTAAAAAATATTAATTTATTATAACAGTATATGTTTGATTCATTGCTCTTAACTTTATTCCAGGAAATAGTAATACTTACCATCCAAAATCACTAATTAAGTTGAGAATGCCAAATAAACTAAATTTGGCTATCTATCATTTACAAGTTGTACAGTCACCTGACAAACATTTCACCATATACTGTACCTTTATAGCTTTCTGGGAATTAGGCAATCCTTCCTCTATATCATCCAGGAGGATCCCTCCCAAGCCCCGCTGATCATGTTTATCCAAAAGTCTGAGCAAAGCCTTTTTGTCTTTTAAGTTGTACTTGGGTTTGAAGACATATTTTCCATCTAACACGTCAATTTTTGGATTGTTTATTAGTGCCTGAGAAAGATTAAAAATAAGGAGTTCATGGAAAAGGAGTTCAGTGAAAAAAATACCAACAGTCAAACCAAATGAGTGAGATACTCCTACCAACACTCATCAGAAACCTAAGTTATTTTGTTGGTCAGCTCGGGATCTGAGACATGTGGAAACCCATCAGAGTATCCAAGCCAGTTCCACGCATCCCACCACCGATCATGGAAATCCCAGAGATGTTTATTGGAATGCAATGCACACTCTTTCCCCGGAGAGACACATCCTGCTTACCTAATTCCGGAAAGTATTAGGCGCAGGTTGGTAAGAGCCAAGGCTTGGGGAGTGTGCAATGGGGTATTGCTGAAGTCTAACCAGCTAAAACCACGTAGCTTGTCATTGAGAGCACTGTCTGGCAAGCTTTCCTGCTGCTTGTCCAGCTCGGACCACCCTACCTGTTAGGGCTTTGACTTGCAGAGTTAACAGGAGCTGAGTGGGAAGAATTACTCCTCCCAGTGACGTATGTCTTCCAACTCCTGCCGAGGAGCCAGGCTGGCTGTGCAGCCATCAGCGGTGCCCTGGAATACGCGGACCTGCCTGGCTCAAGACCCAGACTACCGAGACTGCAACAGAGAGCTTCTCAATTCTGACATTCCGTTGCCAAATATGTCACCTTGGAGCCAGTTCAGGAGACCTGGTTTACCTCTTCCTCCACCCCTCCAATGGGGACATTTGTTAACATAAGGACTAGAGATAACACTTTACAGTGGCGGGGGGGGGGGAGGAAAGAGTTCTGTAACACAAATTTAAAATTATCCATTGGCATGAACTAGATGCTAAATTTATTGAAAAGACCTCTCAAGGTATTGAGTCTAGCCTCCAGACAGCTCACAGCGCTATTTGTGGGACACTGCTGTGAGCAATTGGCTGCTGTTTTTTGCCCACAAAATATACAGTTACTTCATTTTACAGTATATTCTGTGAAGCGCTTTCAGAGGTCTCAAAGACGTGATAAGGCACTATATCAAATGCAAGGATGATTATTATTAGAACGTGGATAAGCAATGGTACTTCAGCCTGCTTTTGTTAAAGTAGCTAAAACTTGTCAAAACAAATCTGAATCTTTCAGTATATCAAAGAAAATAATCCTGGAATGCTAAAGGGGCTGCAGGGGGATGATCTAAAGACACAATTGAAATCAGTGGAAGGAAATTTCAATTTAATGGTTGAGCAAATAAAAGGAGCTTTCTTGGACTAAACATCAAATACAAATTTGCAGTATAATATTGTTTCCATTCACAGAGCTGAAACCACCATTCCTAAGCCAAGAAACAAACGTATATCCTTTACTTAAAGAAGTAATTCAGATTGAGGAATACAATGAACATCTAACTCAGCAACCACCAATGTCAAATCTGTACAATCAGGGGTAGCTTCAATAAAAATGTATCAAATATAGGAGTGAGATTTCTTTCAGTGGAAAATGCACCATTTCATCTTAGGATAGATCTCAGCTGAAGAAGTATTGTTAATTCAGTGCTTTTATAGTTCTCAAAATGCACAATACCTCACTCATCAGCCATTGTTTCTGTCTCATGCCAATATCCAGCAGCTTAGTCTCATCCAGAATTTCTTCCAGTGTCAACGGATAGGTGTCTCCACGTTGGTGACGCGTCTGGGTAAAAATGTACAGGTTTAATCACTTCTAAATAAGGTTTTACTGCTACTCTGTTCTGACTGTTCGTGGTCAATCAAATACTGAGTAGTCACACTATCTGAAGACTGGTACCTTGCTTAGTCTAACACTTTACCATGTCTGCTTTGTGGTAGGGAAGACAATAAACAATTTTAGATAGGTTATAGCGCATTAAAAATGACAAATTAAAATCACTTTCTGCTCAGGAACTCCACTTGCAGCTTTTAGAAAAATACATTTCAGCAAAATACTGCGAGAAATCTGGAGGATCCGTGGAACTACTTTGGAAGCTGGTTAATTTAGGAGTTGATCCGGATCTACCATTCGTTCACAAATATACGGTCAATTCACTTTACAGCATATTCTGTGAAGCGCTTTGAGATGTCGAGAAGAAGTGAAAAGCTCTATATCAAATGCAAGGATTATTATTATTATTACCTGGCCCTGCAGAAAAACTCTAAAGCACTTTGAGGTGTACTCAATATTAGAAGCGATATGTCAAATACAATTATTATTTGTGTTGAATCCACTCAATCGCTTCACAGATTCCCATCCTCCCAGCATATTGATTTTGAGCTCCACACCCTTATATACAAATCCATTTACTCCCTGGCACCTCCCCATCACTCTAATTCTCTCCTCCTCTGCTCCCACCCTCAGCTAACTCAGGCTTGCTTTGAACCCACTGTCCTCCCCGTGCACCATTGGTTAAAGGTTAAGAAACCTTAACCTAGCCTTCAGTTCCTAAGCTCCTATCCTCTGGAATTCCCACCCCTGCTACTCTGTCTCACTTGCTCTTTCTGTTTTTACATCCTGCCTCAAATCCAACTTCTTTGAATGTGCCTTGGCCTCCTTTCCCTGTCTGTTGTTTAGTGTCCAACCCTGACCCTGCAAAGCACTCTGTGAAGGTGCTATATGCAAGTTGTTGTTTTGCATTCCTCCTATTTTAAATGAGTTCTGCACTTCTTAAACTGCATTTGACCATAATCAGAGTAGTGAAATTATCTTAAGTGCCTTAGTAAAATGTCTTTTGAGGGTCTACTGGCGTTTTGGTAAACCCTTCCAGAATTCCGGGTCACCTATTCCCAAAAAAGGCTTTTCTCCAGAAAATCCCAATTTCAGTGTCAGCTAGGCTCAGCTGGTAATCCTTTGTGTCAGAAGATAGTGGATTCATTCCTCAACTCTATTCATGCCCCCGCTCAGGAACTGAGCTCAGTCCAATGCAGTGATCTCAAAGTCCAGTCTGGTACTGAGGAAGCACTGAATTGGAGGGCGCATCCTTTGCATGAGACATTAAACAGAAATCCCATCTGCCTGATCAAGTGGGTATTAAAGATCCAAAGTCACAATATGAAAAGAGAAGGAATACTGGCCAATAATCCTTAATATAAATTGGTATATTATTATAAATAAGTCATTTATTTATTTTTGTTGTTTGTGGGTGGGACACTGTGGTAAACAAATTATTAGCTGCTCCAATTGCCTACAGATACAGTCAATTATATGTGAAGCACTTTTATTTTGATGTTGTTCATCAAACACAAGTTTTCTCTAGATGTACATGGAGAAACTGGATATGTTACATGGCAGGATACCAGAAGCTACACATGCACATCCCATACAAGAGATAAATTGATCCTCTGGTCTGTAGTATGCTGTTCTCATTAGCAGCCAGTTGGCACAAAGCACCATTGGAGAAATCCCAGATCCAGTAATTTGGGTCAGAAAAAAAACAACAGATGTAGAGTTCAGCCAGGCATGTATTATGAACAAACCCGATGAATTAAATGCCTGCTTAGTAATTTTAAAGATTTTGAAGGACAACAACGGCCTGTGGAACAGCAAACCCTACCGTGTTATTCAATAAAGGGAATAAGGTAGTTGTCAACAAGACAAATTATACTCTGGAATGAATTGGAGAACATTATGAAAAGTCAAAAACAATTTGTTCTGATATCACGTGAATCACTAATTTGTGAGGCCCCGCCTGGGATACAGTGTGTAGCATTCTACATCCAAACAGAAATTGATGCATTGGAAAGAGTTCAGAGAACAAGAGGATGATTCCAAATTATGAAGACACAGCTAAACTAGAGAAAGATGAGATTGAAGGAGAAATGAAACAGCAAATAAAAGAATCATAAGAGCAAACTAGGTTCATGAAAGTTGAATGAGAGGATGCACAAGTACAACATTTACAAGCATCCAGCAAATACTTTCCCATAGGATAGATGGATGTGAGGATCAGAAGCCAGAAAAAGAGTGTATCCTAAATCAATTAGCACCATCAAAAAAATAACATTAAAGGATTGTAGATTAAAGAGACTGAATGGGCTTCGTTTGTGCTATAAATAGCTAGGGTTCTATGGGTAATAAGAGAGTAAGTAAATGCATGATTTATATATTTCACTGCCAGCACTAGGTGCGGAAATGCAACCTGAAATAAATCAGGTGACAATATTAACAATTCTTAGATTAAATTGCAGTACTTTTGTCAAAATCTGCCTTTTATTTTTTTTTACATTGTTAGCACCATCAAAACGTTACAAAATTAATTTATTGGAACAATTTTACATTCCTGCTAAATAGCAAGGAAAATTATTATTGTTTTGGTGGAAGTGAAACAAGAAATAATTGTTGCTTTGACCAATTTGATTTATCAGGTGCAGTAAAATTCCTAAGATAATTCATGTTTCAGCAATTAGCTTCAGTTCCTCATCCATGTCAAATCCTGGAATTATTCAATGTCTGTACTATAGTCAGGGAAAACAAACATCAAACGTACCAGTAACAGGATTCAAAAGTTACTTTACCTTCATGTAGTTGACAATTTTAGCAAGGACTCCAAATTTATACCCACTGCTTCCTGGAAGTCCTCTGTAATTGAAAGATCCATTCTCTGGAAAAGAAGCAGATAAATATTAATAAGAAAAAGATCCATATTCATGACTGCTCTGTCAACCCTCCTAGTGGCCTTTATTGTGGCACTATATTCCAGGAGGACTCAATACATTCGGGGGAGGATGTGGAATAAATGCAATGATATATAGATTTGTATTTAATCTTCCTTTATGTCATATATAATTGTTTATCTTCCGCAGGAATAAACATTTGGGATTTTTTGGGAATACATTAATAAGGGCAGAAGGCATTTTCCTAATTTATGAACCTTGGAGTCCCACCCTCGAGAGAGCAATACCAATGAAAATGTGCCAGTGATGATCACATTCATTCTTAGCAAATAGAAGCCAGTTTCAGTTCCTCTTTTATTCAGTATAGGCTCCAACCATCACAGATCACATTACACCATTTCTGGTTACAAGCACATCTTGCAGCTCCTCCAGAAAGACAGGTAGGTGAATCGAGGCTCTTTTTTGAGTCAGGTTTTATCCATCACAAGTGAGCAGGATTTCATTTCAGAGACAGAAAGGCATTTTATCTACACATTTTGAAAAACGGCTGTGCTGATGCCTTTCTCCATTGCCTTTGTTTTATTGATAATCTGCACTAGATAATTAGATAAGGATTTTTAATGCTTATTTCAGATTTAAAAAACAGCTTCCAGAAAACTTAACAGGATTACAATGGGTTAAAAATGAACAAGAAAGCGATCGAGGCAATCAACATCATTGTCTTTGTGCTGCATAACATCCTGCAGAGCATCTGAAATAGAAGGGTGTAGATGGGAAAGGGTATTTTAAATGTGATTTACTGTTGTCGCATTCATTGATTTTTGCAATAACCAGTATGCTTATATGTTATTATCTGATCAAGAGCAATGTTTTTTAAAAAAATCCAATTTTTTAGTATATTTAAAATATGTGGTAAAGAAAATAAACATTCCACTTGTTAGCGAGTCCAAAGCAAGTGGACATAAATATATGATAGCCAACAGATAACCTAAAACAGAACTTAGGAGGACCTTCCCTACGCAGAGGGTGGTGAGAATGTGAATCAAAACTGTGGTTGAAGCAGAAAGCATCATTGTATTTAAGAGGAAACTTGATGCATACATGAAGGAGAGGAGAATAGAGGGTATGGGAGGGGTTGTATTACAAGGGGTAGAGCTCATGTAGAGTATAAATACTGGTGCAGACTCGAATTGAATGGCCAGTTTCCATGCTGTAATATTCCATGTAATAACTATTTGCCGGTCGGTGCAAACTCAGTGGGTTTGATAGCCTCCTATGCGTCGTAAATTTCTAAGATTCTATGCTATGGTAACTACACTGTTCCTGTTAACAAGAAGTCTTGGAGTGTCTCCTGTTTGTACATTTTTCACAGATGGCAATGGCAGCAGGCTTCAGTCTAAAGTGAAGGCTCTACATTTCTTCCAAAAAGAGAAAGACTTTGCATTTATCATTTCTATACATTTCAAAGCAATTCATAAGCAGTCATATGTAGTATCAACACAGCAGTCAGCCATTTGAACAAAATTTGACAAACAGATAAATGTTGGCCAAGAGACCAGGAGAAAATCCCTTAATAACATGAGAAATGCTATACGAAAGAAAGACCAAGGTCCATCTAGTTCACCTTCCACCTTCCTGGCGGTCACATGCACATATGTCCCAAACTACCCATGTACTGTATCCCATAATGTTATTTCCTAAAAGAAATCTATCTAATTTGTGTATGAAGGAATCAACACTTCCTGCTTCAACTGTCTCCCCAGGGAGCCTGTTCCATAGGTTTACTATTCGCTCACTGAAATAGTATTTCCATAGATTTGTTCTGAATTTCCCTCCCTTCAATCGCAGGCCCTGTTCTCTGGTTTTACTATTCTGGATAAGTTGAAACAGCCTGTTGTGATCTATACTGTTTTGCCCCTTTAGAATCTTAAAGAGAGCAATCATGTCACCTGTCAATCTTCTCTTTTCCAGCGTGAACATGCCCAATTTACTTAGTCGCTTCTCATAGTCCAGTCCCTCCATTCACTCAACCATTTTGGTTGCCCTCCCCTGTATCCTCTCAATTTCTCCGATATCCTCTTTGTGCTGCAGCGACTAGAACTGTATACAGTACTCTAAGTATGGTCTCACCAATGGTTTAAACAGTGGCAGGATTTCCCCACTAAAAAGGTCCCAAAACAGACCCTTGTGGAACTCCACTGGTAACATTTTCCCAGTATGATGACATTTTCTGTACAACCACCCTCTCAGTTCTTCCGGTCAACCAATTACATATCCATTGTAATATACTTCCACTGATTCCTGCTTTCTTTATTTTCAGTACCAGCCTCTCAAGAGGAACTGAATCAAAGCACGTATTGAAATCCAGATATGCAACATCCACAGCCTTACCCTTATCAAGCTCCCTTTTCACCCCATCAAAGAAAAACAGTAAATTAGATTGTCAGGCTCTCCCCTTCATGAACCCATATTGACTCTCATTTATGAGTTTACATCTGTCCAGGTGCTCCACAATTTTATCCTCAATAAGTCTCAATATTTTTACCCACAATGGACGTCAAACTTACTGGTCTGTTGTTTCCTGGGTCACTTTTGTTACCTTTCTTAAAAATAGGAGTAACATCTGCCTTTCCCCAGTCCCCTAGCAGCTCTCCAGTATTCAATGATTTGTGAATGATTTGTGCCAGCATTTCTGCGACTTCCTCGGAGGAACGAAGGTAACGGGTACTGTCTTGAGGAGAGAGGAGGTCAGAGAGGTAGGGGGCTGCAGAGGAGTGGAGGGATTTGAAGACAAGAGTGAGGATCTTGAAGTTGATCCTCTCTGGGATAGGCAGCCAGTGCAGTCTGGCAAGGACTGGGGTAATCGGGAGCAGAGTTTGGTGCGGGTAAGAATGCAGGCGGCAGAGTTTTGGATGACCTGGATTTATGAATGGTAGTGGAGGGGAAACCGGCGGGGAAGGCATTTGAATAGTCCAGTCGAGAGGTGACAAAGGCATGGACCAGGGTTTCAGTGGCTTTTGGAGTGAGGTATTGGTGGAGACAGGCGATGCATCGGAGGTGGTAGAAGGAGGTGTTGGTGAGGGACCGGATGTGGAGGAGGAAGGATAATTGGGGATTGAACATGACGCTTAGGTTGCGTACAGGTTCGGAGAGTTTTAGGGGGAGGTCGGGTAGGTGGAGGAGGTGTGAGCCGTGAGATTTTAGACGTTGACGAGAGCCAAAGAGTATGGCTTCCGTCTTGTCAACATTTAGCTGATGGAAATTGGCGCTCATCCATCTCCTGAGGTCTGACAGGCAGGCTGACAGAACATCAGGGGACTGGGAGTTGCAAAGTGAGGTGGAAAAATAGAGTTGGGTGTCGTCCGCATACATGTGTAAGTGTACCCCATGTCTGCAGACGACATGCTCAAGAGGGAGCATATAGATTAGGAAGAGGAGAGGGCCAAGGATGGATCCTTGGGGTACCCTGCAGGTAACCGGATGAGAGCGGGAGGAGAAACTGTTTGTGCAGATGTACTGCTGATGGTTCGTGAGGTAGGACTCTTTCTGATGAGTTGTTAAACCAACTACCTGATCAGGTGGAGGTTTTAAGATCCCATGCCACTATTCGAAAAGAGAAAGGAGTTTCTCCTAATTTCCCAGCCAATAATCCTCCAGATAAAATCTGTCATTCATTTCCATGCTTCAATGTTATTGTGGGGGGGGATTGTTGGCCAGGAAATTAAGAGAAACTCCTTTCTCTTTTTGAATAGTGCCAATTTTGAATTTCACTTCCATTTGAATAGGTAGATGGGATACCATCTCATCTAAAGGATGGCACTTCCAACAATGTATCATACCCTATACTAGCAGATCACTGCATTGGACTGCTGGTGTAGATTATATGAGTTCAAAGTTCCAACATGGGGCTTGAATCCATAACCTCCTAACTCAGAGGTAAGTGCTACCAACTGAACTAGGCTAAATATTCCACATTGGCAGATTGAGATTGAAATAGTTGAGGGAGAATAATAATAATAATCCTTGCATTTGATATAGTGTCTTATCATGTCTTCGAGACATCTCAAAGTTCTTCGCAGAATATACGGTAAAGTGAATTGACTGTATATTTTGTGGGCGAAACCCGCAGCAGTGACCCACAAACAGTCGTCGATTGAGTGACCAATTTTTTTTGAAGGCATAGAAAGGGACTTGGGGAAAGGACAGAAGACTCATCAATGTCAATTTAATAGAGTAAAATACAACAATAATAACACTAATTTGCCCTATACGTAGGATAATGTGTTGGTGCTGTTTACAAAGGTGGGATCAGCCATCGAGCTTGGGAGAGGGAAGATGGGGGAGGTGACCATAGGTGCAGTCGAAAAGGTAGGTTATGGCCAGGGGTTAGGGGTGTAGAATTTGAGATTCAGCCATCAATGATGTCTCAGAGAGGCACCAGCATGTGCGAGCTTGCCGAGCATAGTGGACGAGCAGAGGAGCAAGGTAGGAGCAGACCAGAGTGATAGGGAGGTGATAGGATTTTAAGAGATTTATAGGTGAGGACTTCAAAGTTGATCTCCTTTAAGATAGGGAACCTGTGGAGCCCGGTGAGGACTGTGTGTATGGAATTTGGAGATGATGAGGTTGTAGGTAGCAAGAGTTTTGAATAAGATGAAATTTAGGATGGCAAAGCTATGGAGACAAGTAATATGTGCATTGGAAGGCTGGAGGTAAAAAAGACATTGATAAGGGTTTTGGTGGCAGTTGGTGTGAGATCGCGGTGGAGGCGGGCAGCATGGCAGAAGTGGTGGAGGCGGGCAGCATGGCAGAAGTGGTGGAGGCGGGCAGCATGGCAGAAGTGGTGGAGGCGGGCAGCATGGCAGAAGTGGTGGAGGCGGGCAGCATGGCAGAAGTGGTGGAGGCGGGCAGCATGGCAGAAGTGAAGAAAAGCAATTTTGTACAGGGATTGGATGATGTGGTGGCGGGGGGGGGGGCAGGGAGAAGAGAAAGGAGAGCTGAGGATCAAACCAGACACTAAAGTTGTGCACTGATTCATATTTGAAAACCAAACCAAATACTGCCGTAAGTATCCAGAACAATAAATACACTTGCTCAGTGTGTTTATGCTGGTAAGACCACGCTTGGGAATACAACATTAATTTCTGATCTCCATGCCACAAAAAACATGTTCAAGTTTGGAAAGGGACTCGGAGAAGCAGTTCCAAAACATTATTTTTAAAAATTATCTGGAAATATGCATTATGATAATAATCCTTGCATTTGATAATCGCCTCATCATGTTTTCGAGACATCTCAAAGTGCTTCATAGAATATACTGTAAAATTAATTGTCTGTATATTTTGTGGACAAAACACAGCAGCCAATTGTGCACAGCAGTGTCCCACACACAGTCATGAATTGAGAGACCAATTTTTTTTAAAAAAAGGTATTATTACCCCGGAAAAGTGATACGCAATCAACTAACAACAGGTTCCTGCTTACTACTAGGTGAACAGAGGCGTGAGGAGTAAGATAATTTTCCCAACATTTCACCCTGCCCAGAATAGAACCCAGGTCCTCTCGCTTGCAAGGTGAGTGCTCTAACCACTGAGCTACAGGACTGATGAAAGGGTTATGGAATGACTTTTTACATGATTTAATTTTCATGACTAATGTGTGATTGTAAATGTTACATCATTATGAAGTTATTTACTCTACTGTTACAAATCGTTCCTTACACTGGTTGACCCACTGGTCGATTGCACAGAACCACAGCCATTTGAAACACAACTTGCCGGGTTGTTTTTTTAGTGCCCGTGTTATAGACAAATGTGGTCAAAGGAATTCTGGTAACTTCAAAATATTTGTAACTATTCACAGGTTGTGAAGTGAAGAAGAGCGCTGCCCCACCTCATTTCTCAGCATGATAACACAGAACGTCAGTGAAACGTGGCTCTTTATCAACAACCGTGCATCACTTCATCATGACATTCAGCTTCAAGTTCAAGATACAAAGTTATTTCACGATAGCTGGAACATAGCCTGCTTTGTCATTTTACTGTTGTTTGTTCTTGCTGTTATCAGCTTGGTTATGTTAGCATTTCTATACGAGCTGTTTAACTGCTGCTGCTGCGCCAATGACAAAAGTATAAATTCCATGGAAAACAAACGCCATCCAGTAAGAGCTATGATGGATTCCATGAGAAGGCACAAAGTTGAAGTAGTTTAAAAAAATGATTGATTATCCTCACTTAAAAGTAATAAACTGAAATACACAAGAAATTCAGTATGGTTTCAATGGAATGGAGAAAATGTTTGGAGGGTAACATGAAACAACCACTTCTATTTCTCAGGAGGAAAAACAATTATCACTACTACTTTAGAGGTGCCTTTTCCAGTAAGATTCTCGCTGACACTGGAGTACAGCTATGAGTGTACAATGCCAACAATTGTTTGATTACATTACTTTCTGATTGACTTTTTCTGAAAATAGAATACTGTAAAACAAATAAATGTTTCACATTAATCTACACAGATGCACACTTCATCTCACAAAGACAGTATGAACCCCCCAGCCAACACCCTTTGTCTCCCAACCCTCTCAAATTCAACCCCATCCTCGAGTACAAACCCTCAACTGTCTAGCACTTGGGATAATCTCGCGACGTGAAAGGCGATAAATGTAAATAAATGCAATTTGGTGTTATTACAACAATAAAGGTCATTGGGTCTCACAAGATTATCCCTATTCCATCGTTCTCAATCCTAGCTATGTACCTTTTCATCATATCACTATTACACAAGACAAACTGCAGCATGTGTAAAGATTTCTTTCCTCTTAACTTTCTGATTTGAACTTTTGTCCCTTAATGCTTGAATCCTTCACATTGGAACAATTTGCTCAATCAAACTGGTGAATCTCCTCCATACCTTGAAAATGTCCAACGATCAACTTACAGTCTCATCTTTGCCAAGGAATCAAATCTAATCAATTTACAAAAAAGAGAAAAAAAAAAACCCAGGAAGCTGTACACCTCTAAGCCCGACATCAGCTGTAGGGAAAAACTGAAAACATCCTAAAGGTGAGAACACTAAAGCCCCTGGAAAAATATAGAATTATGATAGGGCCTCAGCATTGCTTTACGGGAAAGAGATCATATGACAAACATATTGGAGTTCTGTGAGAAATTATGACTTTGCAAACAAAGGGAACTCTGATTGTTACAACTTTAAATTTAAGCAAAGCTTTTGATAATGCCACACAAGCGATTGGTTCACAAGGTAAAAAGGGAGAGAAGAGTGGAATTTCTATGATGGATTACAAATTGGCTAGATCACAGAAAGAAATGTTCATACATGGAGCTGCATACAGATCCACATAAATCTCAATGTGCCTCAAGGATCTGTGCTTAGGTCGATTTATGTTGTACATCAATAATTTGGAACAAAAACTAGCTTTGCTGAGCCTACTAAACTGGACATGACAGGGAACATGCTGATCAAATGCATGCTTGGCAATGGAATGTCGAAATTGAATTAATCCTCTGTGGTGGTCTTGGTAGTCCAGTTCCATTATAGGCTAAACCACGGATGGCCAATGCTGCCGGTGGGCTGCATCACGCACATGTAAAATAGTCACGCGGGCCTCAAGTTGGTTATCCCTGGCCTAGGTCATTGGTATAATTTGGAGGGCAAACCAAGAGATTTTTCCCACTCGGTTTGTGTTAACCCTGAAAGCCCAAACCCTAATGGATAGGATGGACAAGCAGCAGAAACCATGCCAAATAGTACTCTCAATGACAGTGCTCAAGGTTTCCAAAGCCTCAATTCTTGATGCCTGGCAACTCATGCTTTCCAAAATTAAGTAAACAGGGTGTGTTCATCCAGAAGAGAGTGCGCATTCCATTCCAGACACAGGGAAATTTCCATATGTAGATGCATTCATGTGGAATGTAGCATGTGGAATACTATTAAGCATGTGTCAAACCCACCTGACCAAAAGAAAGTAATTTAGTGGAGATAAACAATTATAGAAGTATCTTTTTGGTTTCCCAGCATTGATTTTTCCATCCTGTCCATTGCCTAACTTCCTTAACCATCTTAGGTTCCTAAGATTTACTTGCTCACTTCTGCATCCTTTCAAGGATCAAGTAGCAAACACTACAGCGTACCTTAAATATGGTCTGACCATCACCTTTACAGCAACAAACATTCCTATATTCTAGGATAGATTTGGGCAAAATAAGCAATTGGGGGATATACGTGGATGGAGGTGGAGCCTGGTGCGGGAAAGGACACAAGCTGCAGAGTTCTAGATGGTTTGTGTTGGGAAGAGTGGGGAGTCAAGCCTGAAACTGCATAGATGAGAATCTCGCTGGTCCGAGGGGAGATGTAGTGGCAAAGGCAGACAATATTTCGGAGGTGAGGCAAAGTTGAGTGGGTCAGAGCACAGATGTGAGATATAGAGGGCAGTTGAAGTCAAACAAGACACCAAGACATAGTCATATGTGCCTAAATTAATCTTTTAAATTGTTTTACTAATGCAATTCAACAACAACAACTTGCACTTATATAGCGCCCTCCACGCAGGATAGCATCTCAGAGCACTTAAAAATTATTCATTACTATATATGCCATTTTTACTATCACGATGTCCTGATATTTCATTCATTTATTCAGATGTAAGTCTGGCTCAGATGATCAGAAGGTTGGGAAGTTCAAACCACATGTTGGGAATTGAGCTCACATACTAGGTTGATGCTCCAGTGCAGTGTTGGGAGTTTGCTGCATTTTCAGAAGTCCAATTCCACAATATCCATCATCAATCAGCTAGGTGATCCAAAAGCTCTAATGCCCACTGAATTAGACTGTCTTTTGCTGAACCTCAGATAAGAGCAGCAGAAGTCCAAAGGCACCTTGTAAAAGCAACAAACCAGCCTGGGCAGTTCCCTCTCTCTCTCCCCGTTTTGAACTTAGAAAAGCTCTTCAGGAGTGGATTTTGTCAGGATAGGAGAACCACAATGGGCTAATTCCTCAAAGCTAGGCTCAAATCAGATTTTCAAGCTAGTAGCTCTCTGAAGGTCTTATCTCACCAACAATCTGCGTTACATTCCAGCACATGGGGATATACATTAATTTTCCATCTTCTTAGTACATCACCTTGGCTCAGTTGGTGATAGCACTCTCACCTCAGTCAGATGTTGTAGGTTCATGCATCACATCGGCACTTAAAACTAATATAGTCTAAGCTAACACTCCAATTCAGTGCTGGGGTGTGCTACATTGTTGGAGGTGCCTTACTTCAGGTGAGACATTGAACCAAACACCCATCTGCCTGTCCAGGTGAACGTTAAAGAATCCACTACTTGAAAAGAGAAGGGAGTTTCACCGAGTGTCAAGGCCAACAATCCCACAATAAAACAGGTCATTCACTTCATGGCTGATTGTGGGACATTGCTGTGCACAACCTGGATGCCATGTTCACCCACAAAACATACAGTCACTACACTTTAAAGTATATCCTGTAAAGTGCTTTGGGATATACTCCCTATGTGAAATGAGCTATACCACATGCAAGTAGTATTATTTTCACTGACATTTTGACATTTATCATGTCAATAACACATTGAGGTGCTCAAATACAAAAACTTCATTTTCCTTCTCTGCAACACAATGTATCAATTATTTTATGCAGTTCTTACTATCCTTACAAGAATAACCTTCACACAGTACGAAAGATAACATGTTATTCTGTATTTTGTATCTACTGGTATTTACCTGAATTTTGCTTTGAGGAACTCCCTTGATCTGGCCTTTTCTTCTTTTTGGAACTTGAGTCTGAAGAAGCAGTCACCTTCCGTTTCTCGATCACAGGATTGGAGAGAGCTCGCTTCTTGAACAGTTCTCTCTCTTTCAACAACGCTGGATCCATTTCTACTTCAACACAAAAAAAAGACAACAAATTATTACCGTTCAGAGTGTCGAAGTTATAATCTCACAGAAACATGAAAGATCTGACCAAACATGTGGGAGGTTCTCTTACCCAGGTCACCGTTTTCCTTAAAATAATTGGCATTTATATAGCATCCTTCACGCACTTAACAACAGCGAGGTTTGACGCCGAGCTGGAAAGAGAGGGAAGGTGACCGAAGGCACAGTCAAAGAGGAAAGTCTTCCCTTAGGGCTTTACTTTCCTTAGGGCTGAAAGCTGACTATCGGGAGCAGAGAGCGGGAGGAGTCTAAGCTTCCTAGCGTAGAAACAAGGGCAGTGAAAAAAGCAGCACACATGAAGGTGTTAACGGAGCCCCAAAACATAAGACAAGCCACTTGGTGTGCAAATCAGTGTCAGCATGTCTCAGTTGTTATCACTGGGTGAAAGGCATATAATTAAATACATCAACAGAACAGGATACATTAGCTAGAAGATCATGCAGAGTCCACAGTGCCCTCAAGGAATGCCTTAGTTGAGTAGAATTATCTCTCTCCTGGATCACGGACTGAATCTGGTTTCCCCTGTGTGGCTTCCTCGTGCTCTTCCAATAAGCAAATCATTTAAGGGTACTTTGGGGTTAGAGGTACTTTTAAAATTCCTGTGTCATGGAATTAAATCTCTAGAGAAGGAACAAGCAACATTCTTGCTTTAGTGATGCACGTTTGAAACCCATTTCCAACACGAAAACACAATGATAAAAATCAGTAATGTGGTATACATAACAAGTATACCATAAGCATATATTTTTCCTGCGACAGAAAGCTTTTTAAGGCTTTCACAAGCGGCTAAAGACTACAGCATATCAAAGAACTTTACAATGAATCCTTGGGCTCCTCCGACTCATCTTTTTAATGTAATTCAGGTCGCTGAAACTCTTGTTCATGCCTTCATCACCTCCAGGCTCAACTACGCAAACCCCCTGCTTATCGGCCGTCCCAACTCCTCCCTCCACAGGCTGCAGATAATCCAGAACTCTGCAGCCCGTGTCCACTCCTGCGCCAAACTCTGTGACCCCATCCCCCCAATTCTCGCCCAACTCCATTGGCTCCCTATCCTTCAGAGAATCCAGTTCAAAAACCTGGTCCTCACCTACAAAGACCTCAATGGTGTCGCCCCACTCTATCTCTGTGACCTCTTAACCCCCTACCAACCCACCCGCTCCCTCCGCTCAGCGCGCTCTGGCCTGCTCCACGTCCTCCAACCCACCCGCCCCACCATTGGCGGGAGAGCCTTCAGTCACTCTGCCCCCAACCTCTGGAACTTCATCCCCCAATCACTCCGCCTCACCCCCTCCTGAGCCTCCTTTAAGTCCCGCTTCAAAACTCTCCTCTTCAACCATGCCATTGGTCACCCCCTTCCCCTCCCTTCTCCCACCTGACCCCAGCTCAGGTCTGAAATGCTGTACACTGTCCAGCGCCTTGAGTCGTCCTCCCAACATGAAAGGCGCTATACGAATGTAATCTTGTAGTTGTTGTAACATTGATAGTGAAAAGGCAGCACATCACTTCTTGAGTTAGTGTCATTGGCTCCACAATGGGCTGAACATCACTGTGGGCAATATAGTAAAATGCTATTTACCTGCATGCCAACCATCCAGATCATGGCTCCAATGTGTAGGTGGAGCTGGAATACTTTATCAGTATAACATTTTAGTTGTATCCAAGGTGACCATGAACACTATTTTACATGTGAAGTAAATACGTAATTCAATAATTTGAACAGGTACAGCAAACAGTTTGGGATACCAATTCTGAGAGGGGGAGATTAGTTGGGGATAGGAAAGAAAAAGAGAGGCAGAGAGCAAAAGATGATGACCTGGTCAGGTTAGGAGAAGTAGATACAGTCAGCTGGCTGCATCAGGAATAATATATTTGACGGATAGTGAACCACAATCAAAATGAATGAAAGTCAGAGAAACCAGTGCGAGGAGACCAGCCTGCTGAAACCAGCTGCTAGTGAAGCATTGCTGGTCTCACAAGGGACATACAGGAGGCAAGTGCAGTTCTTTTTTTTGGTCAACTGGGTATGTGCGGAAACCTATCACCATGCTTAAGAGTATCCAAACGAAGCTGAGATTTCCATGCATCCCACTTACACATGGAAATTCCAGAGATACATTTTTGGAATGAAATGTGCACTCTCTTCTTGGAGGGACGTACCCTGCTTATCCAATTCCGGAAAGTATTAGGCACAGGTTGGTAAGATCCAAGGTTTGGGGACCTCAGAGTGTACATTGGGGTAACTGCTGGAGTCTAACCAGCTAAAACCACATAGCCTATCATTGAGAACACTGTCTGGCAAGCTTTCCCGCTGCTTGTCCAGCGGGACACCCTACCATTAGGGCTTTCGCTTGCAGGGTTAATGGGAGCTGACGTACTAACACACCCGAGTATCACTCACTTGCTCACTCGCCTCCAAGCTTAGCTTCACCGTGTGTCCTGTTCGCATCACCTGAATGATCACCCAGACATGGTACTGTGGCCCGGCCCGGCCTGACTGTCAGCCTCTCTAACTCACTCTCTCTTTTGCTGTTCTCTGTCTCTCACTAACACTCACTATCTTTCAATATCTCTTTCTCTCTAACCTTCTCTCACTATCATTCACTTCCCCTCTCTCTCTCTCTCCCACACACCCCCTCTCTGTTACTCTCCCTTTCACTCACTATCTTTCTCGCTCTCTCACCTCTATTTCCTGTCTCTCGCTCTCTCCTCTATTTCCTCACTCCATCCATCTCTTTTCTCACACTCTCTCTCGCCCTCTTATCTCTTCTCTGTCACACTCTCTCCCTCTACCTCCTCTCCGTCGCACACACACACTCTCTCTCACACATACACACTATGTGAGTGTAGCTGCTTTCTTTCTTTCTTTCTCTCTCACTCACTCTCTCAATCTCTCTCTCTGTATCTCCTGGCAACAGCGGCGCCGCGGGGATTTGTGGGAAACAATGGCTGCCGGAAACGCGTCACACATCCCGCATGTGACGTAAAACAAGCCGCGCCGCCGGGGAGCGGGGGGAGGGATGCGCGCGCCGCCAGCGCGTTGCGGTGTGAGCGGCTGCAGCTGCTCTCTGTTATGAATGTAAAACCTTTGTGGGGGAGTTTCTCCCTCTGAAGGCCTTGTCTCACAGTTTCAAACGCCCTGAGAGCTGAGCCACAACAGCCACTCCGCTGCATATATATATATATATATATAGGGCCGTGTGTTGGGTGGACCTCGCGCTGCAAACTCGGTAGGCCCTGAGCACCACATCCCGCCCGCCCTGGTAAGGGCCCCCCCGGGTGCCGGGCCCCCCCTGGGCCCCCCCTGGGTGCCGGGCCCCCCCTGGGCCCCCCCTGGGTGCCGGGCCCCCCCTGGGCCCCCCCTGGGTGCCGGCCCCCCCCGGGCCCCCCGGGTGCCGGGCCCCCCCTGGGCCCCCCCTGGGTGCCGGGCCCCCCCTGGGCCCCCCCTGGGTGCTGGGCCCCCCCTGGGTGCCGGGCCCCCCCGCGCGGTGAGTGACCGTTGCGGACAGACATTTCGCGGTGAGTGACCGTTGCGGACAGACATTTCGGGCCCTCCCTGTATGTAGCTCGCGGTGGAGGGTCCGCTGTGCCGCGGGTTTACATGTCCACAGTGGGTCACCCGCGCCTTCAGTTTCAGTCGGCAGTCTTGGGCGGGTTCGCGGGCCGCCCGGTGAGCTCCTGCCCGGGGGGGGAGGAGGGGGGGGTCAGGCCCTATCCGGCCTTTGCCGAGGTTGAGCTGAGCTTCAAGTCCAAGGCCCTCCTTTTCCCTCCCCGGACCCTCACGCTCAGAGCTGATGAGAAATGTGTTGCGTTTAGTTTGAACCAGAGGAGGAGGAGGAGGAGGAGAGCGCCGACACAGGACACAGGACCCGCTCACACACGGTCTGCAGCCGAGTGTCCCGCATTTGGGGACATCGCAGGCGGCAGCAAACACGCAGTGCAATAGGTTAGACTCGTCCTGGGAGCAGCACCTTCCTGATGATGATCTCTCTCATGTCAGAGGTCTATATATAGATATATATATATATATATATCCCTCACCACCACCACCTGCTCACCATTAGCTCTACCCCCCACCGCCTCCCACCTTCCAAACTTTCCTCTTAACGTTTTTATTCCCTTCATCCCAAATCACTGCAAACCAATCGTGAAAATACAATTCTCTTTGCAACTCTCTTATTCTGCGGTTTATTTAAATTCACAATTCGGTACAAAAATATAATCCTCCCCTTCCCCCCCCCCCCCCTCCCCCCCGCATTTGCATAAAGATCAGAAATGGAGGGGCGATAATGCACCAAATCTTCAGCCAATCAATGGCAGATGGGGGTTAACCCCTTACTCGCCTGAGTATGGTACAAAAAAAGGAAATGGTGAATGGAGATACTTTTCCTTCTGTTCTGTCACCAGCCCTACGAAATGTAACTTCAAAAGGACTTCCTCCCGACATGAAAGGCGCTCTATAAATGTAATTTTGCTGTTGTTGTTGTTGACTAGAAATAGCCACGAGTGGGAAATCACGTACTGATTAGAAAATTCTGCTGTGCGCAATTGGCTGCTGCATTTCACCCACAAAACCGGCAGGGTGAAACCTTAGGCAAGTTTCCTTACTCCACACGCCTGATAATAATCCCTCAAGAAAAAAAATAATAATAGCTTGGTCACTCGATCCACGACTGTTTGTGGGACACTGCTGTGCGCAATTGGCTGTCGCGTTTCGCCCACAAATATACAGTCAATTCACTTTACAGTATATTCTGTGAAGCGCTTTGAGACGTCTAGAAGATGTGAAAAGCGCTATATCAAAAGCAAGAAATTGACTATACTTGTGGGCAAACACGACAGCCAATTGCGCACAGCAATGTCCCACAAAGTCATGGATTGAAAATGACCAATTTAATATTGTTTTTTTTTTGGAGGGATTATTATTAGGTGTGTGGAGTAAGGAAACTTGCCCAAGGTTTCGCCCTCTGCCTGGAATTGAACCCAGGTGTCTCACTTGCAAGGCGAGTGCTCTAACCACTGAGCTACAGTGAGCTACACTCACTACACCACAAAACTCGTTTTGGGTAGGACTTAGACACACTGCAGCTAATGCTGATTAATATGTGGGAATCTAGTGATGTTACCTGAGTCAATGCAGTGCTCTAGCAGCAGCTTGTTTCTGTTACACTGTCAGATTCTGAAGTCTCTGATGGGAGAAAGATAATGACTGGAATAAAAAAGGTTCCATCATTAGTTTCAGAGAGGTGACATAATAATTATAGGAACTGCAAATAAAGTGCCATTAGCATGTAATGTGTCACTCCAGGACTCCACAGGACTTGGGCGAGGCGTGGGATGTGAAGCAGGTTGGAGCCTGCTGAGCGGAGGGAGCAAGCAGGTTGTTAGGGGGTTAGGAGGTCGCAGAGGTAGGGGGGAGCAAGGCCATGGAGAATTTCAAAGGTGAGGAACAGGATCTTGAATTATATCCTCTGTTGGGCGATGTTGTGGAGGTGGGGGAAGGCAGAATGGGTCACAGCACGGATGTGGGGTAGAAAGGATAGTTGAGGGTCAAACAAGACCCCAAGGGTCCGGACTGGCTCAGTGTGCAGCCATGGATGGTGATGCTGTCACCGCCTGAGATGTGGAGACACTGACGGAAGCCAATCAGGAGAGCCTCGGTCTTGTTGACGTTCAGCTGGAGAAAGTTAACTCTCATCCAGGACTTGATGTCTGACAGACATTCTGTCAGGACAGTAGTGGGTCTGGAGTCGAGGGTGGAGGCAGAGAGATAGAGTTGGATGTCATCCACATACATGTGGATTACAACTGGGGAAATGAGTCATCAGTGGCACCACCTTCCTGTCGCTCTCCGCACTGCTTCATACCTCCCGCTTCAGCTCTTCCCATCACTCCCCTCAGCTCCCTTTCAAAAGGTTATACAAGGTGACCAAAAAATTGTGATATCTACCGTATTATCCAAAAAAAATCATCATTTCTTTAAAACTTATTGGACATTGTTATGGTATCATGACTGTTTGGTCACCCTGTAGAAGGCACAAGGTAGTTTATGAAAACTTGTTTTGTACTATTTTATGAGATAACCTTATTAGTGTTGACATTCTGATTTTTTTAAATTCTCTTAATAAACTACATTCTCTTCAAATCGAAAGTGTGGCATTGTCTTTTTGACTCAGAAGACTGAATGAATTGAACAGAGGGACATCTCCGCCATCTGTTAAAAATACAGTTCAGCTTTATTGGGGACATGGTTGGCCAAATGGCCTTCTTCTTTGTAGTAAATTTCTAATCTTACCATCTTTGTTCTTCATCTTGTCAGTCAAGAATAATAAATTTACGTTTGCCATAGCACCTTTCATGTCAGGAGGATGTCCCAAAGTGCTTCACAGGATAATAGTGTAAAATGCAGAGACTGTTTTGTGGGATAACACAGCAATTTGTGCACCACAATGTCCCAAAGCAGGTGGCATTCTCAACCTGCTTTATCTCTCTCCTCTGGTGAAAGATAATCAGTCCATTTGATGTGGCACCTGTAACCTTGAATGGACTTAAAGGAACCTACTGTTAATGTAACATTTTGTGAAGGACAGTAACCAAAATGCAAAGATATTATTAAGTGTAGAGATTGTGTGTTTTGTAAGTAAAAAGGGCAACCAGTTTGCACAGAAGGTTCCAGAAACAGTCATGAAGTGAATGGCTGCAGTGATTGTTGGCTTGGACTTTCCTCTGGGAAAATCTCCCGTTTTCAGATAGTGCCATAGAATCTTTAACGTCCACGTGAACAGGCAGACATCAAGTTTAAAGTCTCATCCGAAGGACAGCACCTCCAACAATGCAGTACACACCCAACACTGCACTGGAGTATCAACATAGAGTTCCAAGTCCCGACGTGGAGCTTTAGCCCACAAATTTCTGACTCAGAAACAACTGAGCCAGCCTGACACAAATGGATCATGGCAGCTATTAGAATTCATAATAAATCCAGTATTGCTTTCTAGTGGAACTATAATTAAATTTAGGATCTTGGACAAAGCACAAATTAAGCAGAACTATTTAAGTCCCCTTTTTTTGAAGAAACAAAAACTGCAGTTTTTATTTGCAAACTCTTAAAAATCTTTCAGTGGAATACACAAAGCAAATAAAAACTTTAAAATAAAATACTACAAGATATTTCCCTAGAAAATTCTGCTAACTTTCAAATGATAGGAATCCTTGTACCTTTTGTTTCCACCGTCTGTGACTGTAGCTCATCTCACACTCATTGCATGACTTCTGGTTTTAGGATTAAGTGGAATTCTGAATAATTTGTTTTTAAAAATGGTTTTAAAATGTACTTTTTAAAGGTTTTATTTTTAAAGACACAAGTATCATGTACCATTATAAAGGTAGGAAGAAAAATATATTTAAAATTACCCCTTTGATTGCGCCTAATGGTCACCTCCCCCCTACTCTGCTCAGCACCTATCCCAGTCGCTGAAAAGTCCTCCGAGACACTATCCTATATGAAGGACACTGCATAAATGCAAGTTGTTGTTCCTCATGCTTTGAAAGCTGCATCTGATACATCATCGCAAAAGTGTGAAAAAATCGATTTCAGATTCCCCTCAAGAACCTTTAGAGGCACTGAAATTCCCTACAGAAATAATCACTGTTCAAAAAACAGGTAAACACTTTGTACAACTTTTTAAAGATTTAAAATTAATCGTTCCAGAGTCCTGAAATAAGGCATACATGTCAGTTTACATAAGAAAAGCACACTAATGAACCACATTACCACTTCAACTTCAATTGGCAATTGCCCCAAAATATGACCAATTTCATATGCCCATATAAACCAATTAATGGATCTGGACAAACTGTACTTTTATTTATCCACACCTTTAAACCACTAATACATGACACTGCAGCAGAGCATTTTTTTTGGTTAGCTGGGTGTCTTGACACAAGCGATACCCATCACTAAGCTTAACAATATCAAGAACAGTTCCATGCACCCAATTTATAATAATAATCCTTGCATTTCATATAGCGCCTAATCTCATCGCCAACGTCTCAAAGTGCTTCACAGTATATTCTCTGTATTGACTGGGTATTTTGTGCGTGAAACACATCTGCCAGTTTGCGCACACCAACTGGTGAAGTTGACTGTTGTGGATGCTGGGAGCACAAAATTTCAGATATTGTACTGAAACTAAAATGATTAAATGCAGTAACTCAATTGGTACTGAAAAGGGATAGGCCTAATGGTGCTCAAGGAGTGAACACTTGTCTGAGTTGTGGAGCAGTAACGGAGACTCACCCTGGAAATAGCCATGGAGTTAGTGACCAATTTTATTTGGGGGATTTGTTGGCCAGGACCCTGGGTGAAATTCCCTTCTCTTTTCGAATAGTGCCATGGGATCTTTAACGTCCACCTGAACAGGCAGACGGAACCTCAGTTTTATCCGAAGGATGGCATCTCCGACAATTCAACAAACACCCAGCACTTTATTGGAGTGTCAGTTTAGTATAATTGCAAATCCCGATATTGGGCTTGAACCCACAACCTTCTGAATCAGTGTTATCACTGAGCCAGGTTGATGCTCGTCACCTATATATAGAAATCCCAGATTGTTGGTATGGAATGCCCTCTCTTTCTCTGGAGGGCCACATCCTGCTTACCTAATACCGGAAAGTATTAGTCGCAGGTTGGCAAGAGCCAAGGCTTGGGGACCCCAGAGTGTGCGTTGGGGTAACTGCTGGAGTCTAACCAGCTAAAACCACATAGTTTGTCACTGATATCATGGTCTGGCAAGCTTTCCCACTGCTTGTCCAGCTATCCATTAGGGCTTTGGCTTGCAGGATTAATGGGAACTGAGTGAGAAGAGTCAGGCTGGCTGTGCTATAGGACATAAATGTCAAACAAGGATCATGCAGAAAAAGTCAAACATCATTTTTTCTTATTCTAATTTTCTGTGGAATTTTTTTCAAAGGTTCCAAACAAGTTTAAAGTATTATAGATCAGTAATATGTGATCTTGCAAGGTGAAAAGGTGCTATATCAAATGCAAGCATTATAATAGGACTATTTTATAAAGGATAATTTTGATATGAAATAAATACCTTCTACCCAGGTTAAATAAAAACAAAATATTGCAGTAACAAATATTGAAAAGGATAGATGTAAAGGGAAGCACAGTTAATGGAATGTTAGCACTAATAACTGATACATTTTGCATTTCCTAATTCCTTTCTTGCTTGCATTACAATCAAGCAATATATGCATTATAGAAGGTAATGGTGAGGTTGTGCATAGAATAATTTCTCATTTAATACTGGTCATGTCTGGAAAAGACCTTAATGTACAAGAAAAAAAGGAAATGACAATAATTGGGAACAATGCACAGATTTTAGTTTTCTTCAGGTCTTTATTGGAGTGGAGTTTCCTTTCACAGTTTTCTTTAGGTGATGATAATTAGGTAAGATCTTCATTAGGAAATCTAACTGTAGTGTCTGCGGCTGTAAATAAAAAGATGAGATAATGCAACAGATGTAGTGTAAAGGCTATCTAAGCAAGCAACAGAATGTCAACTAGGAAACAACTGGTCAATAGCAAATCAAGGTTTATATAAAATCTTTTCAATTCTCAGATATATTTTCCCATATTTGGAGGTAAATATTCCTGTTTATTTTTGGTTCAGTAAAATGTTCAAGAGATGGCTTGTGTGCAACCAGCTGAGGAATGGGATACTTCCACATTCATTCCCAATGTCACTATCTAGCATGTCCAATTTTGGTCAATTGTAAAGCCTGATCTATTACACCACTTCAAAACTGTGCTGGATTTTATAAAGGCAATAAACAATTCAATTATGTAAATATACCTCTCTTCCAATGGACTTTAAGCAATGCAGCACACAAGACCCTTTAGCCCTTTGATCTTATGCTTCCACAACACCCACCACCTTCCTGCCTTCCCATTGCAGGATCAACCTGTTTCTCAAACGATTGGCGTTAACCAGCGTTCCCGGTAACCTTTTCCAATAGTTAATCATCCTATGTAAATACTTCCTGGTGTATATCTTCAAATAGCCTTTCAGAACCCTGAATCTGTGTCTGCTTATTCTGCTGTTTTAATGAATGTGGAAAGTATTTATTTGCCTTTACTTTGTCAATCTCATTTAGATCTGTAAGATCTTCTCTGAGACCCTTAATGTACATGTTTACTAACATTCAGGAATCACCAAAAATGTTAGTAATATTTATTACTATATTGGTAATATCACCAGAAGCATTTGGGCCAAAATCTATATTATACGTAGTCAGAACAATTCACGAATATTGACGCAGTTGTAACTCACCCCCTTATTTGATCCAGCAAACTAACACCTCTTTCCTTTCATTGACATTTTACAATATTGAAAAACCTTTTATTCGTCCTCTAGTTGAAAAGCACCAATGTGAAATAGTATTACTACGTCAATCTGCACAACAGGCCTTACCTGAGGTCGTTCTGTCTGGACTCTTCGCATGCAGTCAACTCCATAGATGACAGTGTTTTCTGGAATCACTTCACAAGATTTTACCTCACAACATGCTCCAATAATGCATCCATTGGTCAGGATCACATTTCTACCTACAAATGCTTTTACAAAAAAGAAAACATTATACATTTAAAAAAAGAGGCATATAGTCACTCACTGCAAACAGATTGATTACAAGATCCTCAGGAAAAAGCAGAATAAATAGGTGACTGAGCCAGCCACAGAAGGGCCACATATGGTTATGTGATCTGGCACTGCAAATGAAAATAAAGATGTGCCTGCAGATTTACAATATATACTCAAACCTCAGCTACAACATGTGCCCAACTACACAAGCAAACAGGACCTGTGTTTAATTTCTCATCCGAAGGAAGGCACCTACGATGACTCAGTACACCCCCAGCACTGCACTGGAGTGGAATAAGAGCGGGATTGTGGGACTAGTTGGTAGCTCTTTCAAAGAGCTGGCACAAGCACGATGGTCCGAATGGTCTCCTTATGTGTTGTAAGATTTTATGATTCTATGGAGTTTCAGTCCAGACTGTGAGCACAAAGTCCTGATGTGGGGCTTAAACCCACAACTTCTGACTCTGAGGCAAGATTGCCGACAACTGAGCCTGGTTGACACCCTGTGTTTTTCTAAAAAAAACAAATCACAAATATTCACAAATATTGCAAAAACACAAATCTGGTCCAGCTATCTCAAACGTTTGAAGCATTGCTACTCCAAAATGCCCAACACAGGTGCTCTCGGGGATGCTGCTTGGGTCTGTGGGGAAAGCCAATAGCCCACAGTCCAAAGTCATAATCTATATAAACAGGTCGAAGCCTGGCCCATCTACTAACAATGATGGATCAATTTATGTGTAAGATACATTCCAGCGTTCATTGTGGGATGTTGCTCAAATGTTGCTCAAACAGATTGACTGCCATCTTTACCTCTGCAGGGTGAATCAGAAGTCCTTACTCATAAAGTTTTAAATGTTTAATTATATTCTTTTTTAAGATAACATTTGTAGAGTGTGCAGCTATTACAGGAAATGTTTTTCATCACGTTCATGAACTTTTTTGTCACCGAGTTAATATGTGTAAACGTCCGTTTACTTGGCAGCAGTTTAATCATTTCATAGAGATCTACGACTAAGGACTTTTGATTCACCCTGTGTAATATTCACTTTATTTCCAATTAATTTAATTGGATTAAGTGCTTTGAGAAGTTTATTTTGTGAAGATACTCTATTCATGTAAAGTTGTTTTTCTGGTCCTCTGAAGCTTTCAAAACTTGAACACTGCAAGGATCAAACAAAAAATTCTCTAATTATCTTCTCTACGAAACAAGTTGAGTTTACAAATAAAGATTAGAATTTCTAAAAATAAAGACTCACCTTTAGATTCAATTACATTGTTATCTCCAATCTTCAGAGCTTCAAAATCTGAACACAACAGTTAAAGATGATTTATTTTTCCAATTTTCTTTTGTGCAAACTGATTACCCCATTTCACACCATTTTATCTAACTTATTAAGTAATAATCTGTCACCATCCATTTCTAGAGCAAACCCGGGCGGTAACTACTTTTAACCCAAATATATGAAAGGATACTGCATCCAACTTCAAATACATTGTTTGTTCCAATATTCATAATTTTAGGTTCAACGTCTTCTTTCTGCAACATGACATTTTCTGGATACCTGCAACAAGAAGCAATACATGTTTTCAAAATGGAGAGTAAGGATTATTCTACTGCCCGTAGTAGATCATGTGTTCAGTACAATTTGTAATTATGAAGGTAATGTTTAAAGGCAAACTGTAAATCACTAGGATCTAATTCCTGGTATTTATTGATGGGATTTGTTAAGAAATAGGTTGAGCAAATGAGGAGTCTTTCCAGAACCTGGAAATGCATTATATCGAGCTGTCCTTGTTCCCAATCTACTTCTAGTGGATTTCCTGCAGGTCAATTCCTCATTAAACTCTACTAACATATTCAACACTTTGACAAAATCAAGGTACATCTTTGTTGATCATAATTTATTGTGTGTGCTTCATAGAGTAAATATGATTTCCATAGCAACAAGCAGCACTGGACCAATAACAACCAACATAATTATGCCTGGCTTATGCAGCGGGAAAACAATAAAATATTCAAGCAGTAATGAATCTGAAGCTGGTTTATACTCAAATTCTCACAACCTTGGTGAGAGTGTTGCCTTGGGAGCCAAGCTGATACAAATGTACAGCTCTCTTCTAACTAGTGTTATGTTACTAAAAAGCTAATCGTGCACTCAGTTGTTAAACAATATTAAGATTCACCACTAAAATTTATTGAATCATGTATTGGTCCTTCTAAAGGTGACTTGTGTAACTCAAGAATCACTTTGCAACTCCACCTATGAAATCCTGCTTATTTTCGCATGATTTGTCAGAATCTTCATGGAAAATCACTGCACAGACTAAGTATTGGAAATAAAGCATGAAGTGGGAAAGCGTAAATAATAATAATCCTTCCATTTGATATAGTGCCTTATCACATCGTTGAGAAACCTCAAAGCGTTTCACATAATATATTGTAAAATGGATTGACTGTATATTTTGTGGGTGAAACGCGTCAGCCAATTGCGCACATTCTAATTAGACATTTTATACATAGTACAACATTCAAGTACATTGTGAGGAGTCAGATACAAATATTTTTGTTGCAATAAAAAAAGTGCTAGTCACCATATTACCACCTTTTGCATCTTATTCTTTGAGAACGCAAGTCAGGTGTTCATTCTGTTTCACTCACCTGTTAATGATAAGTGCTTGTTCTTCAATCAAGTTCCCTTCCCCAATGATAATTGGCCCTGCTTCAGCAATAATGCGAGCCTTGGGATGCACCACTGTCCTGGGTCCTAGAAATAGATAGTGCAGATACTGTCTTCATCCTTACCAAAGATGTTATGGTCAAAATATGACAGCTTACAGAATTAAGTAGACATTTACTAGATTCACAGTATGCAAGAAATGTTTATTAAATTTATATTAAGCGTTTCACCTAAATTAATTAAAAGCAGTTGCTGGATCTTAAATAAGGAATACTTCAATGGAGCTCTCATTGCGAGTGAGCAGTCTCTGAGTGTAAATTCCACCTAAAACTTGTAATACTTACCTTTAAAAATAGTCAACTGATTCTAGGATGTTTCAGAAGAATGGGGAAAGAAACCAAAACAGCTGCACCAAAGATCAACACCACAAATGAGGTCTATGTGGGTTCTCAAATGTCATTATAATGACATTTAACAATGTAACAAAAACATTGGTTAACGGAAGTACACTCCAAATGTAAACTGCATTGGAGGGAAGTTCCCATGCATTGGCATGACATATTTCTAAATTCTTTATTAAGGAATCCTGTTAGAAATCAGTGTATATTTCACCCCATTATGTTAGACATTTTAATTGCTCCACTACATTTGAATGACATTGAAAGTGAAGTAGGATCTTTTTAAATATAATAACAACAATTGTTGCATTTGATATAGTGCCTCATCATGTCTCCAGGCGTCTCAAAGCGCTTCATAGAATATACTGCAAAGTGATTGACTGTATATTTTACGGGCGAAACGTGACAGCTAGTCAGGCACAGCAGTGTCCCACGAACAGTCGTGGATTGAGTGACCAATTTTTTGAAGAAATTTCTCCACTGATTTGATTACACTTACATATCACAATATCTCCTCATTTTTGATATGGGTATAATATTGTTCTATACTTTTCATTTGCTGTGTCTCTACCCAATTACATAACAAAATAATTCCTTTTACAGTTTCTTTCTCTCTCACAGTCTTTTGTTCTACCCCACATCTGCGCCATGACCCGCTTTGCCTTCCCCCACCTCTGCAACTTCACCTGGCTCCAACACTGTCTAGCACAGCAGGCTGCCGAAACCCTCATACACGCTTTCATTACATCGAGGCTCGACTATGGAAACTCATTGCTTGTCGCCCTTCCCAACTCCCCTCCCTCCACAGCCTGCAGATCATCCAGAACTCTGCAGCCTGTGTCCTCTCCCGCACAAGGCTCCGCGACTCTATCACCCCCATCCTCGCCCAATTCCACTGGCTTCCCGTCACACAGCGGATACAGTTCAAGATTCTGGTCCTCACCTTCAAAGCCCTCCAAGGTCTTGCTCCCCCCTACCTCTCCAACCTCATAATCCCCTACCATCCTGTTCACTCCCTCTGCTCAGCGGGCTCTGGCCTGCTTCACGTCCCCCGCCTTGCTTGCCCCACTATTGGCAGGCGGGCCTTCCACCACTCTGCACCCACCCTCTGGAACTCCATCCCACAGTCCCTCCGCCTCGCCACCTTCCTTGCCCACTTCAAGACCCACCTCAAGGCCCTCCTCTTCGACCGTACTTTCGATCTCTGCTTCCCCCCTCTCCCCCACCCCTCCCCACCCCACCTCTGTCTGTCCAGTGCCTTGGGACGTAATTTTGTTGTTGTTGTTAGGACATCTGGCCATTTTATAGTTTGTTTCAAAAATTGGTTATCTATGTAAATTAAAGCCGTCTAAGCAACTGACCCTTAAGCTCCACATAGTTCGTCTAGCTTTAAGGACATCTTCCATGAGTACTCAGTTTACTATTTCTTAAAGGAGTATCTTGATAGTAACATGGACCGTTCAGCCCATCTAGTTTGTTCCGCCATTTTATCATGGCAAATCTTTCTACCACATTTTCTCCATTCCATTATCCTTATTTCCAAGTTTCCCTCAATTTCAAATATTTCAATGTACAGCCTTATAACGCAGTGAAAAAATGTTTTCCAATGTCATGTCCTACTTCATTAGCAATAATTTTATATTCCCTGGTTTTTAAATTTCTCTTTCAGAGGGAAGAGCCAAATTTCCTAGCAGACACTGATAGCACCATGAGCATCGCTTACCAATGGTAACATCTCCTCTGATTTCACTTTCAACACAGACAACAGCTCCAGCTGCAATCTTCACACTGCAAAGCAAAAAAAATCATTAGTGGATATTTAATTAATCCATTTGCATCAAATAATCCACTGAGTTTAAAATCTAAAACAGTAATCCTTGCAATAGATAAAAGAGCATTTAATGTTGGGAGGGCAGCTGAAACAGCTTCAAAGAATTTACTGTGAAGTGTAATAACGGTATTTTGTAGTTTACTGTGGTACAACCCAATCTGTACACAGGATGTCTCATGAACAGCCATGAAGTGAATGAGCAATTTTATCCTGGGGGTTGTTGGCCTGGATACAAGGAGCAACTCCCTACACTGTGCATTGTATTGCCGCATGATGTCCACCCGAATGTGCAGCCAGGGCACCAGTTTAACATTTGATCTGTACATCAGCACCTCTGACAAGGCAGCGCTCCCCCAGCTTAGACTATATAAGGTCATCATCCCAACATGAGGCTTGACCCACAAGCTTCTGACTCAGAGGCAGGCTATCACTGCCAGACAAAACTAGGTTGTGTAGTGGACATGAAGATGACTTGTTGTGTAGTGGATGTGAAGATGACTTGTTGTGCAGTGGATATTAAGATGACTTGTTTTGTAGTGGCTGTGAAGATGAATTGTTGTGTAGTGGGTGTGAAGATGAATTGTTGTGTAGTGGGTGTGAAGATGAATTGTTGTGTAGTGGATGTGAAGATGACTTGCCAGTCAGGAACCTAGGTGTCTTGTTCGACCCGCAACTGTCTTTTCTTCCCCACATCCAAGCCATGACCCGCTCTGCCTTCTCTCACCCCCGTAACATCTCCTGACTCCGCCACTACCTCACCCCTCAGGCTGCTGAAACTCTTGTTCATGCCTTCATTGCCTCCGGGCTCGACTATGCAAACTCCCTGCTTGTCGGCCTTCCCAACTCCTCCCTCCACAGACTGCAGATAATCCAGAACTCTGCAGCCCGTGTCCTCTCCCGCACCAAACTCCGTGACCCCATCTCCCCCATTCTCGTCCGACTCCATTGGCTCCCTATCCTTCAGAGGATCCAGTTCAAGATCCTGGTCCTCTCCTACAAAGCCCTCCATGGTCTCGCCCCACCCTACTTCTGTGACCTCCTAACCCCCTACCAACCCGCCCGCTCCCTCCGCTCAGCCGGCTCTGTCCTGCTCCACATCCCCCGACCCACCCGCCCCACCATTGGTGAGAGAGCCTTCAGCCACTCTGCTCCCAACCTCTGGAACTCCATCCCCCAATCACTCCGCCTCACCCTCTCCCTAACCTCCTTCAAGTCCCGCTTCAAGACCCTCCTCTTCGACCATGCCATCAGCCACCACCTTCCCCTCCCCCTCCAGACGTGAAAGGCGCTTTACAAATGTAATCTTGTTGTTGTTGTTGTTGTTGTTGTTATGGATGTGAGATGAATGCCGGGACATTCAGAGCAGAGTCAGGGAGGGCAGCGCAGTGTATGGACAACACAAACTGCTTCATTAACAGACACGGCCTCGCCTGGTGCCAGTCCGGCCCGGGATGCCCGGCCCGGGATGCCCTGCCCGGGGAGCACACAGTGAGCAGCCGCCGCCTCTCACCTTCTCTGCATCAACTGCTTCCCCGGCACATCCGCCATCTTCTTTACTCGCAGTGCGCCTGCGCGACCACTCCGCCCGCGGGGCTTCATGGGAGATGTAGTCTTTACATCGGTCACAAGGTGACTTCCGGTCAGACAGTACATTGGTCACACTCTACACTGTACATGGTCACACTGTGCAATGTACCTGGTCACACTGTACACTGTACCTGGTCACACTGCACATGGTCACACTATGCAATGTACATGGTCACACTATACCTGGTCACACTGTACACTGTACCTGGTCACACTGTACACTGTACATGGTCACATATACACTGTACCTGGTCACACTGTACATGGTCACAGTGTACACTGTACATGGTCACACTGTACCTGGACACACTGTACACTGTACATGGTCACACTGTACACTGTACATGGTCGCACTGTACCTGCTCACACTGTACACTGTACATGGTCACACTGTACCTGGTCACACTCTACACTGTACATGGTCACACCGTACATGGTCACACTGTACACTGTACATGATCACACTGTACCTGGTCACACTCTACACTGTACACGGTCACACTGTACCTGGTCACACTGTACATGGTCAGACTGGACACTGTACATGGTCACACTACTAACTCCCACCATGAGCTTCTCCAATCGGGTTTCTGTGCTGCCAACAGCAGGGAAAATCAGCCACAATTCCTATTTCTCTGTAAACGTTTAACATTTTAATATTCATATCATACTAATAATCCTTGCATTTGATAGAGCGCCTTATCGGGTCTTCAAGACGTGTGAAAGCACTTCACGGAATATACTGTAGAGTGCAGTGACTGTGCATTTTGTGAGTGAAATATATATGGTTAATGGAAATGGAGTTAAATGCTTAATATTTTCTATTGAGCGTATTCTATAGCTTAACACAGTGCAATGCGTGTGTGCTGTATGTTTTTATATAGGGGCGGGAGGGGTCAGGCGGGGGGAGGGGGAGGGGTCAGGGGGAGGGGGAGGGGGGGGAGGGGTCAGGGGGAGGGGGGAGCGGTCAGGGGGAGGGTCAGGGGGAGGGGGAGGGGTCAGGGTCAGGGGGAGGGGAGGAGCGGTCAGGGGGAGGGGTCAGGGGGAGGGGGAGGAGGGGTCAGGGGGAGGGGGGGAGGGGTCAGGGGGAGGGGAAGGGGGAGGGGTCAGGGGAGGGGAGGAGTCAGGGGGAGGGGTCAGGCGGGGTTTGCTCCCGGATGCAGTTGCTCAGGCAGTCAGTCACTGCCGGAGGGGAGGCCGGGACCAGGCCGCCATGTACCGGGCCCGCTGCCTGGCCGCTGTCCGCGCCGCGTCTGTGAGTAGCTTCAGAGTGTGTGGCTGAGAGCCTGTCCCCCCCCCGGGGCCCCCGGGCCTCCCCGCTCGGCCGACAGTGGGGCTGTGTCTGTGTCCGCGGTGATAGATCACAACGTGCGTGTGATCGCCCCTCACCTTGAGAGGGCTGAAGGGGAGCGAGCGGCGGTGCCGCGGTCACTGTGTCTGCAGGGCAGGCAGGGAGGGCAGGCAGGGAGGGAGGGCAGGGAGGGCAGGAGGGCAGGCAGGGCAGGGAGGGCAGGCAAGCAGGGCAGGCAGGGAGGGCAGGCAGGGCAGGGCAAGCAGGGCAGGGCAGGCAGGGCGGGCAGGCAGGGCGGGCAGGCAGGGAGGGCAGGGCAAGCAGGGCAGGGCAGGCAGGGCAGGCAGGGAGGGCAGGGCAAGGAGGGCAGGGCAGGCAGGGGAGGGCAGGGAGGGAGGGCAGGCAAGCAGGGCAGGCAGGGCAGGCAAGCAGGGCAGGGCGGCAGGGCAGGCGGGCAGGGCAGGCAGGGCAGGGTAGGGCAGGCGGGCAGGGCAGGGCAGGGCCACTGAACAATTACTAACAGTCACTACATCAAGTCACACCTGTGACAGCACCTTTCATGGCAGGAGGACATCCCGAGGCGCTGGACGGTCACCATTTGGACACCAGTTCAAAGGATGGGGGGGGGGGCAGGATGTCTGATGGCCTGACCTCCGATGGTGGAGTGGCTGGAGCCCGCTGAGCAGAGGGAGCGGACGGGTCTATATGGAGTTTGCAGGTCACAGAGGGTAGGGAGGAGCTTTGAAGGCGACGACGAGGATTTTGAACTGTATCCTCTGGGGATGGGGAGCCCGTTGAGCCGGGCGAGGGTGGAGGTGATGAGGTCACGGAGCTTGGTTCAGGAGAGGACACGAGCTGCAGCGTTCTGAATGATCTGCTGCTTGTACAGGGAAGAGTTGGGAAGACCAACAAGCAGGGAGTTAGCATAGTTGAGCCTAGATGTCTTGGCATGAGGGGAGAGGCAGTGGCGGAGTTGCGGAGGTGGGTGAAGGCAGAACAGGTCATGGCACGGATGTGGTTTAAACCAGATGCCAAGGTTCCACGCTGGCCCAGGGAGGTGGAGTGTGCATCCATGGAGTGCGATGGCGTCAGCACCTGAGGTGTGGAGGCGCTGACAGGAGCCAAGCGGTAGGGCCATGGTCTTGTTGACATTCAACTAGAAAAAGTTAGCGCTCATACAGGACTTAATGTGTGACTGACAATCCGTTAGGACAGCAGTGGTCCTCGAGTCGAGGGTGGAGGGAGATTGTTGGCCAGGACACGGGGGAGAAACTTCCTTGTCTTTTCAACTAGTACCATGGGATCTTTAATATCCACCGGGATGTGTGGGTGGAAAATTGGTTCAATGTATCAGATACCTCAGACAGTAGCTCTCTCCAAGAACAGCACTGGAGTATCAGCTTAGACTGAACTCAAAAGTCCCAACCTAAAATCGACTGACTCAGAGGTGGGAGTGCGACTGACTAAACTATAATGCGGCTCTCACATGACACTGGGCTGCATACTGTATTCATTATCTTATGACTACAGTAGTTTAATTGAGAACTAGATTTTTTTAAATATTTAATCCACTGAAAACAATACACATACAAAATATTGACATTCAACTGGAGAAAGTTAGTCCACGACCTGATTCTTGCTGAAACCTCAACATACATTGACAGAATCTTGTAATGTTGCAATATTTTGTATTGTGCCAATGCCTGCTTCCTCTACCACACCAAATTTCTCATGCCCATCGCTCCAGTCCTTGCCAAGCTCTTCTGGCTCTCAGTAGATTATTTCAAGGTCCTTACTCTCCCCTACAAATACTTTGCAGCCCTAGGACTTCCTCATCTTGTCTGTACAGTGTTCTGAGATATTATCCAGCATTATTGTTGCATGGTCCAAATATGAAACACACATTTTTAAATGTGCTTCCTAATTACAAGAGAAAATATAGGTAAAGGAATATCTCAGAGATAAATGACATACTGTCTAAGCATTGGGTACTGCTGCAATCTAACCAGCTAAAAAAAACAAAGCTTTGTCCAATTAGGACCACTAAGGACCCAGCTTGTTGAGGCTTTGACTTACAGGGTTAACAGGAGCTGAATGCGAAGAACCTCTGGCCAGTGACTGGTCTGCCCTTCCAATTCCTGCTGATGAATCAGGCTGTCTGTGCTGTCATCAGCAGTGCCCTGGAATATTGCAGACGTACCTGGATCTGGAACTGGACTATCAAGTCTGTCACTGAGGCCTGGCTCGATTCTGACATTCCATTGCCATCATGTCACCTTGGAGCCAGTTCAGCTCCAAAGAAACCTTGCTTATCTCCCCCCGCCCCATTAGTTGACATTAAGAGCTTTGAGACGTCTAGAAGATGTGAAAAGTGCTATATAAAATGCAAGGATTATTATTATTCAACAAGTGTGGGTTGTAAGAATGAAAGGGTGGATTTGCTGTCGTCTTTTGTCATTGTTCTTTCATCATTTACGTTGTAGCCTTTGATTGGGTTGACCTCACGATGGACAAGACCAATGAACCTTCCTGCAAGCTCAATGGAATACTGCACAAAGTCATCGGAACCTGAACAAACCATTGGGCGATATCCCATCCCATATAAAAAGGATCTCCCCTATGATATTGTTGAACTCATGGAGGAGATTGAAACTAAAGTGAGTATTATTATTTATTCTGTATTAAGTATGTTTGGTGCTTTATTGGATGTTCGTGCTGAGTTTTACATTTAAGTTGTGGAACATAAAAAGATTTTGAAATTTGTTGTTCACCATTGATCCTGGTGAGATTTTCCACTGCTCTGACTCGATCTCTGGAAAGTTTGCACACCACCTGGTGACAATGTTAGTGACACTGGGGTCAGTGGCCTTTTCACCAACCCACACACGCATGCAGGCAGCTTAGGTAGAAAGTATTAATATCACACTCATGTAATTGAAGATGTTCTTCTGAAGTTGGGGATAAAATGCTTTGTTATTCTTTACTATGACGGACCTGGAACCATTTGAAGTTAATTATAGGAGTGTCAGTAGCTAGAGGATAACGATTGAAATAGTAAATGAGCAAATGGAGAAATGTTTTCATGCACAGAGTAGTTAAGATATGGCATACCCTGCCAGGAGTGGTAGTTGAGGCAAAATTCATATTGTGCTTCAAAAGGGAATTCGACAAATACCTTAAAAACAGTCAGATACAGGGATATGGGGAAAGAGCAGGTAGGTGGGACTGGAAGGATTGCTCTTGAGGGAGCCAGCACAGATACGATGGGCCAAATGAATTCCTATGGTTCCAGGATACTAAGCTCTGTTTACCAGAACTAAGATTCTTCCCTTTCTTTCTCAGAAATAGTTCACTAAAAATAAATTTTAACCATTTGAAAAATGTATTAAGGGAGCAATGCATGCTGAAAGCATTTTCAACATGCATTGCTCTCTTAATACATTTAATATATTTACAAAGAGGTTAGACAGATCTTATCATTCTGTTTTTCAGGTGATCATTAAAGATGCTATTGCAGTGAAAATGCAAATTCTCCGTTCTAGCTAGTTTTCCTCCAGATTAATTAGAATTTCACACCATGGCAGTTTTGTGGCTTTGCTGAATCCAATAGCTGTCCTGTTTGCCAACAGTCACTACCTCTGATAGTTTTTTTTAAAGTGTTTCTTTAAATAAACATAAAATAAAACATTTTAGTATAACTGTAAATCTCAGTTGAAATTGCATTTGAATGTATTCTGCTGCAAAATAAGTAGATTTTAAAAACTGCCTTAATGCCTTATTTATATTGGTTGGACTGGAAATTGCAACAAAATGTTGCAAAATCTTTATTAATTGGGTTTGAGATGCATAGTTGTGAACTGATTTGCCCTGGAGTTTGGCTGAAAACTACATGAGGAATTAGACTAATTAGTTCACATCACTGTAGCATTGTACATCCATTCATCATCTGCACAAAAATAGCCCATTAAAAGCCTTTTGAGTGGTCCACCAAAAAGGAATATCTTTCAATATTATTAAACTAATGGTGATTAGTAGAGGTCTCTGTACATACACTTAACAATGCAAGCACAGTGCTCTCCTCAGCCCCTGGTGACAGGAGATATGAGTGGTATATTTAAATGTCACATTGCATCCAGCAGTATTTACATATAGAACTTGTATTTTAACTCTTCAATGTTTCATGCTTTCTTCATTCATCCGGGTGTCTGACACATGTGGAAACCCATCCCCATGCTTAAGAGTATCCAAACCAAACTGAGATTTCCATGCATCCCACCTACACGTGGAAATCTCAGAGATAGATTGTTGGAATGTAATGCACACTCTCCCTGGAGGGACACATCCCGCTTACCTAATTCTGGAGAGTTTTAGGCCTCGGAGGCAAGAGGCTTGAGGACACCAGAGTGTGCTGGACCGCCCTGAATGCAACCCGCGGCCTTTTCTCAAATAGGGAATCCGGCCCACGGCAGCCAAAAGGTTGGACCACCCTGTGCTATGGGATTGTACTTGTGTTTAATTAGCATGTTGGAAAGATTAGGGTTTTTTTTGAGAGGAGAGGATAAAATGACCTTTCTTCAATAACTTCAGTCTTTTCAACAGCAACAAATTACATTTGTACAGATCCTTTCACGTCACCTCTCAAACCAGATTATTTGGTTATGGAAACTCTTCATCTCTATCTACCTTTCCATTGGCTTTGTTAAGATGACTGTCTGATTCTTACTTCTCTTCCTCTACATCTCTCTCTCTGGGTGTCTGTCCTGATGTCCCTCTCTATTTTGCTCTCCCGCTTTCTCCAGTAGTATCTATTTTCCCTTGTTTATCATTTAAATTGTACTTTTAAAAAAGCAGTCTGTAGAAATGTGTATTGAATCTGATGTGTTTACTAATGGTATATTCACATTACTCGTTTTCAGAGTGGTTTTTTGCCAAATGTATTTAAAGTGCTTTCACATCGACCGACTGAATTTCGAGCCTTCTTTGCCTACTACAATGCACTTATGAATAAAGAAGCAGGTATGGTGAAAGTTATCCCCAAATCCAGAGCTCACTCAACTGTCGTATTTTTCAGTCTACGTGTTTTATGTTTGAAAAAATGCAGTATTGGGAAAAAAAGCACTGAGAGTTGAAAGAGGTAAAATAGTGGTTTTATTTGATCAAAATCTGAATGGCTATGTCTTTTAGGGACATTGAGAAATGTATGTCATTGTACATGGTATAAATGGTTATTATTCTGCCTTTAATTACTAATGCTTTACCAATTACTGCAACCTTTTGTTTTAATGGAGAACTTTAGCTTATTTACTCTTCAAGAGTTTATTTGCAAATGAGACTCAGTGATGCTGCATTGTTGAGCATGTGCGTAACTTGTTTACTCTACTTTAGCTGGTTTAGCTGGTTTACTCTATTAAATATACACAAGTAGATATTGATGAGATATTTTGTTCTGCTAAGAGTAGAGAAGTCTGATTTCATGTTTCTTTGCAGGTACTGGCCTACGTTTTTTGAAACCCAGCTGGTAGAACATTTTGTTTTAAAAGTAAAATATTTCACTTTTAAAACAAAATGTTCTACCAGCTGGGTTTAAAAATTTTGTCTCTCGGTAACATTCTTTTTTTATAAAAAAAGCTGTGAGAAACCTGACAGAGAAACCATTCTCCTGAAGTTAAAGGGTGTTCAGTCCCAGACGTATCTCTAAAGCCAGGCTTTTTATCATGAGTTCTGTGCTGTTATTTAATTCTTGCCACACTCTCTTATCGTCTCTGTGGCCTTCAGTGTCCTTGGGTCTGCATAAAGCCATGGAGGAGGGGCGGCAGTGTAGTGGGGGGGAGGTAGGGGATGTCGGGGCTAGTGTAGTGGGGGATGTGGGAGGGGATGTGGGTGTAAAGCCATGGCATCTCAAATTAGAGAGATGCAGACCTCTGCTTGCAGAATCTTGTAAAGTTTACTTTCAAGCAGACACTGGCCTGAGATCTAAGCCTGGTAGCCAGTATATTTGTTTCCTAATGTTTTCACCAATCTCCATCTTCCTCTACCATCTCCATCACAGCAAATACCTCCGATCCTTTTGATTTTCGTGATCAACTTTGGTGGCAACAGCTTCCAAACATGTCATGAATACAGGGTAGTAGGGGGGAGGAGCATAAGGCTGGAAGGAAGGGTCCAGGAGCCAGAGTTGCAAACCTGAGAGGCACTTCTCTAGTATGAAAATATACACGTGTGTGCGTGCGCGTGTGTGTGCGTGTGCAAGAGAGAGAATGAATGAAGAACAGATGTCCAAGTTTGAGGAAAATAAGACTTCAGGGACCAGAGCCAACAACAAAATCCTCATCTTAAGATGTTCAACATAACTAGGAAAAGGGGGTTAGGGAATTGATACTGAGGAGGGGAGAGGACACCAGTTCTAATGCTACAGGTGAGTTTAACATAACCTAACTGGAAGTGCTCTACCAGTTAATTCTGCATATGAATGGTTCAAAGCACCATTGAAATTACCCAAATGTAGAAAACATTATTATTTATGAGTAAACTATTGACACTAGGAGCTTTTAATAGATCCGATTCTTGCAAAAAATAATTGTGTATAATTTTCCTTGTCTTGTCTCCCATTTTTGTTTAGGCCAACTCAGCAAAGCAGATAGAGAACTCATCATTGTGGCAACAAGTGCTAATAATAGCTGTCCATACTGTGTGATTGCCCACAGTGCAGTCCATCGCATATATTCCAAAAACCCAACTCTGGCAGATCAAGTAAGTACCACGCAATGAAATATTCACGTTTGCAAAGCCAAATGTCTGGTTATAAACCGTTTTCTCTGTTCTGGCTGCTTCTCATAGGTGGCAGTGAACTGGCATTTGGCTGACTTGGATGACCGACAACGTGCTATGTTGGATTTTGCTCTTGCTGTCAGCTGTGGAGAAAATATCGGAGAAAACAATTTTAAAAAGCTAGAGGCGCATGGATTTGATCGTGAGGATGCCTGGGATATAGGTGTCATTGCTGCATTTTACTCAATGTCCAACCGAATAGCTCATCTTACTGATATGCGTCCAAACAAAGAGTTTTATATGTTGGGACGATTACCGAAGGAGAAGGAAATGAAGGAGTAAAATTGTCTGAAATCCTGTCATGTATTTTCAGCTTCATGCTGATGATTATTTGGAAATTACAACATGTTATCTTACTTTTGGAATGTGCATTTGCTAGTCCTGTATAATGTAAATTAAAAGTAAAACTGGAAAGAAAGTAAGAGGGAGCTTTACATGTAAACGCCCAAACAAAGCAAAATTAGAACTGCTTCTTTAAAAGTTGCAGAAATAACTAAACAAACTATGGTTTAGATAATGCAGTGGAAACCAAAGGGAGCCATTATTACTCAGGTTCTGGTCCTGTCTACTCAGTTATTTTGTACTGTTTTATACAGAGGTACACAAATATGCCCATTATATAAATGTGTGCATTTCCTACGCAGTCCAGTGCTTAATACAGAACTTGTCACAGAATATATCAATCTGAAAACAGTTCACTATTTTCTAGGTGATGCTGGTGTTACAAGACAAATGAAGCGAGTATGTTTTTCTTCCTCATGATATGTATTTGAATATAAAATGTTCAGATTAAATGCTAGTTTTAGTTTTGGTCAGAATACAGTAATTTGAGGTTTAACATAAATTGTGCTACATTTGTGGTGCACAATGTTTTTAATTTTGCACTTTTCAGTAAGATGGTTTGCTGTTTTACGCAAAGATATTTTAGTAATGCAAATATTGTTACACATGAATTTCTTAGCTCTCTGAAGATAGCTTTTACTGCTGTCTAGACATTTGATCGTAACGTTACAGTACTTAGAAGTCAATTAAGTTTGGTATAAACTGCTTTATAAACCTATGTCTTGCTAAATTATAAAAGATCTCTGTAATTGAACTCTCATTTTGTGTGTCACAGTGAAATATGTAGTATCCATAATGTGGCTGAACTGATGTGTACTGAGTAAATGGCAAATAATGTATTAAGTAAATCAGTTTTCTTAAGAAATCAGCAGTGCGTTACTGATTTTGTCTGTCAACCTGGCTCAATGCACTTGGCTGTAAGGCAAGTTACCTTAGAGTCAATTCATTTTACAGTACATTCTGTGAGACATCTCGACGTGATAAGGTGCTACATCAAATGCAAGGATTATTATTATAAATCAGTGACAAAGGGTTCATTCTTGTCCCTGAGCCAGAAGGTTGTGGGTTCAAGCCCCACGTTGCGGCTTGGAATCATTTAGTCTAAGGTGACACTCCAATTCGGTGCTGGGGGTGTGTTGCATTGTCCTATCTGCCTGTTCAGGTGGATGTTATTAAAGATCCCATGTTACTATTCAGAAAGCGAAGGGAGTTTCTCCTGGTGTCCTGGCCAACAATTGAACTTGGGTTTGAATCCCATCAGGGCGAAACGTTAGGCAAATTACTCCTCACGCCTCTGGTTACCAAGCAGTAAGCAAGCAAGAACCTTTTTATTTTTAGTCGATTCGCGTATTGCTTTTCTGGGGGTGATAATCCCTTGAAATAATAATAATAAATTGGTCACTCAATCCATGACTGTTTGTGGGACACTGCTCTGTGCAATTGGCTGCTGCGTTTTGCCCACAAAATACACAAGTCAATTCATTTTACATACATTCGGTGGGATGTCTCAAAGACGTGATAAGGCGCTACATCAAATGCAAGGATTATTATAAATCAGTGACAAAGGGTTTATAACAATAATAATCCTTGCATTTGATATAGTGCATAAGTGTTAAATATTCATTGCATGTGCTACCTATTTAGCTGGTGCTTGACAACTGGGTATAGCATAAAAACTGAGCAGTGTGTGTTGGTCTCGGTCCTCATGGTTGTTTCAGGCCCCCAGTGGCCCTGGAGGACTCATGCCTACATAGTCACCCCCAGATATGAGGATCACTGGGCTTTTTTCCCTTGGAGTGACGATATATCAGGAGGTTACTGTTTATGGAGTATCCAAACCAAGCTGTGATTTCCCTGCATCCCACCTGCACATGGAAATCCAGAGATAGATTGTTGGAATGGAATGCCCTGGAGGGACACATCCTGTTTACCTAATTTCGGAAAGAATTAGGCGCAGGTTGGCAAGAGCCAAGGCTTGGGGACTCCAGAATGTGCGTTGGGGTAACTGCTGGAGTCTAACCAGCTAAAACCGCATAGCTTGCCATTGAAATTGCTGTCTGGCAAGCTTTCTCACTGATTATCCAGCTAGGACCAACGTACCTGTTAGGGCTTTGGCTTGCAGGGTTAATAGGAGCTGAGTGGGATGACTCCCTTCCCCCAGTGACTGGCCTGTCCTTCCAAGTTATACCAAGCTGATGAGGTCATCATCAGCTTCCTAGAGCAGGTTTCTCAAGATTTACAATATTTCAAAAGTCAATGATCAAGTGATACGTTTTAAAGTTGTGAATTACAGTTGTTCTGAGCAGGGCCAGATAAACCAACAAGCCAGGTAAACCATGACTCAGGGCCCCAAGTTCTGAGGGGCACTGACTTTGTTTCATGCCTTTGCCTCCTGACTGTCTTGTCTTCCCGTTGCTCTCCCCAACTCTCCCTTCTCCTAATCAACAGTCATTCTCAATAACGTGATAAGGCGCTATATCAGACACAAGGATTTTGGAGGGCACTCCGAATAGGGGCCCTGGCGGGGGAGGAAGTAGGAGGGGTTGTATCTTGCATCTGATATAGCGCCCTCTCACGCTTTTGAGTGTGACTGTTGAGTATGAGGGGGGAGAATTGGGAAGGATGTGGATGAGGGAAGGGGGGGTTAGCTAGTGGGGGAGGTGGGCCTTGCAGAGAAAGTAGGGGATGTGGGAGTCAGGAGTTCTGCTTGCTGACAAGTATCACGATGAGCCTGGCGAAGGATGCCCAGGCTAGACCAGAGGGAGGCTGTGGAAGGGTCCAGGTGCAAGAGAAGGTGAGGAGGATGATAGAAGAGAAAGATTGAGTGGGAGTAGTGAAGGGTGGGGAAGAGAAGTGGGTTTTTTTTAGGAGGGGGTGGCTCTGATTGTGGCGGCAGCTGAAACACACATGCCGAGACTGGAGGCAAATCAATCTGCGGGACATAGTCAACCCGCAGTCATGGAGTCAGTGGGGGCTAAAGGAGGCAGCGTGGAGGAGGGAGAGGGGCAGGGCACTCATTGTGTTATTTACCAGCCCATCAAAGTCACTAATGACGTCCTCTCTCTCTGCGACCAGGGCTCCCTCTGCCTCCTTTTCCTCCTGGACCTCTCTGCTGCATTCTCAACCCGTCCTCCTCCACCGCCTCCTCCCTCATCCACTTCAGTGGCACTACACTTGCCGCCTGGTTCAAGTCCTTGACCAACCGCCAGCACTTCGTCTCCACAGAAGTTTTTTCATTCTGACCCCGGCCGGTCACAGGCTCCATCCTTGGCCCCCTTCTATTCCTCATTTACATGCTCCTTCTTGGCAATGTCATCCCCAGACATGGAGTAAACTTCCACATATATGTGGATGACATCCAAATCTATTTCTCATCCAGTTATGACTCCAGGTCCACTAATGTTCTGTGAGCTTGACTGCCCGGCACATTAAGACGTGGATGAGCACAAACTTCAACAAGACAGCTTCTCTCCTGTGGCTCTGACCTCCTCCACCGCCCCTGCCTTTCCTAAGATTTACCAAAGCTGTACTTAACCTGGATGTCAGGTTCTTCCTCCCCATCATCCAATCCCGAAACAAAATCGCTTTCCATCACCTCTATCACATTGCCCGCCTCTGACCGTACCTCACCCCCAAGGCAGCCGAAACGTTTTGTCTTCGTCTTCATCACCTCCCGCCTCGACTTCACCAATGCATTGCTCGCTGGTCTCCTCAGCTCCACTATCCACAAAGTACTCCGCTGGTTGTATTCTCACCCACACTAAACTTTGTACTCCCATCACACCAGTCCTCGCTAGGCACCACTGGCTCCCTATCACAGAAGATTGATTTCAAGATCCTCTCACTCATCTACAAATCCCTTTGCACTCTGGCAACCTCACTATATTTCTGATCTACTTTCTCCCCACTCCACTATGTGTTGCCTCCCCTCAGATGGTTCTGGTCTCCTGCTTGTCCCTCGCCCCCTACGCTCCACCATCGGTAGCTACGCTTTGAAGCAGTATGCCCCAAAGCTTTGGAACTCTTCCCCTAATCCCTCCACTTTGCCCCCTCCTTCCTCTCCTTTAGGTCACAACTGAAGACCTTCTTTTTCACCCAGGCTTACCGTCACCTCCTCACTCTCTCTGACTCAGAGTCAGGCTCCACCACTGTTAAGCACTCTGAGACACTGCCCTGTGTGAAGGGCGCTATATAAATGCAAGTTGTTGTTGGTGAGGCTCCGTGGTGAGTGACAGCAAGAGGGTACAGCTGGAGGTATGAGTCATATCACCAGGAAGTCAGACCAGGTAAGAGACAGATGGAGAGCAGGAGGCATGTCTAGCAGCATCAAGCTTATCTTAATAGCACTGAAAAAACAAAATTTTGATACAGACAGTGTTGGTGAATTTGTGCACCTTCTGGATTTCATATCATGTAATAATTGTGAGATAACTCCGTGAGAAATATTCAAGTGCTGCCTATGAAACAGAGCCCCTTGGTGGAATCAACATTTCTAACATTGTTGCTCTTCATATGTTCTTAACAGGACCAGTAATACTGTGAAGGTGAACTACTCGTTCTTAAAGGTGAGTCTCATCAAAAACTCACTCAGATCTACAAAGATCCAGGATAGATTTAATGCACTCCTAATCATGTCTGTTGAGCATGATTTGACATGAACGCTAAGTTTTGATCATTCAGCTGACATGTTTGCAACAGTGAAGTCATGCAGGAAAGTATCTTAAAAATATATTGCTGTACATTTTGCATGCGTAGCTCAAAGGGCCCCCAAATGAGATCTGTCTTGATCTGGATCTGGCCCTGGTTCTTTAACATGAAAGTGAAAGACACCTTCTGAAGCATTTCCTTTTTTTAAACGCGTTTTGCTGTTATTTGGCACTTTGGCAAAAATATAGAGTCTGCAAGCACTGAAAGTAGATAATGTTTAGTAGGAAAATGTTTGTTCAAAACATTAAAATTTCGTAAAGAAAACAAGGGTGAGGACTGTGGAAAAGCATTGTTTCTCAATTCATCCATTTTTTCCTGTTATATTTCATCAATAATAGTGGCTTGTTGTAAAACAACTCAACAATTTGATGATAAAGATTTTCGTCATTTGTCTTTAAAAGAAAGAGAAGTGAATTTCTCCGGGAAATTCCTGGATTGTTGCGCAACAATCATCCAAATAGAATCGATCATTCACTTTTAAGGCTGTTTGTGGGCCACAGTTGTGCGCTCACCTTCAAGTACAGTGACTATACATGACAGGAATTAACTGTTAAGCTCTTTGAGGCATTTTGACATTGTAGATGGAGGGAGTGCTGTGTAAAATTAATAAGTTACCAGGAACGAGTGGCTACGGCCAACAAGAAAGATTAGACAGAGCTGAGATAGTTGAGAGGGGTTTAAGGTTATGTGAGGATTTGATAAGGTGGTTGTTAATAGGCTGTCTCCACTGGTCGATAAATCCACAAGTTAGAGGGCACAGATATAAAAGTTAGTTGTAGATATAAGAGTGGGTTTAGGGGCATAGAGGGCTCTCAGTGAGGGATTGGGGTCGTGTGGAATATAGAAACACCCGCACGGTTGGGCTGAATGGCCTCTTTCTACGCTATAAAGTTTAATGTAAATAATAATAATCCGTACATTTGATATAGCGCCTTATCGCGTCTTAAAGATAAATGGGAGAGTTGTGGGGGGTTGTGTTGTCGGGGAGGGGTGTGGCAGAGGTTGTGTGGTGGGGGGGGGGGGCGGGTTGTGCTGTCGGGGGGGGGGGGGGGCGGGTTGTGCCGGGCTGTGCTGTCGGGGGGGGGGCGGGTTGTGCCGGGCTGTGCTGTCGGGGGGGGGGGGGGGGGCGGGTTGTGCTGTGCTGTCGGGGGGGGGGGGGGGGGCGGGTTGTGCTGTGCTGTCGGGGGGGGGGGGGGGGGCGGGTTTGGCTGTGCTGTCGGGGGGGGGGGGGGGGCGCGGGTTGTGCCGGCGCTGTGCTGTCGGGGGGGGGGGGGGCGGGTTGTGCCGGGCTGTGCTGTCGGGGGGGGGGGGGCGGGTTGTGCCGGGCTGTGCTGTGTTGCGGGGGGGGGGGGGGGGCGGGTTGTGCCGGGCTGGCTGTCGGGGGGGGGGGGGGCGGGTTGTGCCGGGCTGTGGGGGGGGGGGGGCGGGTTGTGCCGGGCTGTGCTGTCGGGGGAGCGGCTTTGCTGGGACGCGAGGCTTGTGGCCGTTGTGACGGTTGGGCCGGAAGTGCGCGCGGGGCGGGGCGGCGCGAGGCTGGTGGGCGGCACTGCGAGGAGGCCATGAGCGCTGACAAGAAGCAGCGGCCCGGGGCTGAGCAATGCCCGTCGGTGGCACCGCCGGCCCCGGCCCCCAGCCGCCGCCATCACCACCACCACCGCCGCGCTCCCCCGGCCGGCGTCTTCTCGTGGCTGAACAGGCGCTCGGTGGGCCGAGGCCTCGGGGCGCTGGTGGATCCGGGACGCGAGACCTTCAGAATCATGACCAGTCTGTACAGCTCCATGAACCCGGCGGACTCGGTGCCGCTGAGCACGAAGACTCACGGCGCCGTGTTCAACCTGGAGTACTCCCCAGACGGGTAAGAGCCCCGACACCGTGTGCCCCCCTCCCCCCCCCCCACCCCGGACACCGGGATCACCGCGTGGTGAACCGGATCAGGGGGTGACCCACACACACACACACCACACACACACCACCACCACAACAACAACAACAGGAAGGTTTAAATCGCGGTTACACCAATCCTTCCTGTAGCTCAGTGGTTAGAGCACTCGCTTTGCAAGCGAGAGACCTGAGTTCAATTCCAGGCAGAGGGCGAAACCTTGGGCAAGTTTCCTTACTCCACACAGAGCCTAATAATAATCCCTCCAAAACCAAAACAATAATAATAAATTGGTCATTTTCAATGCATATGACTGTTTGTGGGGCATTGCTGTGCGCAATTGGCTGCCGCGTTCACCCACAAATATACAGTCAACTCACTTTACAGTGTGTTCTGTGAAGCGCTTTGGGACGTCCTCCCGACGTGAAAAGCGCTATATCAAATGCAAGGATTATTATTATTATTCTTATCCTTTCGCCTTTGGTGTAGTGCCTTGTCCTGTGGCTCAGGGGTTCGAGCTCCCGCCTGGCGAGCGAGACCCCCTCCCTCCCCCCCTCCCCGGGTTTGATTCCCGGCCGGGGCGAAATGTTGGGCAAGTTTCCCTACTCCGCTCCGCGCGCCTCCGTTTGCCCATCCGAACAGGAACCCGGCTGTCAGTTGGTCGGCGGATGGCTTTTCCGGGGGGGGGGTAGTGATTACCTAAAATAAATCGGTCACTTCATTCCGCGACTGCTTGTGGGATCGCGGCCGTGCGCGACCCGGCTGCCGCGCTTCGCCCACGGTTATGTACAGTCGGTTCGCTCTGCAGTATATTTCTGTGAAGCGCTTTGGGACGTCTGGAAGGTGTGATCAGGCGTTAACATCAAACGCAAGGATTGTTATTACGCCTTCCGAGACGTCTCAAAGCGCTTTACAGCATACGCTGCAAAGTGCATTTTGTGGGCGAAATGCCATGGCCAAGTGCGCACGGCAGTGTCCCGCACACACTCATGGATCGAGTGACCATCAATTGCTGAGGCTGGCAGTTGCTTGTTGGAAGCTTATTGGATCCATGGCTGTTTCTGGCTCTGATGAATGAAAATGATAATCCTGGCATTTGCAGTGACATGGAGTGACTGTATATTTATAGGCGAATACGGCAGCACAATTTTCACACAGCAACAGCTCACAAACAGCGCTGAAACGAATGACCAATTTTATTGTTGGCCAGGACACTGGGATAGAGAAACTTCTTTCTCTTTGAACAGTGCCATTGGATGATTAACATAAGAACTTAAGAATCAGGAGCAGGAGTAGGCCATTCGGCCCCTCAAGCCTACCCCACCATTTAATAAGATCATGGCTGATCTTCTAACCTACATGCTTCGAGATGTGAATATTACTGTATATGCATTCCTCTCAGAATTGAGTGCACACTTCATTCAGACAAATTTCCATACATATATGAAATACTCAATATTTTGCTTTGGATATTCAAATTATGATGGATTTCTGCACATGTCAAACACTTTGGCTAACCTCTTCCCTCCGCCCACACCCCAAAAAAAGACACACGGTATATTCACACAGACTATATGTGTATACCTCTCTTCATACACAGACAGCACATTTGTTTGCTTTTGAAATCACAATATGGATTTAATTTTGCATTGTATTTTGTATGTATTGTTTCCAAGACCTCAGTTACAACAACAATAATCTTTGCCATTGATATTTTGTGGTCAGCTGGGTGTTAAATTATACGAAAGAAACCAAAGAAAATGTTTCATAATTAAATCCATTTAGTAATATTTAACATAGTCTGGACAGGAAATAAAGTAATTATTTTGATGTTGTTTATTTTCCTGTGTAGATCAGTTCTAACAGTGGCTTGTGAGCAGACTGAAATCCTCTTGTTTGATCCAGTATCTTCAAAACATATCAAAACTTTGTCTGACGCTCATGAGGATTGTGTGAATAACATCAGGTTAGTTTACACCAAAATGTCTACTGGTGGTTTTAGGTGACCTGCCTGTGTCTTTCTGCTTTTGTGTGGTCCTCATTCCGGTAGCAAAGCCAATATATTTCTACAATGTATCCAGATTAGTTTCTTGAATATTATCTGTTAGAACCAACAAAGGAACAAATCATACTTGACTTAGTGATAACCTGGGTTAATAGAAAAGTGTGGCCGCACTTTCCTCCCGTGGAATCCGCCACAAAACCCACTACAAATGTAGTTTTGGGCCCGCGGGCCTCAGTGCTGTTTGCATGATGTAACGGTGGGCGGGGCGGCTCGAGACGTGCCTGCGAGGTGTGGTGCAAGCTGCTAATGGGCTTCACTCCACGCGGAGGCCTCGCTGTTGTGATTGTCTGTGTCTCTCTATATGCGTTTGTGTGTGCGTGTCTGTCTCTCTGTGTTTGTGAGCGTCTGTGTGTGTGTGTCATGTGTTTGTGAGTGTGTGGTGTGTGTCTCTATGTGTTTGTGAGTGTCTGTTTGTGTGAGTCTCTCTATGTTTGTGAGTTTCTGTGTGTGTTTGTGAGTCTATGTGTTTGTGAGTGTCTGTTTGTGTGAGTCTCTCTATGTTTGTGAGTTTCTGTGTGTGTGTGTGTGTGTGCGCGTGTGTGAGTTTCTCTATTATGGAAACTCGATTACGGAAACTCCCTCCTCTTCGGTCTTCCTAACTCTTCCCTTCACAGGTTGCAGATCATCCAAAACTCTGCAACTTGTGTACTCTCGCGCACCATGAACCCATGACTCCCACCCTCGCCCAACTCCACTGGCTCCCCATCCGCCAGAGGATCGAGTTCAAGATCTTCATGACCTGTTCTGCCTTCCCTCACCTCCTAACATCGCCTACTCCGCCACTACCTCACCCTTCAGGCCGCTGAAACTCATGTTCATGCAAACTATGCAAATGGCCTGCTCCACGTCCCGCAACTCATCCGCCCCACCATTGGTGGGAGATCCTTCAACCTCTCTGCCCCCAACCTCTGGAATTCCATCCCCCAATCACTCCGCCTCACCCCCTCCTTAGCCTCCTTCAAATCCCGCCTCAAAACCTCCTCTTCGACCATGCCATTGGTCACCCCACTTGCCCTCCCTTCTCCTACTCTGATCCCAACTCGGATCTGAAATACTGTACACTGTCCAGCGCCTTGGGACGTCCTCCTGACGTGAAAGGCACTACACAAATGTAATCTTGTTGTTGCCCCCTCCTACTTCTCTGACCTGCTGACTCCCTACCAACCTGCCCGCTCCCTCCGTTCAGCGGGCTCCGGACTGCTCCACGTCTCCCGACCCGCCTTACCATCGGTGGCCGGACTTTCAGCCTCTCTGCGCCCACACTCTGGAACTCCATCCCACTGTCCCTTCGCCTCGCGTCCTCCCTTGCCTCCTTCAAGGCCGGTTTCAAGACCCTTTTCTTCAATCGTGCTTTTGGTCGCCTTCCCACCTCTCTGCCTTCCCTCACCCCTACACCACCCCTCCCCCATGCTCAGGCCCCAACATGAAAGGTGCTCTATAAATGTAATTTTGTTGTTGTTGTCTCTGTGTTTGTGAGTGTCTGTGTGTGTGTGTGAGAGTCTCTCTATGTGTTTGTGAGTGTTTGTGTGAGTCTCTCTATGTGTTTGTGAGTGTCTGTGTGTGTGTGTGAGTCTCTCTATGTGTTTGTGAGTGTCTGTGTGTGTGAGTCTCTCTACGTGTCTGTGTGTGTGTGAGAGTCTCTCTATGTGTTTGTGAGTGTTTGTGTGAGTCTCTCTATGTGTTTGTGAGTGTCTGTGTGTGTGAGTCTCTCTATGTGTTTGTGAGTGTCTGTGTGTGTGAGTCTCTCTATGTGTTTGTGAGTGTCTGTGTGTGTGTGTGAGTCTCTCTACGTGTTTGTGAGTGTCTGTGTGTGTGTGTCTCTACGTGTTTGTGAGTGTTGGTGTGTGTGTGTCTCTTTGTGATTGTGTGTGTGTCTCTTATGTTTTTGTGAGTGTCTCTGTGTGTGTGTGTGTGTATGAGTCTCTGTGTGTTTGTGAGTGTCTGTGTGTGTATGAATCTCTCTATGTGTTTGAGTGTGTGTGTCTCTGTGTATGTGTATGAATCTCTCTGTATGTGAGTGTGTGTGTGTGAGAGAGTCTCTATGTGTTTGAGAGTGTCTGTGTGTGTATGAATCTCTATGTGTGTGTGTGTCTCTGTGTTTGTGAGTGTGTGTGTGAGTTTCTATGTGTTTGTGAGTGAGTGTGTGTGTGAGTCTCTGTTTGTGTGTGTGTGAGTCTCTATGTGTTTATGAGTGTCTGTGTGTGTGAGTCTGTGTTTGTGAGTGCATGTGTGTGTGTCTCTCTTATGTGTTTGTTAGTGTCTATGTGAGTGTGCCTCTCCTGTATATGTGTGTGTTTGTTAGTGTCTGTGTGAGTGTGCTTCTCTCTGAATGTGTATATGTTTGTGAGTGTGTCTGCGTGTGTCTTCTATAGTTTTGGGTGTTTATGAGTGAATGTGCATCTCTCCTCTGTGTGTGTGTGTGTGCATGTGCGTTTGTCTCTGTGTCTGAGTATGTGTGTCTCTCTCTGTGTCTCTCTCTGTGTGTGGTGCTGGGCCCTGAGAGGCAGGAGGTGGTGAGCTTCTCCCCCCCCCCCCCCCCCCCCAAAGGGCCACACAGTTTTTGTTAAAGAAGCAATTAATAATTGCTTTTGCAACAATCTTAATATGTATTTCCTCATGTTTGATTTTTATTAATAAAGTGAACAAATGTATGTTTGTAGTAAATGTACCTCAATAGCACCAATCAAAACCCCCGCAATTTTCCGCAAGAATCGTAGATCTCCCTGCAAACTTTGGCAAATATCTCCGCACCTTTCTATTGGCCCAGGTGATAACTAACAACACTAACTAACAATTTGATGGTAAGGGAACATTGGGAAATAGTGATCATAACATGACATAATTTAATATTGGTTTTGAGAGCAAATGAGAACGATCAAAAATGAAGCTTTTATATTATTATATTTAAACAACACCAATTTTGATAGCATGAAGAACAGATAAGAAATAAAAAATAATAAAAAAGCAACAATGCTAAGTTTGTATAGATCATTGGTTAGGCTGCAACTGGAGTGTTGCGTTCAGTTTTGGGGGTCTCACTTTAGGAAAGATGATAATAATACTTGCATTTGATTTAGCGCCTTATCACATCATTGAGACATCTCAAAGCGCTTCACAGAATATAGTGCACAGTAGGTTTCTGAGAATGATTCCAGGAATGAAGGGCTTCAGTTATGAGGAGAGATTGGCGTGGCTGGTTCTGTTTTCATTTGAGCAGAGAGGGTTGGGACCTGGCAGAGGTGTACAAAATTATGAGGGGTGTTTGTTAGGGTAATTAGAGAGAAGTTATTTCCATTGATAGGGAAGCCAGTAACTAGGGGACATAGTTATAAGATAGTCACAAGATCAAAAGGAGAACTTAGAACTTTTTTCACCAAGAGAGTAGCTGGGGTGGAATGCCCTCCTGGGTAGGGTGTTAGGGGCGGAGATCACTGTATCTTAGGGAAGACATATATATAAAAGAGTCGTGAAGCGGTGGGATAAGGCGGGATAAGGATAAGGGGGCCAGTGGGATGAAGCAACATCCTTCCTCTATGAGCATGCTTGTTGGACCAAATGGCCCCCTCTTGCGCTGTATGTTTCTTTTTTTTATGTTTAAATTGATCGCAATAAAATGGGGGGGATCTATTAGTTGGTAAATTTACCAATAAACATTCAAAGATGTAATTGGTACAAAACAACAACTACATTTGTAGAGCGCCTTTCACGTCAGGAGGACGTCCCAAGGTGCTGGACAGTCAGGGGTTGGGACCCCAGCATGGGGGAGGGGTGGGGTAGGAGTGAGGGAAGGGAGAGAGGTGGGAGGGCGACTGAAGGCACGATCGAAGAGGAGGTCTTGAAGGAGACGAGGGAGGAAGTGAGGTAAAGGGACTGTGGGATGGAGTTCCAGAGTGTAGGGCAGGTCGGGCGGGAGACATGGAGTAGACCGGAACCAATATAAATAACTGCAACTTGTATTCATAATAACTGGGAGTGCTTCAAAATGGATGGGTGTCGAGTTGAGGAGGGGAAGGGGGAGGTGACCACAGGCGCAGTTGATGAGGTAAGTTTTAAAGTGGGCTTTAAAGACAGACGGAGGAATAGAGTCAGGCATTTCCAGAGGTTAGGGCAGATGGACGAAATGCTCGGCCACTGAGGCTGGGCAGATAAGAGAAATAGGGAAGTGCTAGGGCATTGAGGGATATATATGTGAGGGTAAGGCCGATCCATTTGAAGACAGGAATCCAACAGAATCTGGTGACTCATAGGAATCTGTACTGAAGAACTGAATGAAGGAGGATATGGGAGTTTAAGCAAGTTTGCAGATTCATCAGAGATTCCTGTGGTGAGAGGATGGGCAAATTTGGGTTTTATTCCCGAGATCCAGCTGATCCAAAACTCCGCCGCCCGCGTACTCGCCTGCACTAAATTCCGTATCTCCATCACCCCAGTTCTCGCCAGGATCCACTGGCTCCCTATTGCTGAATGGATCGATTTCAAGATTCTCAAACTCGTTTTCAAATCTCTACATGCCCTTGCTCCTTCCTAACTCTCCGACCTGCTTACTCCGCAGTCCACTACCCGCAGCCTCCATTTGACTGGCTCCAGCCTCTTGTATGTCCCTCATGCCCTCCGTTCCACTATCGGTGGCTGTGCTTTCAGCCAATACGCCCCGAAACTCTGGAACACTTTTCTCTTATCTCTCCGTCTCGCCCCTTCCTTCCCACAACTTCAGGTCGCACCGCAAGACCTTCCTCTTCGAACCGTGCTTACAGTCACCTGCTTCACCACTGTCAAATGCTCTGGAACCTACCCTGCGAGAAGTGCACTATATAAATGTAAATTGTTGTTAAATGCTCATTTATTCTGTCCCTGTGATAGATTCCAGTAATTTACCCACCACTGGTAAATCTTTGAGCCCACAGTTGCTTGCTTGGTTCCCTCCTTCCTTCTTGAATAATGAAATTACATTACTGTTCTCTAAACCCATTAGTGCAAAGGCATGTAGCATATGTGCTTTCATGCTCTAATTTTTCCTCACCCATCTTAGTTCCTCTATTCTCTTTCCCAAATATAATGTTCTGGGCCACTCTTGTATCTTCCAGTGTTCAACAAAAGAGTGACTTTGGCAGCTTCAGAACACGTCTCTGTTCCCTCCTTCTAATTAGGGAAGGTTCAAAATGTAGGGAGCAGACCAGTTGTATTGATACTTTAAATGTTTGTTAGTTTGCCAGATGCCATTTATTGTATATCTTTTAATGTAACTCCTGCTAAATTCTGAGAATATTGAATGTGTTGTAGTTCTCAAAATGCAGCTTATCTTATGCTTCTCTTTTAGGTTCCTTGACAACAGGCTATTTGCGACCTGCTCTGATGATACTACAGTAGCACTATGGGATTTACGTAACCTCAACTCAAAGGTCTGCACCTTGCATGGCCATACGAGCTGGGTAAAGAACATTGAATATGACACTAACACAAGACTCTTAGTGACGTCAGGATTTGATGGGAATGTAATCACATGGGACACAAATAGGTTGGTGTTATTTTTTCCAACAATCCCTTTATTTTGGTCGAGTGTTAAAACTAAAATAAGTCATGGTGTTGAACACATGGATTGTGTAGATTTAACCACGTCCTCCCGACGTGAAAGGCGCTCTATAAATGTAATTTTGTTGTTGTTGCAAACAGCTTCTCCTCAAGCCCCGCACCGTCTCATGTGGCGTTCCTTAGGGCTCTGTCCTCGGTCCCCTCCTCTTCACCCTCTACATGCTCCCCCTTGGTCATCCGCAGACATGGGGTAAACTTCCACATGTTTGCGGATGACACCAAACTCTATCTCTCTGCCTCCACCCTCGACTCCAGGACAACTGGAGTCCTGACCGACTGCTTGTCCGACATCAAGTCCTGAACGAGGGACAACTTTCTCCAGCTGAAAGTTAGCAAGACCAAGGCCCTCCTGATTGGCTCGCGCTAGTGCCTCCGCACCATCGGCGCGGGCAGTGTCAGCATCAACAGCTGCACACTCAACCTCACTAAACCAGTCAGGAATCTGGGTATCTTGTTTGACCCTGAACTGTCCTTTCTCCCCCACATCTGGCCATGACCGGCACTGCCTACCACCACCTCCGCAACATTGCCAGACTCTGCCACTGCCTCACCCCTCAGGCTGCCGAAACCCTCACCCACACATTCGTCACATCAAGGCTCGATTACGGGAACTCCCTCTTCATCGGCCTTCCCAACTCTTCCCTTCACAAGCTGCAGATCATCCAAAACTCTGCAGCTTGTACTCTTCTGCTTCTCTGACCTGCTGACTCCCTACCAACCTGCGCGTTTCCTTCGTTCAGCGGGCTCTGGCCCACTCCATATCGCCTGCCCGACCCGCCCTACCATCGGTGGCCGAGCTTTCAGCTTCTCTGCCCCCACACTCTGGAACTCCATCCCACAGTCCCTTCGCCTCGCTTCCTCCCTTGCCTCCTTCAAGGCCGGTCTCAAGACCCCCCCTCTTCGATCGTGCCTTCGGTCTCCCTCCCACCTCTCTGCCTTCCCTCACCCGTACCCCACCTATCCCCTGTGCTCTGGTCCTGATCCCTGACTGTCCAGCGCCTTGGGATGTCCTCCCGACGTGAAATGTGCTCTATAAATGTAATTTTGTTGTTATATACGTCTAGATGCACTCAACTCAAAGAAATGTCAGATTGTATTTAGGGTATCATAACTACATTTGTAAACGTCTCTGGGCCAAGACCGCTGCAGAGGGTTGACTCGATTCTGATATTCCTTGGAGCCAGTTCAGCTTGCATCCCCCTTTTACTAAAGAGTGGCTTTCATGATACCACCATCTACCAAAGCTACAGCAGTAATCTAGGAGCTGTATATTATACCAAATGTGTGTCGAGCATTAATTTAGCTAGGACTATTTTTCGAATAATTTTGATGTTCATTAATATTAATACCTTTTAATGCAGATTCACAGAAGATGGCTGCCCACACAAAAAATTCTTTCACACGCGTTATCTAATGCGAATGCGTTTGACACCAGATTGTTCAAAGATGCTAATATCAACATCATCTGGCTATCTTCTAATTCTTCATGACCTTGATTTAACCCAGTCATTAGAAGTTTCCACCCGCAGTTTACGAGGCAAGCGTTCTGCTTCAGGCACAGGTTAGTCCATTTAGCACTTAGTGTTTTGTGTTGACTGACAAGATGTCCACTGTTTCTTCCTCAAAAACATCACAAGGTTTAAAGTACTAACAATCCTTACATTTGATATAACAACAACTTGCATTTATATAGCGCCCCTCATGCAGGGTAAAGTCCTAGAGCGCTTGACAGTGGTGGAACACGACACCGGGGCAAGGGGGAGATGACCGTATGTGCCTATGGCATGACCTTAAGATGGGGATGGAGGGATCAAGGCGAAGAGATAGAGGAAGAGTGTTCCAGAGTCTCGGGGCGTATTGGCTGAAAGCCCGGCTACAGATGGTGGAATGAAAGGTACGGGGGACGAGCAAGAGGCCGGAACTAGTCGAGTGGAGGCATTGAGTAGTGGGTTGGGGGGGTAAGCAGGTTGGAGAGGGAGGGAGGTGCCAGTGCATGAAGAGATTTGAAGACGAGTGTGAGCAATAGGGGGCCAGTGGATCCTGGCTAGAACTGGTGTGATGGGGCTACGGAGTTTAGTACGGGTATGATACAGAACGATTCATTTCAGGGGGACATCTCGAGTGTTTCACAGAATTTACTGAAATGTGCTATGAGTATGTTTTGTAAGTGAGTGTGTATTGAAGACAATTGTACATTGATTTTGAATCTAGTATTTAGATGTAAAGAAATTTAAAATATTCTATTGAAATTCTTGCTGTGTTATTTGCTTCTATACTGATTTGTGTACATTTAGAATTGTATGATAGTAGGAAGCCATTCGGCCTTTTTTTTGGTCAGTGTTTGCTCCTTCAAGAAGACATCTATTTTACAATACAAATTTATATTTCTATAGCGCCTTTCATGTCAGGAGAATGTCCCAAGGCTCTGAACAGTCCAGAATGTGCACCTGAGCAGGGCGTTGGGATGCGAGGGTTAGGGGGGGAAGATGGCCGCAAGCGCGGTCAAAGAGGACGATACACTGAAAATTTTAATCCCAAATCCCTGCTCTTTTCCCCATGTTAGTCAACACTTCATCTGCATTTGTTGTCTGATTCTATTTTAAAAGTCCCCATCCACTCTGCCAAAATTGGCAAATTTTTCCGTATCCTGATAACCTTCTGGAAGAAGTTGTTCCGAACTTCTCATACTCCAGTAAGAATCTTGAATTCTCAACAGCTTGCGTTTATATAGCGCCCTTCACTTGCGGTAGTGTCTTGGAGCGCTTAACAGTGGTGGAGCCTGACGCCAAGCCAGGGAAAGGATGGGGTTGCCATAAGCAGTTGAAGACGAAGGTCTTCTGACATGAATTGAAAAAAGGGGAAAGTGGGGGCAAGGTGGAGAGATTGAGGGAGAGTTCCAAATTTTGGGGGTATGGTGGCTGAAAGCAAAGCTGCTAGTTGTGGAGGGGACGAGAAACGAGCAGGAAGCTGGCGCCAGCTGAGCGGAGAAGGAGGCTGGAGCCGGCTGAGCGGAGAAGGAAGCTGGCGCCAGCTGAGCGGAGAAGGAGGCTGGAGCCGGCTGAGCGGAGAAGGAAGCTGGCGCCAGCTGAGCGGAGACAATTACTGTCCAATTTATTTCTTAATGGACTTGTTCCTTATTTCACACTGTGCTGTTTACTTAGCTGAATTCTGTAAAAGGGTTTTGCTGTCATCTTTAGCTTGTCTAACATAATCTTTCGCTATTAGGTTTTAGATAACCTTAAACTCCTTTTTATTTGAATTTTAATCCTCTTATTCCTTATGTATTTTTTATGTAACTTATGGATTTCATATTTAACAACTGTAGATTAACTCTTGCATGTTTTTGCTCTTTAAGTTTAGATAGTCTATTATGTTTTGTTAGGTACCAATCAATATTGGTAGCTTAAAAAAATTGTAGATGAATGAGTTGTATTGTTTCTACAAGGACTTGCACAATTAAATCTTAAAATCAGTATTCGAAGGATGGGGAGATTGTTTTCTCCAAAGTGCTGTCTTGTAGATACCACCTACCCGTTAAGAGATACCTTAAGTTTAATGTTGTATTTTGTCTGCCATGATGGCTTGACTTTTCTGGTTCCCGTTCCCACCTTAAACCACTCTTGAGATGTGTGATTTGGGTTACCCGCATGTTTTTAATTCAATGAGAGTTAGAACCCAAGGCACTGCACGGTCCAGGGTTTGGATTTGGGTGGAGGGAGGAGATATTAGAAGGTTTGTCAAAGAGGAAGGTCTTGAGTTGGACCTTGTAGGAGGGAAGAGGCGAGGAGACTCTAGGATGGAGTTCTAGAGAATGGATGGTCTGCAGCTTGTGACGGAAAGAGTTTGGAAACCTGATGAGCAGAGTTGGCGTAGTCAAACCTGGACTTGATCATAATATAACGATCATTGCATTTGGTGTAGCACTTATATTGTTTATGCTGCTTCGCCTGCTTCAAACTCACTTGCCCAACCAGCTGTTGAATGGCTTTGATACATCCTCCCAACGGGAAAGGGCCCATTTAAATGTAAACTGTATTGCGTTAAAACATAAATGAGAAATGAGAAAATGCTTCACAAATAACTGTTGTTAAGTGTAGTGACTATTTATTGCAGCAGCCAATCTGTGCGCAGCAAAGCCCCACAACAGCCATGAAATGATCAATTTATCTGGTGGATTGTTGGCTAGAACACTTTTTTTAAACTAGCGTCATGATATCTTTAACATCCAGCTAAGCAGGAAGACCATAGTTTAACATCTCTTCCAAAGGTTAGCACTTTTTACAATGCAACATTCAACTACTCCACACTGCACTGGAATGTCAGTCTGGGCTTTGAGCTCAGCCATTTGATCCAGAGTTAACATTTTAAATAGGGAACTTGAGAGGTTCAGGATGTGAACGGTTTAATAGTTTTTGTGTTTGCTGTGAGATCTCAGAATATTTTTCCAGCTTTGCTAATTTATTGCTTTTGCCAGGTCATAATTCATGAAGATTGCCAACCCTGGATTCCCAGAGGTAGGTAGGGTCCTTTTGATGGCATCTTTATGTTGGTTATTTTAAATCTGCCCTCACATTGATAGGGGTTAGTGTCCTCTATTGATGAAGGACTGATTGTGTTTTTTGAGCTATACCCATAGATGTTATCTTGTGAAGGTGTATGATTCCCAAATTTATACCATCCACTTGAATGTTAGTGAATTTCATGCTGAGAAGCTTCTGACATCATTTTAACATTTAAAAGCTTACCTACATTTCTTTTGATTTCTCTAGATTTGACAACTACTTCCAGCTTGCCTAATTTACGATCGCATAGTCATCAGATAGGCGCAAGCCAAAACATTGAAAAATATACATCACAATCTCGTGTGCAGGCAGAGAGAGAAGGTAATGTTTTGATGAAGATTGAACCACTGACCAGTCAGTTGGAAAGAATCTTTGATGTTTAGACCACTATGACTTGATTGTGTCTGAATGTGTTTGCTCTGGGTGATCATGTTCCTTTCTCTCCATTGACATTTTGTAGTTTCTCATGCCATTTTTTAGAAATGATGCTGCCAAAAGTAGTCACCAGTGGGGAGAATAATAATCCTTGTATTTGATATAGCACCTTATCACGTCTTCTAAAAGTCTCAAAGCGCTTCACAGAATATACTGCTAAGTGAATTGACTATATATTTTGTGGGTGAAACGAATGGGCAAGACCTACCACATCTATCCTGCTTCAGTTGGAGCTCTGCATACATTTTCAACAGCTCTAAATATGACCTTTAATTGTTCTAGCAAAGCTAGCAAATTCATCAATTATAAATCTTATCCAGAACCAAAATGAGACACTTTTGTAGGCGGCTTATTTCAAACGCATTTGGGTATTAGCTTTGCCACTTCTGGGTTTGAGCATTAGGACAGTTTTATTGGAAGATATTCATACAATAGGCTGAACAATGTCCAACTGTGTTTCTTATGGTTTCGGATGATTTTGCAGGTCTTAGGGAAGTCATCAACCTTAGCAAAGCACTGCCTTTAGTTTATTCTGATGGATCAGGTCATTTTTGAGGTTAGAAAGCAAATTTAAGAGAGTAATCTAGCAACCTTCTTCTGCAGTGCTCTTATCACCAGCTCAGAATTCAGCCATTTCTCTGTGGCCATCTCGTGCCCGAACCAGATGGGTTTGCAGTATTCCAGGGCATTGCTGATAACAGCACAGCCAGCCTGGCTCATCGGTAGCACCTGGAAGGGTAAACTAGTCACTGGGGCCAGGGAATCCTCCCACTCAGCTCCTGTTACCTCTATAAGACACAGCATTAATGGGTAGGGTGGTTCTAGTTGGACAAGCAGAGGGAAAGCTTGCTAGACAGTGCCCTGAATGGCAAGCTATGTGGTTTTAGTGCCTTGGGATGTCGTCCTGATGTGGAAGGCGCTTTACAAATGTAATTTTGTTGTTGTTTTAGTTGGATAGACTCCAGCAGTACCCCAACACACTCCTGGGGTCCCTAAGCTTTCACTGCTGCCAACCTAATACTTTGTGGATTTGGGTAAGCAGGGTGTGTCCCTCCAAGGAGAGATTCTGCATTCCATTCCAATAAACATCTCTGGGATTTCCATGTAGAGGTGGGATGCATGGAAATCTCAGCTTGGTTTGGATACTCTTAAGCATGGTGATGGGTTACCGCATGTATCACACCTGGCTGACCAAATAAACTACGATGGCTCCAAAAAAAATCGAAAAAAATTCTCTACCTTGAAGCTTGTGAGTTTCACCAGTGACCATTGTTCACGTGTCAGCCTGGATCAGTGGTGGACAACCTTTACGGGCTTTATGGCCGGCCACCAAAATCATTTTTCTTTATTGAATATTTCTTGATTCATGTCATAAATCAAAAAATATTCAAGCAAGAGAAACTGAAGACACGCTACCAATCAAACACAGAGACTTGTGCGAATGTTCGGGGGCCTGGCTCAGGAACAAGATGGCGATAGAGGGATGGTTCAACCTTCACATTCCTCATCAGGTTCATGGTCAGTTGTCCCAGGGGAGCCAGCAGGAAGTTGCGCCTTCCACATCAGGAGGACGTCCCAAGGCGCTAAAACCACAGCTTGCCATTTAGGGCACTGTCTAGCAAGCTTTCCCTTGAAACCAACTTCCTGCTGGTTACAGAAAACAAATCATGTAAACACATAATAGATTGATTCAGAGCAGAGTCTATGCAGACCTGAACATGTATCAGCTAGAAAGGAAACCCCATTTGTGAGAGTCCTAAACCCATTTAAAATTGTTGCATTTGAGATCCCATAATGATGCGGTGAAAGTACATTTATCCAATGTACACTGATAGTGTTTCAAACTTAGAGATTCCATTCTAAACTTAATAAGGCTGATTTCTTCTGCTGTCAGTTCTGTATTAAAAAATCCAGTTTATGGATTTATAATTGTAAATTGTATTTCTACCTTTATATACAATTTACGTCAATCTGGTTTGTAATCGGCATCAGAGAGCAGCAGAGTTTTTGAAAGGATTGAATGATAGAATAATTTGAGGGTTAAGTGGTTATGAATACAATTTTTTTTACAGGCGGCTCACCAAGAAATAGTCTAGAAGTTTTAACGCCAGAGATTCCTGCCGAAAAGTTTCGTGGGAGTTGTATTACATCACTGCAACTTCATCCCAAAGGTTGGGCTGCGTTAATTAGATGCACAAGCAACACAGATGACCAGGAGGTGAGGGATTTTTAAAGTAGAATTTAGATATTGGGGGAACTCTTTTTAATGTTAATCCATTACTCATCTAGGTAAGTAAAGATTAGGAAATCATATTTTGTGGAAGGTATTTAAAATTAAAGCTATTCTTTACCCCCACTCCTCTCTACTCTCCTCCTCCAAAGATCAACTGCAGTTCTGTTTGACAAATGGTTGCACAAGAGTAAGAAAGATTTATTTATTTTGATCCTGCACTCCAATCCATAACCAACCATCTAAGCCAATAAGATTTGGTTCTGGCTGAGTACTTTTGGAAATCTTCATTACTGACTAGATACACATCTTGAATTGAACAAAATCCAGGGTCCGAAGGGATGCCAATTTGAGTTATTATGTTGACAGGTTATCTGAAAGGGCAGTTCTCTATCAGACGAAAATAAACTTGTATTTCATTAACTTCTACAGGATAGTTTTTTTCCTCAAATAATTCATCTAGATTGGAGGAGGGGAGAAGTACTTCCTATTATAAATACTGTCACCTCTATTTATCTTCAATTAAAAATTTATATTTTGAACACCTCATTCAATGCAATATCAGAAATATATTGAGAGAAATGTCAGGAAAGCAATTTTAGGTTTATTATCTAGTTCGAATGTCTGCAACTGCAGCATTATGTTAATTGAAAATATGTTGTTCAAAGACACCATAATGTCATTTTCTAGTGGACGAAGACATCAAGCCATCTTCTCTTATAATAAGGAATGTAAAAGCATGCAGAAGAGTAACTTCCATTCTGTTTTTATTGTTACCAGTGGACTTGCATCTATGAATTCCAGGAAGGTCCTTCAGTCCAGGCAGCAGCTCCTCGTTGCTCCCTTTCTCTTACGCATTACATTGAAGAGGCTAACGTGGGCCGTGGATACATTAAAGAACTTTGCTTCAGTCCTGATGGTCGACTGATTTGCTCTCCTTATGGCTATGGGATTCGCTTGTTAGGTTTTGACACCCAATGTAGTGAACTATGTGATTGCTTACCCAGAGATGCAAGCAAGCTGCAAGAGATCAGAACTATTTATTCACACAGTGATGTTGTACTTACAACTAAGTTTTCACCCACTCATTGTCAGCTAGCCTCTGGATGCCTAAGTGGACATGTTTTGTTGTATCGGCCAAAGTTTTAAGTATCCTGAATTACATGTAGGAACAACAACAAATATACATTTGTATAGCGCCTTTCATGTCGGGAGGACATCCCAAGGTGCTGAGGAAGTGCTGACTTGAGCAGCTAATTTGGCAGATTGTTACAAAAGCAAATTGTTTTTAATGTTAATTGGAGCAGATCAAAATTAGTGATTAATGATAAGGTATTTTGTCAGCAGTTTAAAACCCAAATGCAATTTGGCATTTCAGTGCAATACAACAAACCAGCAGGTCTCAATTTTATAGTTATAACTGGTGTGCTAATGTGTTTTTCTCGTGGAGTTTTGCTACCTATCAAGACCCTTAAAACGACTTTTGTTGTGTGTTAAATGTTTACCTTAAACCTTATTTTCATACTTAGAAATGAATTGATGGTTGAAAGTAATACACTGTATCAACATTTACACACTACAGATTTGTGGTTCATATTTAGAAACATTTGTAAAACGGTACTGTATATTAGAAGTAGGACTGCATTAATTTGAGTTTACCATTTTTATTAAAATGGAGAAATAGAAAAAATATTAGATCAACTTCAGTTACACATAAGTAATTAGTGAGAAAATGTAAGTAAATTATTTAATTTCAGATGTACAAATGTGTATGTAGCCCGTATATGTGAAAACTAAATATTACAAAGTACTGTACTTAGAACATACAGAAGCTGAATGTATTTCATAATCTCACCATATGCTAATGTAAAATTGTGCGGCTATAAATGTTGCAGTTAACTTGGAATAAAGTGATTGGCCTTAGCCAAATCTTACCACTGGTGAGTAATTTTCTGTACTTGCAAATCTGAACTGTATTTCCAATACTCCATTATTGCAATTAGTCTTTGGGCATAAAACAATTGGCATCACCCTCAATCTAATTCTGTTTTAATAATACTGAAATATCTTTTCAATACTTTTAAGAAATGGGATCAGTTATTATTAGAATATGATCTATTAGATGCAGTGGAAATGAAAGAGAGGATGACATTTTCATTCATTGTGATTCTAACAACAACAAAATTATATTTGTATATCACCTTTCACATTGGGAGGACGTCCCAAGGTGTTGGATAATCAGTATTCCGGACCCGAGCTGGGGATTGGGGTCTGTGAGGGTGGAGGGCAGCGGGGAAAGGAGGGTGATCGAAGGAGTGTTTGAAGAAGAGGGTCTTGAAGGAGGCACGGGAGGAAGGGGCGAGGCGCAGGGACTGCAGGATGCAGTTCCAGATGGTGGGGCAGTGTGGCTGAAGGCCCACCCAACAATGGTGAGGTGGGTGAGCGTAAGGCGTGAAGAAGGCCGGAGCCTGCAGAGTGGAGGGAGCGGGTAGGATGGCACAGGGTTAGGATATTGAAGAGGTAGGGGGGGAGCAAGACCGTGGAGGGCTTTGAAGGTGAGGACCAGGATCTTGAACTGTATCCTCTGTGTGATGGGAAGCCAGTGGAGTCGGGTGAAGATGGGGGTGATTGGTTCATGGTCCCTGGTGCAGGAGAGGACACGGGCTGCAGAGTTCTGGATGATCTGCAGCCTATGGATGGAGGAGTTGGCGAGGCCAACAAGCAGGGAGTTTGCAGACAAGTCTGGATGTTATGAATGCGTGTATGAAGGTCTCGGCAGCCTGCGGTGTGAGACAGTGAGTGGCAGAGCCGGGCGATGTTGCAGAGGTGGGGGAAGGCAGAGCAGGTCATAGCGCGGATGTGGGGTAGAAGGGTCAAACAAGATGCCAAGGTTCCAGACTGACTCAGTGAGGTGGAGTGTGCATCCTCGGATGGTGATTCTGTCAGCGCTTGAGGTGTGGAGGTGCTGACGGGAGCCAATCAGGAGAGCCTCGGTTCAACTGTAGAAAGTTAACTCTCATCCAGGACTTGATGTCCGACACACATTCTGTCAGGACAGCAGTGGTCCTGGATTCAAGGGTGGAGGCAGACAGTTGGGTGTCATCCACATACATGTGGAAGTTGACCCCATGTCTGTGGATGATGTCACCAAAAGGGACTATTTAGATGTTGAAAAGGAGGCGACCAAGGACAGAGGCCTGAGGAACGCCGCACGAAACAGTGTGGGGGCTAGAGGTGAAAACCGTTTCTGGAGATGAAGTGGAGACGGTGTGAGAGGTAGGATCTGAACTAAATCAAAGACAGAACCATGAAGGTTGAGAGGAGAGGTGGTGGATGAGGATAGAGTGGTCAATGGCTTTGAAGGCAGCAGAGAGGACGAGGAGGCAGAGGGAGCCCTGGTCGCAGATGGACAGAATGTCATTTGTCACTTCGACCAAATCTGTTTCTCTGCTGTGGCAGCACAGAAACCTGATTGGAGAGGTTTGTGAAGGGAGAGGGGCAGAGGAAGGAATGTCGCTGGGAAGCAACGACTCATTCCAGGACTTTAAAAAGAAAAGGTTAATAAGGGAAGAAATACAAGTAGCATGAAAGAGAAAAGCAAAGCCTTGACCTGCCTCGAAGATTAAATTGTTTACTAACAGATGAGGATGAATAGATTGTTCTTCAATGTTGTTGATTATTGCATGCTTTCACAAATTGTTTAACCTTTTTAGCATTGTTACAAGTTGTACAACCTTCTTAGCATTGTTATGTTTTGAGATTCCCAATATACCTTTTAATCATTTTCATGTTTGACAGCCCGTATTTATTGCTGACCATTGCTGTGCATATTTCAAAGCATCCTTCGTTGTCTTCTTTTTGGTTTTTGTTGCTCACGGCTTTCAGTAAGTTGTATCAGACGTTTATACTTTAACTGAGTCCATTAGCTTCTAATTAGTTTGCCTTTGAACAACACGTCTAACCTGACTTCAAAGGAGATCCACATGGCTGCTGATGATGGACATGCTCTGGGAGGTTGTGGACTTCCAGTGCTCAGAGATCCAAGGATCTTAGATCAAAGGACACTTGCTAAGTTGCAGATAAAACTTCTGCAGGTGCAATCTTCTGCTTGAGTGGCTGCCACGAGGATACCTGGAAGTGTCTAGAGTTAATTATGTAACTAAAGAGATGATTACATTGCAATGAGCTAGAACAGTCTGCAGTTTGGATGAGAGAGAATCAAGGAAATACAGTAGTATGTTTTCAGTATTGGACATAACTGTAGAAAGTAGCTGTCTTGAAAGAATACATCATAGTCTGACACTACATGACATCAGTCATTTTAGAGGTTCTGGAGCTGAATGTTTATAGTAATATTGTCAAAGCATTATGACAATATGTCTTGTTAAATTTATATGACTGTTGACTAATTTTCTATAAAGCTTATAGTAAAATCTTTATGATAATCAAATTGGTGTCTGAAAGTCTCGGTGATCTTACTGAGAAACTAGGATCTGTTATCTGGTCAGAGAGTGATCTGTGGAGCACAATGGGACAGGACACTTGGTGACAGACGATCTTCGATGAATGAAGTTAAAGTTGAAAGATCATGGTAAAATTCTTCTTCTCCTATGACTTTAGAACCGATAACGGTGATAGCACTGATGCTAAAGGCAGAAGTTTCTTTCAATGGATGTTTTGACTGCCGGCGGCAAACGTGATGCCAAGAAAATACTACAAGAGCGCACTCTAGAGGGAAAGATGAATTTAAAGGCAATGCTCTGCTGCCACCTAATGGGGAACGCCATCGTAACCTCAAACCATATGATTTAATAGGAAAAGTTAAATGTATAATTTTTATGTATTCCTATGTTTATTTAATAAATTAATACCAGGATATAGTGATACACTAATACTAGCACTCCTCGTGGCATATTCAGTGGACTCTAATGCAAGATTGAGCTGCCTGTTGAACCTTCTCTACCATTCCAAACAGATCTCTGTTAGATCAACTGATGTTAATAGACACGAGGGGAACTCACTTCTCATTTTAAGTAATAACAAGGGATCCTTAACATCCACCTGATCAGGCAGGTGGGACCTCGATTTAACATCTCCAAGTACCAAGTCAAAATTTCTCGAAGTGTGGGGAAAGTGTCACAGTGGGGAAATTGGAGCATTTATTTTTTCTGATTTTGACTTTAAGGCACATGATAATGAGACAGTGTAAAACGTGACAAAACTAAAGAGCAGAAGAAATATCATTACCCTTTTTAAATCAGATTAAAATGCAGCATCTTGCAGTTCACATAAAATATAAATAAGCACCAACATTATGTATCCAGATAGAAGTATTTTTATAAAAGTGTCCAGACCAGATCTGAGATATATCAAATAAAATTGGGAATTGACAAGATAGACAGGGGAGACTATTTGTTGTAGTCGAGTAATCCAAAACAAGAGGTAATAGTCTTAAACTTAGAGTTAAGACAGTTAGATGTGAGATCAGCAAAAATATCTTCATGCAAAGGCTTGTAACACTGAAGCAATGCCTAGAAGGCTGTAGAGGCAGAATTGATCAGGAAGCTTAAAAGGGACATAGACAGATCCTTAGGAAGCAAGGGTTTTAAGGAATTACCAACAAAAAACAGGGAAATTGGATAAAAGGCAGAGAAATGGGATTAAAACCTGCCATGATCTAATAAATTGTGGGAAACAGGTTCTCTTTTTCTTCCTGTGTGAATCTATACAATCTCTCATCAGGCAGCATTGATTCTGTAGCTGTTGCTCAGCTCCTTACAGTCAAAGATAGTGTTCTCTCCACATTTCCAGACAATTTATTTTGGTCACTAGGTGTCTATCACATGCGGAAACCCATCATCATGCTTAAGGGTATCCAAACTAAGATGAGATTTCCCTGCATCCCAACTACACATGGAAATCCCAGAGATAGATTATTGGTATGGAATGCGCACTCTCTCCCTGGAGGGACATATCCTGCTTACCGGATTCTGGAAAGTATTAGGTGCAGGTTGGCAAGAACCAAGGCTTGGGGTGTGTTGCAAGACTACTGCTAGAGTCTAATCAACTAAAACCGGATAGCTTGCCATTGTCAATGATATCACAAGCTTTCACGCTACTTGTCCAGCTAGGACTACCCTACCCGCTCGCACTTTGGCACAAACTCATTTTGGACCCAAGATTTCTTATTAGAAATGAAGTCTGAATTACTTTAAGAAATAATTAATTCTTATAAAAATTGTTCATTCAATAATAATAAACCTTGCATTTGATATAGCGCCTTATCATGTCTTTGAGACGTCTCAAAGCGCTTCACAGAATATACTGTAAAGTGTAGTGACTGTGTATTCTGTGGGCAAAACGTGACTTTTTTAAAGGAAAAATGCATCAATGTAAGTCAATGTGAACACATCATAACAAACACAGATCTATAGTTAAATGAAATATAGTAAAACAGCCTTGCTCAGATAATAGTACTCTCGCCTCGGAGTCAGAAAGTTGTGAACTCAATACCCACTTTGGGACTTTGAACTCATAGTCCAAGGACATCAAAATACATTTTCTTGATTGAATATTTTGTGATTTATGCCATAAACCTGAAAACACACTTTTGATCACACAAGGCTAATGCAAATGTGCGTGTGTGGGGCACTCACAGGTTGGCCACCACTGGTCTCAGCTGACACAAGGCTAATAACAGTGCTGGGGGTTTGCTGCAGTGTTGGAGGTGCCAACTTTCAGATGTGACATTGAATTCAAGTCCTGTCTATTCATGTGGATGTTACAGATTCCATGGTTTCCCTCGGTGTCCTGGCTTCCAATACTGTATATCACAGGAAAAAATGACTTACAGCTGAGAAACCTCAAAAAGGGGTCCAATTAAAGCGTAACCAGTAAACCTTTTAGATTGATTAGCTGCCACACTATGTACCATGTGAAATGCGTAAAATAGGTACTTACTTTTTGTTTGATCGTTGTTTTTACTCCCTCCCTTTGCCTTGACCTAAAACGACGACAACTTGCACTTATATAGCGCCCTCCACGCAGGGTAGTGTCTCAAGAGCGCTTAAAACACACAAGTTACTATCAGGCATCTGTCAATGCCAGTCCTGATGGCCACCGGAAGCTGCACAAGAGTGTATTTTCCACTTGCTGCTGCTGATGGCTTAGATTGGGAACTGTGTAATTGTGGCTCCGATCCCAACCCATACGTCTCCCTTACACAATGCACTGAAGAGAAATAGGTATATGGATGCTGCATATCGAAGTTCTTTCTTTCTATCCTTTGCATAAAACTACAGGCACACACATAGAAATTTGGTTTTATTAAATTGCAGAAATGTTGGAATTCTTTCCATAAGTCTCTATTGAACAATACATTCAGAATAAGTGATTATATGTCACACTTTCAGTGCAAATTTTTACAACAAAAGCAAATCATTTACCTTATCACTTCAAAATATACACAACTGATGTAGTCAACATCAAAGGACGCAAATTCTAATTTTAGTACAGGTGGTGGAATGATATGGTCCTTACTTAGGTCATCGACAAATGAACCACGAGTAGCACAACACAAAACTTGTGTGCAAGAGGTCTTCCCACTGCTTAGGCTACAAAACAGAAACTCGAGAACTAACATTGCATAAGACAAACTACAGGAAGAAATCGTTTCCACAAGTAAACAGTATACTTTCACATCCAACAAGTTTTAGACAAAGGCCATAGATGCTTTCAACACATTGAACACATTGGCAGTTCTTATGGATTCCAGCACTCTAAAAGAAAAAATCCCAAAACTCATCAAAGCCCTGACATGAAATGGTAATTCAAGGATTGTTTGGTTGGCATTACTGGCACTTTGAGCAGAAAATTGTTCTGTTTAAATTCTACCTTTTTCATGTTTGCTTGTTTGAGTAAGTCAATACTGAAAGTACTGTATTGTCATATTGCCTAATAAACAATTCTTTATGAATTATGGTATTACACCAAGCATCTGCACCTTGTGACTGGATTCCATTAAAGAAATACAAGCACTACCCAACAGAGATAAAATTACAATGTTCACAGGACAACACTCACAATCTCTATATGAAACAGTAGTATCTATTTCTGGAGGCAATACAGAAACTGAATGTTTTTAATGCTGTACCATAATGTAATCAAAAACAACACTGGATGACTTAATCCAAATGAGTTTTAACAAGAAAAGTATTACAAAGGCAAATGAAAAAAATGGCTGATTTGTCCTTTAATAAAAGGATGGAATTTGTAATGAAAATGGTTTAGTTTCTGAAGGAAGAAACGGATAAAGATGGATGAGCTGAATACATTTTCTTCATTCTTACATTCATTTCAAATATTGATAAGGTTGATAGGTTTTAGGCAAATGATGCGATATGTCTGACATACTGCTAACATCCCTTCTGCCAAACAATGGCAAACATGACCAGTGACAAAATGGGGAAGAGTTACTGGCTGTCACGCAATTAATTGTAGTACCTACAAGCTTCAGTGATCCAGAAGACTGACCCCCCAGACTTCATTTAAGTCTGGACTTCCCATCCTCTGAATGATAATGACCACGATATTAATTTGTGGTTTACCATTAACAAAAATTGTGTCAGGATCTTTCATAAATCTATATTAATAAAATCTTCCCATTAGACAGAGCTCCTTATTATACAGAGATGTTTTAAGGGAGTTACAGGAGTTGCAGTGAAGTGTACTGTCTGTGTATCTGTAGGCTATAAACGGAGGATAAATACTCACATCATTGGCTTTAATAGCAGATGTGATTGGGATCATTATTTTGCTATAAAACAAGAATTTTAGAATGTAACCAAGTTAGAAACTGTAGCAACTCAATACCTTTGGGAATACATTTTCCATTAAATTAAAAAAAATAGCTGCTACACAATTGTTCCCCAAGAAATTTAAAATTGAAACCGTTAAAATAAAGTGATCTATTAAAGACTTGTAATAAAATAAATTGGTTCTGACAACTCAAGAGGTACAAATGTTACTATATATTCCAGAATGTGCTAACATTACTGAAAGAAAACTTTAGAATTTAAAAATGTAAACATTTTGGGAGCTAGAAATCGTTTTCATTTCCCAAAGGGATCCAACTTCTATTCCTTGGAAGTGCTGCAATATCAGAAAAATGCTAGAACTCAGTTCCTGCAAAAAAAAACATTAGTTCCTTAGTACACAGTACTTTGTTGCCATGGCTGCTTTAGAAATTATATTTTTAACTTTCTTTCAATAAATGTGTACAGTATATAATGTGAACCACTAACTATGATTAGCTTGGTAAAATCATCTCATAACACTGATTCCAGTACTTTCAGTTCCTTAGTTTGAAATTCTGGTCAGTTATGCAAAGCACCTTTGTTGATATTAATCGCTGATGAGATTGCCCTATTATAATTTTGCATCAGCAAAGGGGTTAGATATAATACCGACTGATATTTCAGCCCACGCATCATTTAAACATGTGTGACAGTGAATCAGATTCCAGTAAGAATTCTACTCAGGGAATGAGCGAAGTTATTCAAAAAATATACAACATAATTCAAACATTTCATTAATCTCTCGTAATCAACAGGTCATACCTCAGTGTAGCCCAGCACTGTATCCACCTTACTTATTAAGTATCTAGATAAGAAATCATTCCTGAAACATAATTTCACACAAGTGGGTTTGTCACATGTGTTTAAGGTCAAAACAAGCCCAAGCTGAGCAAAGGTCTTGAGCCAATTTGAAAGCTTATAAGCAATATATTTTCTATCGTGTAAACAGAGTGCTACGGATCAAAACATTGTTTTGCAGGAACTATCCTCTTTGCATCACTGTAAAACCCAAAGTGTGCCAGTTACTGCCATTATTTTGGTTTCATTTTCCTTTCTCCCAGGGAAGAATGTATACATGTCAGAGAGAGAGATGACTTGTAAGTGACTTCCCAAGCAGGTTAGTACCTGGGCACATCATTTGAGCTGTTGCTCTAAGTTCTGTTATCAGATTTTAATACCACATGTAATCTGTACAGCTACACCAACCTGTGTGTGCTCTTAAGTTTTGAAAAAAGTGTGCAGCCAATTCAAACAGCAATTTAATAGAAACAAGTTGGAGTAGAATTCACTAGATGATTCTGTGATGTGCTGTAAACTATTATTTACACAGCATAGTGTAGGCATTTAGTGAAAAAATTGGCACAGTATTGCAATTTCTGGCAATGAACAATTCTAACCCTTGGGAGGTAAAACACTATTTATAACTTTATAACTGGCCATAACGACATTATGTGATCAATTACAGAGCATGAATTCACTGACTTCCACTGGGGTTTATGTCACAAATGTGTTCATCTTATGTTTAGGCACATTTCACAGACCCTCATCACGATCCTCATCATGTCTGTAGCTGTCCTGTCTGGGTAGGGATTAATTTATAATACATATTACATATTTGTGCAGTATTTCACACAAACCTGATTGGAATGATTAAATATTATCTGACAGCTTTGTCAACACAACAGGATCTCAAATCTCAACATAGGTTGCAAGGTACATGATCTGTGAAGTTTAAAGTTCAATTTACACGGTGCTATTTGCAGAGATTTACTTAGTTAAGCAATTGCAGATCTCCCCTCAGCCACAGGGGAAAGCAAATGGGCGTGAGAAATATAACTCAGGCTTTTTGCTCCACATTACTCTAATGCTGGAAGCAATGTCACCTCACTTCCAGCAGTGTAAACCAGGCAGAAGTTATGATGGTGTCAAATGTTTTCCTGGATTTTTACCACAATAGTGTTCTTATTACAGTAATTTTATAAAAGGAGGGACACATTGGGAGGTGTCAAAATATATTGCTTGTTTGTTGTGTGGTCACTATTGTGTATGTTAGAATGCTTAACCAGCATTGCAAACTTCTTACTCTATCCATGTGCTCACAAAATATCCCTGAATGTACTAATACCCATAAATATTCTTTCACCATAAAACTATTTTCTTTCTAAACACATTTGTCTTTGATAAGGTATAAGAGAGCTATTCACTTTAGATCAACTCTAGTAAGCTCAAATATAAAAATCTGCTCAGAGTTCCACTGTGTTAATTTAAAACATCAGAGGTAAACAAATACTAAGGAACTCTGAATGTCTTTCTCCTGTAAGAAGCTATTGTATCTATAATGCACTCAGAATAATTTTTCAAAGGGTCCTGGTTCTCGATTGAAACTCCTTGAGAACCAAGTAAGCAATGTTCCAACTGAGAATTGACTGAATTTCAACTCGCCAGCCTTGGTCTGCTCACACCAAGAGTGTTTGTTGAGCTAGGATCTTGCGCAGTGAGATGCTCTCTCAGACCCATCAATTGCACAAGTTTATGTAAGTTAAGACTCAACTCAGTAACCCATTTCCAAGTACGATGAAACAATTCGGAATACGGCTTCAAAGTGAGGCATTTGCTGTGATTACAAAAAATGTAAAAGATGCTTTGCCTCTCGATTTATCAATGATATCTTGATAACAAGCCAATTTATCGGAGAAAGCGAAACATTGATTGGTTAAAAAATGACTGATGAGTCAGCACCTGGTTATGAGGTTACTGTTGAACTATGAGGCACTTGATTGCAACATAAGCAACATAAGCGTTTCAAGGGAAATGGTCAAAACAATCTCACAATGCAAACCTTTGCAAAATGTAATAATTACAATGACCGATCCCTTGATTTATGGAGCTAAACTTCTGATGAATTAACTGCAAACAAGTAAGACATATTAAGCTTTGTTCCAGATTAGTACAGGCGTGTTTTCTCAGTTCCCCATTTCATTGGTTGCTATGCTTTCTGAACGTGCCTCCTTGAAACTTCCCGCCTGCTTCTTTTGTTTCTGTTTGCATTTCCTCAACATGCGAGCCTGAAAAACACAAAACCAACAGCTCAATATAGGTGACAAACTGAAACAAGGCAGACATGGACAATCATGGTATACCATACTCGTTTACCTTCCACTTTGGTAACAATTAGCTGTTATACACACTATTTGTTCCGAATTAATAATAAGACAAAAGATTGAAAAGTGCTTAAATTCCTTACAGGATCTTATCTGTAGAAAACTGGCTAGTGCACAGTCAGCACTAACTTTCCCCAGTTGAATGGAGACAAGACAGAGGCTATCCTTCTTGGCTCCAGTCAGTGCCTTCTCGTCTCACACGCTAACAGCAGAAATCTACATAGATGCACCATCCACCTCGTGGAACCAGTGTGAAAGTAATGTGTTGCAATTGTCCTTTAAACTTCACATTTATGCTCTGACCTGCTCAGCTTTCCCCCACCTTCAAACAATGCCTACCTCAGCGACTACACCTCAGACCACCGAGATCTAAATCCACACATTCATCACGTCCAGACTAGATTAGATTACTCTGCTCACTGGACTACCTGCCTCTTCCCTTCACAAGCTCCAGGCTATCCAACGCCCTGCTTGTCGGCCTTTCCAACTCTTCTCTCCACAAGCACCCAGAACTCTGAAGCTCATGTCCTCTCCTGCATCAGGCTCCATGACCCCATCACACCCTCCCTCACCCGGCTTCACTGGCTTCTAATTCCTCAAAGGGTTGAGTTCAAAATCCACCTTCAAAGCCCTCCATGGCCTTGCTCCTCCTTCCTCTCCAACCTGCTAACTCCTTATCAACCTGTCCGCCCCCTCCGCTCAGCAGGCTCCAGCCTGTTCCATGGAACCCCCGCCCCATCATCGGCGGTCGGGCCTTCAGCCTCCATGCCCCCACCCTCTGGAACTCCATCCCACATTCCCTTTGCCTCGCTCCCTCTGTTGCCTCCTTCAAGACCCGATTCAAAACCCTCCTCTTTGACCATGCCTTTGGCCAACCTCCTACCCTTTCTGATCCCAACCCCCCGCCCCCTCCCACTCCGCTCAATCAATCCCTGATTGTTCAGTGCCGTGAGACGTCCTCCTGACGTGAAACCTAACTCCAATTCCCTTCTCTTTTCTGATACCATTTTACATTGGTATAGTATCACTTTAAGATGTTTATCCAGTTTTTCTTGAGTCAGATGCCCGTCAAGTTTCCTTTTAATGTCACACTTCAATCAGCTTCAATAGTCAGCCCGGGTAATATGGTCCACATCCCAATAGCAGTTGTGGCTATGACAACGGCAGCCAGTTTTGCTTCATTCTTTTGTTCAGAAATGTTTCAATCTTGGGTCCTACCTTGAACAATTATCTGTCCTCAGAATTTCATTCAGTGGAGTTGCTCCAGCTGCTGCGTTCTCCCTTTAACCACCGTCACTTATAATGCTTTAGACCATACAATAATAAAAATAATCATAATAATAATAATCATGTACCCTGTGTCTATTTACCTTTGGTCCTGCTGCAGAAATGATCACATGTCCTGGTGGCTGAATCCATGGTTCTCCATCAACTTGCATATGAAGTCGTTTTAACAGCGTGAGACGGAAATATGTCCCCTGTGCAATACGGATTCCAGAGCGCAATCCACCTTGCACCTGTCCCTACAACATTCAGAAGATGCCTCCTTAAATTACTGTCTGCAGAAAATGGATAGTTCATTCTATAAACAGTTAACAAATTAGAACAGATTTTAACCCAAAGGAATACCATACAGAAATATCTAATTTGGACAACAGCTAATCTCTGTTGGTAGCTGTAAGCGATTTAAAAAATATAATAATTTGCATTTATATAGTATCATCCCAGGGCACGAACGATGGTGTAGATAGATGTCGAGCCAAGGTGAAAGGGGAGGAGATCGCAGGCACAGTCAACGAGGCAGAGGGATTGAGACAGGGAGTCAAAGAGGTTCAAGACGTAGTAGCTAAAGGCACGGCTGTCGATGGTGGAGCGGAGGGATTGAGTGATGTGCAGATTCAAACTGACTGAGCAAAGGTGACGGGTATGGGAATGGGGTGTGAGCCGGTTGGAGAAGTAGGGAGGTGCAAAGGCATTACATGATTTGACGGCGAGTTTGAGGATCTTGAAATCTGCAACAGGGAGCCAATGGAGCCTGGCAACGACAGTGTTGATGGAGGTATGGAGTTTAGTACAGGTGAGGATATGGGTGACAGAGTTATCAATGACTTTGAATTTTGAATAAACTTTGAGAATGGTGGAGTTAGGGAGATTGTCAATGAGGGCAATGGTGAAATTGAGGTGAGATTTATGAGGTTTGAGTTCTGTACCATTACAGGGCTAGAATAAAGCCAATCTGTAGGTTCTTTTCTCCTGGGAACAAATCGATGATGAATCCTGAGTTCTCCTGAACAAGGCTGCTGTACAGTACCTGTTTTTGCGATGAGAATCTTTATATCATAATAATCCTTGCATTTATATCAATTATAGCCTCACCCTTATGATAATGGTGTTGAGCAGAGAAGGGATTTATTTTCAATTGTATGTCTACTTATGATTGCACAGAATTGGTTAAAAATCTTATTTTTAGCCTTAATTTGAACCTGTTTTTTCATTTTTTCATTTTTGAATAAGACTGAATGTAACTTTAATAATTTTCTTCAATTCTGCTCAATATGAAATATGGAATTTCAGGGCTCAGCTTTTTTTTCACATATAATCTACAAAGCAGTTAAATATTGGGAATTGAAACAAAACTAAGAAAACAAATGCCTTTTGTCTGTGGAACAGCAGTGTGTACCACTTTATTTCAAAATAAGGAGAATATAGAACAGTAGAACCCGATTATAATGTGTTTCATTATATTATGGAATTTCATATATAATATAATATTATAATATATACACTATGGCGCGCGTATAGTGCATTGGGGTGTGGAACCCGAATCCACATGTGTGCAGCCAGCTAGCTCATTTTAAAATAAAACATGCAAATTTTATAAAGACTGATGGGAATCAGAGCTGGGAGGGAGAGGGAAGAGGTGACTGAAAGCAATTAGATAGGATTTTAGGTGGATTTTGAAAACCAAAAAGGAGTGTCGAGAGGAACTGGGGAAGCAATCTTGAGAGTTGCGGAATTAATAATGAGAGAAAACAATGAATTTGTACCATATGTACTACGCCGGTAACCCCAACGACTTCAAGTATACCATCATCAAGCTTGGATTTATCAAACCGGCTGTCATTATCAGACCCCCACAAGTCTGCTCCAGACCCCCAGCTGTGAACAAGCAGATAAAACCCAATGGTTAACATGCAGTTACTGCCCACCTCCAACGGACTAATGGGGTGGGATCAGGTCCGGCAAGCCAGAGATTCTGGCTAACTGCTAAACCTTACATTAAACAACAACAGCAACTTGTGCCAGGCACGCAGGGTAGTGTCTCAGAGCGCTTAATAGTGACGTAGCCTGATTCCAGAGCCTAAACACTTAAAATAGAAGAAAATAAGTAAAAATCAATCCGACCGAGCATTGAAAATGAATAAAAAAGAATTTTAAATAAATAAATAGACAATAAAGTAACAATAGTTCTCTATTCAACCTGATGCTCATGGTTAAACAAATCAGAGTCAAACTGTGGGCGCCACATAGACTGGTGGGAGTTTAAAAACACGGCGTAGATTTTTAGTGCTCAAAACTGCAGCTTTTTTCCGAACCTGGTCCAGCTAACTTCAAAATCTGGATACGTGGTGGCCAGATGGTGGGGTTTACTGTATATGTACAAATTAATATATATAGCCTTTTAAATAAGAATCAAAAGCAAGCATTCTTAAGCACAATTTACAGAAAAAGCCTCTCATTTATCCCAAACTCACAAGTCTGCACTAACAGAGATTTTGTTTTAGTTAAATATGAGCGACTGCAATGCATGACTGTAATAATGTTCCACCTCAACAACAGGCTTTCAGTAATAATAATCAAATGCTTTAGGTATGTGCACACTTATGTTTTAATTATTATATTTAGTTAAACTTATATACTTCTCCCAGACCTTTCCCCTTTTTTTTCTGTGTAGACTTTGTACAATCTTTATATTATCTTTCCATTCATTTAATCTGTGTATCAATTGTTCCCTCATTACCTGCACTGGAATTCAGATTTGATTAAACTATAAGATTAATGTGGGTTTTAAACCTTCTGATCCAAAGGTAAGAGTGCTAGCAACTGTGTCAGGCTGACAGGAAATAAGGCAACAGTGAGATGAGGAGCCAATTAATTTGAAGTGGGCAAGAGTTCTAACATTTCATTGGATTCAATCCCAATCCAAACACTGACTAAACTGGGAGAACAATGGTTATCACAAGAATATGTTTTAGATCACAATTAGGAACCAAATCACAATGTACTTCATAGCTGTTTGTGGGACATTACTGTGTGCATATTGGCTGCTGTGTTTTTCTCCAATACACAGCCATTACAGTTCACAGTAAAATCATGTGAAGCACTTCTGGACAAAGTGATAAGGCGCTATAACAAATGCAAGTATAATTATTAATAGTTCTGAAATTTAATCATTCTTAACTAGTTCAGAAAAAAAGGACAGTAACATAACAATACTTGCATTTGATATTGCACCTATCATGTCAGGAGAATGTCTCAAAACGCATCACAGGATTTACTGTGAAGTGCAGCAACTGTGTATTTTGTGGGCAAATGCAACAGCTAATTTGTGCACACCAAAGAAACGAATGACCAATTTTATTTGGAAAAATATTGCCCATCACAATTCTTTTCAAAGACTGCCATGAGATCTTTAACAAGAACTTGATTTCATGCAAAGGATGGCATCTCATGCAAAGGATGGCATCTCCAACAATTAGCACTCTTCCAGCACTTATTGGGATGTCAGCCTTGACTGTGAGCTCAAATTCACAATGTGGGGCTTGAACCCATAACCTTCTAACTCAGAGATGTGAGTGCTACCAACTGAGCCAACTGTGAGGTTACATGTCAGAGAAGCTCTCTGGTTTCACACAACGTTCTACCTGGGAATGTTAAGAAAGATCAGGCCTTCAATATTTGGAAGCTCTACTTCACGTTCATCAACTTGTAGCTTCAAATCCTTGCGAAGGCTTCGGGTGTGGCTAATCTTCTGCAGTCCAACTTTGACATATACACCTTTGTTATGAAATCTAAATTTAAAAATAAGCAACATATCAGAAGATATATTTTTAATGGGATAACCTTATGTTCTCTTTTTATATGTAGTGGAATACATTTTTGCTGGACGCTGGTTACCCGTGACCCCGGGTAAATTTAACAAAATGCCCGGCCCCAATTCATTGATTGACAGCTGAGCCGCTGAATGCACTCATTGATTGACAGCCCAGCCATTCACAAGTGGCTCCAGGCTGTCAATCACCTCAGCACCGTTGCTAATTGATCCTGTTTCCATCTAATGGGAACGGCAGGAAGCTCCTCCTCTGCTGGTATTTTGCAGCCAAACAAATGTAAACATACTTCACTGAAATCTGTTGAGGTACAGGATTTTAGCTTGAACTCCTAGGTTAAAATACTTGTGTCCTGTTTGGTTAGTTAACATTGTTTCAAGTGAAACAACATTATTACATATTTTTATACGGTGTTGGTGATGCTCCTCTGCTGGGTGGGAATGGTATTTCAGTTACCCTCGGACACCTCTTATACTGGATAAAACGGCCATGTGTCCGACTTAACCAGCTTCCATTGTATGTAGTGTTATTATAGCATGTTGTTCCAATTTTTTAAATCTAAATTGCAACTTACAACAAAGTGCAAATGGGTAAATATTAACAATGACCAGATAGAGAGGGGGGAAGAGAGTGAAAGAAAATCATAAATAAACAAAGAGAAAAAGAAAAGAATTAGCAGTGAACACTTAAAAGAGAACAATAAAGTCAGAGATAGCAAACTAGAATAAAAATAATAATTATTGTATATGATATAGTGCCTTTCACATCAGGAGGCATCTCAAAGCACTTCACAGGATTTACTGTAAAGTGTATTGATTGTGTGTTTTGAGGGCGTGGTAATAAATATTTCTATATTTACTGCAGTCTCCTTTGATGGTAAAAATAATTTTGTGATTGTTGGATGTGTACTTGGCCTAACAGGAATCACGAGTGTTACCTGAAGATCTGAGCAAAAATAAAGACAAGCGGAACAGTTATATTTATTGTTTTTATCTGGGTGTATAACACCATCTAACATCAAGCACTTGAAGTTTGATACTAAAGGATTTCCATTGCTGAATTTAGAGAAGAATGAGCTAGGGTATTAATTTTCAGCTGTAGAGTAGATGGAATCCAATGTGCTGATTAGTACAATTTTACAACACAAAAAAATGGCGACTGAAAATGGGTTTTACTAAAGGACACATAGATAGGACAGGTTAGTCAATGATTTGCATTCGTCACCTCAGTCCTCTTTAGATTCCAATTTAAATGACATTTCCTTCATGCATTAATGAATAACACAACACCAACTTACATTTATATAGCATTCTTCACACGGGTAGGGTCTCGCAGTGCTAATACACAATTTAATCTATTAACCTTCACTCAGGTAGTGTCTCTCAATATTAACATACAATTTAACCTGTTAACCTCACTATTTATACAGTGCACTTCACAAAGGTAGGGTCTTGCAGTACTAATACACAATTTAACCTATTAATCTCACCTGCTATTGAATTTGTCCGGATCTTCTTCCCTTGCTTGATGGAAGTCCAGACTCAACTCTGCATCAATTCCAACACCACAATAATTGTTCATCTGTACAATCTGCCAAAAAACGAATAACACCCATAGTAAAGTACGCAATCACCCAAAATACTAATAGTGTCTAACCTGGATATGTTGCAACAGCTGCATTTACACAAAAGTTGCCAACGATTAAAACTGAACAATTACCTTATCAAGTGCCTTCCAATTGCAAATATAAGCAGTCATATACTGTAAATTAATCTTAATAAATAGTTTGTTGACTCATTCCTAGATTCCCCACCCTTGACGATTGAAAATAACATCAATTTTCACTGAATATTGAGTGTACTATGTACTAAGAGAAATGGTCAGCTCTCTTAAACTAGCCAAAAGCAAATCTCACACTAAACAACTTTATGGTAAACAAAAATCATTTTGGAATCTCAGTCTTTCTATTACAGAAAAAATAGAACTTAAAAGCAGTAAAATCAAGTTCTTCATATAGAAATTTGTTCTGTATATTCCCTGGTCAACATTGGTAAAAACATAGACAACACTGTTCTTTTAAGATATTCTTATATAATCTGGAGCCAAATAAATACTGCCCTATTACACCGTTCACAGAACATGAAAAAGCAGAAATTAGCTATGAAACAACAAAATTACAGTATTTACCATAATGGTTCTTTGTGGACAACATTTTGTATTTAAGGAATCAAGTGTTTAGTAAGACATGTAGATGGATCCTGTCTCTTTTGTCCAATTCAAACATATTAATATACTAGTACATGACTATTTTGATCATGTCTTGGTAGAGGGTATAATAATATATTACAATCAATAATAATCCTTGGATTTGATAATAGGACCTTATGATGTCGCTGAAACGTCTCAGAGCACATCACAAGATTTTACTATAACAGTGTAGTGACTGTGTATTGTAGGTGGGTGGCTAGGTACCTTTGGTGGCTCGAGCTCTGGAATGCCATTTTCAGGGTCATCGACAGCTTCCTGGGAATCTAACAGGATTGTCCAACGATCAACCAGGATCTCCTCTGCTTCATCGACAGCCAACAGAATGGAATAGGGATCATCTCCACTATAACCGGGACCCCAGCGAAGCACCCTTGCCAAATCATTGCCTAGCAAAGGCATGAGAAAAAACATCAGCAATGCCTCAACTTTAAGGATTGAAGGTTTGCAAAGTCATCATCAGCAGCAATGTCAACAGAAGGGGATGTCTGAAAGGGTTTGAAGTTTGTTGCACTTAGCACTTTGTTTATTTAACAAGAATTTAAGAAAGAATGCAATAAACTAACCTTCATACGCAATGAATTCCTGGAATTTGGGGCGATTCGGTGATTTAATTTAGCTATTCAAATCTATGAAAGAAATTTGACTTTTCCCCTAATTAGCTAATCAATTATTAGAACTAATCCTTTGAGGGTGAAGGGAGTGGTAAACGGGGTTACTCTGAGTCTGAACTGGCCCCAAGATGACATGTTTGCCAATGGAATGTCGGAATTGAGGCAGCCCCGGGTGGCAGTCTCGAGTCCAGTTCCTCAGTCAGGCGGGTAAGCAGCATTCCAGGGCACTGCCGATGACAACAAAGCCCAGCCTGGCGCATCGGCAGGATCTGGAAGGGCAGACCAGTCACTGAGGGCAGGGATTCTTCGCACTCAGTTCGTTAACCTTGCAAGCCATAGCCTTGATGGGTAGGGTGGTCCTAGCTGGATAAGCAGCAGGTAGTTTGCCAGACAGTGCTTTTAGTGGCAAGCTATGTGTTTTATCTGGTTAAACTCTAGCAGTATCCCAACACCCAATTTGGCATACTCAAGCCTTGGCTCTTGCCAACCTGAGCCTAATACTTTCTGGGATTGGATAAACAAGGTGCAGTCCTTCAGGGAGACACTGGATTGCATTCCAGCCACGGAAATTTACATGTGAATGTAATGTGGCTTCTGAAGCAATGTAATGGCTGGTTAGCAGTACACATTTGTGGGTACACTGAACAATTCAACAGTTTGACACTTTAGTACATTTTCTTAGTTGGCAGACCCTCCAGGTTTATCAACAGAATTCGATTGTCCAGTAACAGGCATTCGGGCTCTTTTCTCAATCAAATTTTAGCTGTTTGTTGAAACTGCATAACGTCGCTGAACATTTTGCTCACTTGGTTGATGCTCAATGTCCTAGTGCATGATAAGCCTCTCAAACTGAACTTATATTTATATAGTACCTTTCACGTAAAAGAAACAGTTTACAGTAGCACAGTTTGAGATTTATTAGAAAGAAATAGAATGTTGATAGGAGGAAGACTCAGCAGTTAACAGGCAGAACAGCGAAACACGAAGGTTATTCAAAGCCTTTGGCTTCATTACAAAGTAGGCCAGTTAGACACCAGGACTGAGAAACAAATAGAAGATAAAGTCAAAATTAAATACAATATAATCAGAAGCGAATTACTAGATAATTCCCGAATTTCTAAAGCATGGTGACAGGTAATGGGATTGTAATATGAAGCAAGTACATAATGCATGTTAATGTTCAACTGTGATAGCGTATCCATTGTGTCCATATCCAGGAATCAAAACAATATCAGTCTCTGCTGAGTTAATGAAGACACCATATGACTGAATGAGTGAAATGATCAATATTGTCAATGGTATTCAAGAATGAAAAGGATGCCAATTGCCATTTGAGATCATTAGAGCACTTATTGATTGAGCAAATTCTCCTGATCCTGAATGAGTCTCTCTGGAGAATTAATACTGTGCTTTTGATTTCTCCTTAAGTGCAGAAGATTTTTGTAAACTGTTCAGCTGTAATGTAAGCGGAGAATTTCCATGGAATTATAACAGTATTCATCTTAGAAAACAAAAAGCATGGAATGAGAAGAAGCCATCTAGCCCATCAACCGATAGCATGAACAACCCCCACACAACTCTCTCTACCATGGACTTCATTCATTTCATCCTCAGAGGAAATGTTCTGAAAATGTCTCCTACTACAATGAATAAATCTAAGAAAATTTCACTTCATAAGATCTATCTGAAAGTGTTCTTTGGGCCTCACATGATCAACTTCACTAGAGAGTTGGTGGGACCTTAAAAAATCCATGAAGTACCAACTATTTCTGTAAACCTCAATCAACAGTATTCAGACAGTTCAATAATACCATTCACAACATTGAAAGAAATGGGCAGGATCATGGTTATTCAGTATTTGTAGAAGAGCTGGGTGTTCTCTGCCTTACCTGTTCCCAACGGTAATATAGCCACAGGAGGTTCTGAACAGCTCAGTTTAAATCGGAGTTCTTCCAGTCCACCAAGAACCCAGCCAACCGTTCCGTCTCCTCCACAAACCAGTATTCGGAAATATGGAACATGGCGGAATGTGTGGAGTCTGCAGAAAAAAGTGATGAAAGAAATTTAAACTATTTAAAAATAAAACGAAGTAGTGTGGAATAAGTGGACTAGCAAGTTGCACTGTGACTGCTGGGAACGAGAGAAACAAAAGCTTAAAATGGCTCTGGTGTCTGTGGAAACTAATTGGATATTGAGTTAATAAGTTTTTGTTCCACAGTGTAGTAGAAACCCGGTATGCGGTCACCTCAGTAGTCCAGCCACCACACAATTGTGGGCACATTTTCAGTCTCTTTCACTGACAATATTAAAAGATAGTCTGTCTGCTTCAGTAAACCAGAGATCTCACTATTCAGGACAACGGTCATTGATTGTGGCCACTACAGCTCCCTCTTCTGCTTTGAACCCAGTACAAACACCCTCCTCCACTATTAACCTGTACAGAGTGCGCTAGGCCTCGGGCTTCTCGCGCTGTATCCTCGACGCTCCTACTGTGGGTAGAGTGGGCTCCGGTCATGGATACGCGGCGCGGGGAGTGTTGGGATCGCGGAAGCGGCGCGAGCTGAAAATCTACTTTACCCGGCGCCCGCGGCCTAACCTGAGCTCCTGCGGCCAATTCTTGGTAAGTGCTGTATTCAGAGCACATGGTTTGTGTGAACATTGTTTGTTTTGATTAAGTGACTGTTGACAAGTGTTGTAGACACGCCACCATGGAAGGAGCTGTCCTTGTGTGAGAGAATGGACTTAATCAAAAACAGCAAGCGCAACAGTCACAGTTAGCTGTGATCTATGGCATTGCCAGAACACAATTTGGATGCATTCTCAAAAGGTAAACTGAATACACGACAGCTTTTGTTTTAAATGCGACAATGCCTTTATTTTAATGAGAGTGCAAAGTATGGTTGTTGAATGTTCATCACCTTTTTCTCATTACCAATGCCATTAACATTACATCAGTGACCTGAATCACCCGACCTGGGACGTCCTCCCGACGTAAAAGGCGCTCTATAAATGGAATCTTGTTGTTGTTGTTGTTGTTCAGTAATCAGGTCACCTCACCAAGGTCACTTTTACCCAGTTCTTTGAGTGCCCGGATTAGTGAGGTTCTACTGTACTTTGCTTCCCCATGTAATTAAATACAAAATGGCACTTTACCCAGGCAGAGGTCCTCCATTAGAAAGGTCAAAGACCTGATGTGGGTTCAGCAGTTTTCGGAAGCTGCATAGCAGCTCCCGGCCTTTAAGGCCCCCACTTTTTGGATTCACGAAGAGAAGGAGAGGACAACAGTCCTGCGGCACCTGCTTGTACTAATACAAAAAGTTATTATATTACTAGGGAAGCAAAGCCTTAGTCTACACAGTAAACATAAATCTAGTAACAGTTAAAATATCTGTCAGATACATTCCCATTCAGGTGGCTCTTTTTTTTTTCACGACTCATGCTTTTCGTGTTACATCTCTTTTGTTAAAATATTGAGCTTAGATGCCAGCAAACTCAAATTCAAACTTTTGACATTACTTGCTTTTATCTGCATTCAAAATAGATATAAAGTATGTACCAGCCATAACAAATGTAAGATGAAATGTTTTGGCTACAGCACTTACTCACTGTGATCTGGCACTCATGCCATGGGACAACTTTCTGACCATCTTCTGGGTTTCAGCATAAAGGATGACATTCTTCTATGTTTATCTAGTTAGGCTTTGATAATGATATGCTATTTGTTAACCAACATTTGAAAGTAATGTCAGTTTCACACTTATGGTTATAGTCTATAAATGCAAAATCTCTGCCGAGTCCCATACCACTTAGGGATTTCTAAGCTTCTCATACTGCAGGTATATTATTACCAGAAAATAACAATTGGTGAGACCTTAGTGGGATTAATGGGTGTTCCCCAGTCAATTAAGATTGTCACTTTAATGATCTACATATTAATAGATTGCAGACATTCAAAAAGGAGTGAATAATCTGATACATGGAGCAAATTCTGTAGGAAGCAGTTCGTCTTCTCAAATGAATCCATTTATGTTTATTTTGTATATTTAATAAAAGTTTAATAAAAACTTTAAAAATGCAAATGCACCTACAATAAAAGAGTAATATACAGAGACAGATAGAAATGACAATGCATTTCATGTTAATTCAACAGTACAAAATACCCTTATTTATGATTTATAAAAATGTTTGGATTGATGGAACTCTCAATAATACAATATGCATTTAAAATGCATTGTATATACTGACAGTCTTTTGAATTCAAACAATCTGCCTTCTGAGAAATACCTTCAAAAATTAATGTTAAAGTATCTCAATGTATATAGATTCAGCAATAAAGAAAACTGAGATAGATGCATCAAGATAACTTGATTTCTAAAAGCAGAACTTGACAGTCTGTACCTAAGACAGATATTCTGGCTCTATATCTGGTCCTATACTATCGACTACAACCAAACCCTTACCTGATAACCTCTGGGAAAGCAGCTAGTAAGAAAAAATTGACATTGGCAGAACAAATACGAAACACGTTCAATTTTACAATATTTTTGTATGTTAAACACCACGATATTTGAAGTGAAACAGCTTCAGTAGCTTCAGAATGTTACAAAACGGTAAATTAATCACCCAATAGGTTTCACATAAAGTTCAGCTTCAGTTACCATCTGCACTGGGCACCTCAAAAGTCAGTTAACCCCACAGAGGAGTATTTACTTAAAATATTGAGAAATGATTATTACCCACATAACCACGTGTGCAACAATAAGTTCACGTTTATTCCTTATCTCATTGTTTCTATGATTATTGCTTGTTCTTTAGCCTCACACCATCATCCAGCAATCTCTGGCAGGGAAGGCAGTTTGCAGGCTGGTGGTGCTATGTAAACCAGCACAAGGAGATGCGCAACAGAGAACAGACACTACAGAGGTCTCTGTTCCCACAGCCATGGGACAACTCACTTTCCCAAACATTGCGGGTCAAGTCAACAGAAAAAACTGCAAATACAAAGACTGTAAAATCTCTCCAATAGAAAGATTGTAACCCACTTTGGGAAAACTCCAGAACAATGAGATCAAATGGCTACCTTCATCCAAACAACGGTTTGGATTAGTCATTTGATCTCATCGTTCTGGAATACCCACCTCACATCACAGAGTCAAGCTTTTTTTTTAGATGTTCAGTGTCCCGGCCTTAACCACCCTTTCTAGCAACCTGATCCATTCGTTAATCGGCCTCTGACTAAAGAAAACTTTCAAATGTCTGTCCTGATGTTGTCCTCTCCCCAGAGGTGACCCCAATGTCTTTTGGAAAACACTCCAAGACTCCACTGTCCAACGCTATTTTCTAAGAAAATTACTGCAAACTATCAACTTTGTTTTGGTGAATCACAGACTGTAGAAGGGATCGCCTGGCTGTTGTAACTGAAGTGTAATCTGTGTGCTTGTTAGTGATTGTGAGCGTAGTGCACATGCCATCATTCTGGGAGGGAACTTCATAGTAAAAAACTGGGTGATTGCAGTTTGAAAGGAACTCAGCAATTCACAAGCCAATTCCATATCTCACTCTAGGCTGTGGTGCTCATGAGTTATACAAAAACAGGATACAATAAGATAGGTTGAGAAGGTATGGGCTACCATAAAAGGCTGAATTATTACATTTATTAGATTGCACATACATGGTTATTTCCCCCCCAAATCCCCACCCAGCACAATGTATTGTGTAGAATTCTCATTAAATGTGTCCAATCAGAAGCATTTGCTTGTGAGTCCACTGTATTATTACCCACACCAGGTCCCATCAGTTAATCTAACACTGTTTTGAAAAAAGACAAGTAAACTTTTTTTAATATTAAAAAATGATATCTTCCTTCAGTAATGCCAACTTCTTATAAGAAAGTAGCTGTACAGAGTTTAGTAAAACCTGCATTAAATGGGCAGTGTGTTCCTCTTATCAGCAAGGTCAGTGCAATGAGCTCCTCAGATCTCTTACCCGAATTTCAGGAATTATGATAGATGTGAGTTGTTTATCGTGGATAATAATATCTTTAACTAGCATGTAAATCCTCTCTGCTTCTGTAAAGCACGAGATATCCAGTACGACTGCACCTGTGAACAAACAAACCAACTATAATATTTACCATAAAACTGATTTTGTCTGTAGTAAATCCAGCTACCGGCCAACACCAGATCACTAAACTACCCAGCACCATGGCCACAATAGAGCTCAAACAGCAGCAATAAAAGAACAAAATAGGATTAAGGTGCCCCAAAATAAACAATAATAATAATAATAATCCTTACATTTGATATAGCTCTTTTCAAGTCTTCTAGACGTCTCAAAGCGCTTCACAGAATATACTGTAAAGTGAATTGACTGTATATTTTATGGGTGAAATGCGGCAGCCAATTGCGCACAGCAGTGTCCCACAAACAGTCGTGGATGAGTGATCAAATTATTTTTTTTTTCTTGAGGGATTATTATCAGGCGTGTGGAGTAAGGAAACTTTCCCAAGGTTTCACCCTGCCAGGAATCGAAACCAGGTCTCTCGCTTACGAGGCGAGTGCTCTAAACACTTAGCTATAGAACTCCACAGGATACCTCATAACAAAACCACAGAAACATAAATCTGTGCTCCAATATTGTGGCTTTAGCGAGCAATCTATAATTTTTACTTGAATTCTGCAATTAGATTGCAATTCTGAAATTCACTTTCAATCATCCATGATTCTCTATCCTACTCTTAATATTAATGCAAATAATAGGTTCCCATTTGAATATAATTTAATTTAATGCATCAATATCTCAAATAAAGAAAGTTCTGAACTTCCAACTCCTAATGTTGTTTCTAGTAAAGGGACGTAGAAAATAACTGCAACCCAAATAGGAAGGAGGAATAACTAACACAATGGAATAATGCAAAGAAGTTGATGGAGGTGTGGTCTCAACCTTTCAGTCAAGCATTTCCAGGTGCCAAGATCTGATTCATACATCATTGTGAGTCATTGTGAGTTAGATAACTGCTCTGAAAATAGGTGTGACTATGATCATGCAATGCTGCTTTCAGACACAGCAAATTGCTGCGTTTTGAGTAAAGACTTCTGTCTTCAAAATATGCAGAATTCACAATTAGAAAAGTATTTAAAACCATATTCCCCAAACTATGCATGGGTACCACAAAACACTAATATTTATGATATGCTTTGATTACAAGTAGGTATCACAACTGTATTTTACTCTCCAGTGATGCTGATTGCTTAGAAATGCCTCTAGCTGAAGGAAACATTATTAATCAAACAAGCTATCACGCCAACATACAATCTGGAGCACACTGAACAATCCAACAGTGAGCATTTCTTGGGGATGCTGTACTTTGTACCTAGTACAATGACAAGGAAGTGGGCCATTCAACCAATGTCAGAGGAAGACAAAAAGACCTGAACAAAGAAAAGGGAAAGTCAAGGTGAGTAAGGGAGAAACAGAGCAACAGTTTAAGTTGCTCACTGGCTCACCGGCAAGACTTGGAAGCGCAGTCCAGTCACTGGAGCAGGGACTCTTCCCAACCAGCTCCCGTTAACCCTGCAAGTTAAAGCCGTAACAGGTAGGATGGTCCTTGCTGGACAAGCAGCAGGAAAGCTTGTCAGGCAGTGCTCTCATTGGCAGTTTTAGCAAGTTAGACTTCACAATCCCGGGTACCCCAGCCTTGGCTTGTGCTGACCTGTGTCTGATGATGTTTTTTTGCATATGTCAGACATATGTCTGGCCAACCCCCAAAAATTAAACAGTTGAAGAAAAGCAGCAATTCATCAGTTGCACTGCCCCCAGGAATTTCTCTATTTAAATAAAGAACTTCAATTGACCATTTTTTTCTTGGAATGCATTCCCCCAAACATAACAAAAACTGGGGTGGGGGGGGGAAAATCTTACCTTGAATTGCGTAAACGTAACTTAGAGATATTAGGTTACCTGAGATTAAAAAGAAAAAGAATTACTTCAGCTGATGTAATAGTCTACTTAGTTCTGTTCAAAGACACACATGAAAATTTAGTTTGTTTAGTACTTGTACAATATTTGTACCATTATTCAAATAAAGCCAAGCAGTTATACGTTAATATACCCTCCTGAGGTTAATGGTTTTACTATAATAATCCTTGCATTTGATATAGCACCTTATCACGTTATTGAGACACCTCAAAGCTCTACAGGATATACTGTAAAGTGGATTGATTGTGTATTTTATGGGTGAAGCGCAGCAGCCAGTAGCGCACAGCAATATCTCACGAACAGCTATGGAGTGAGTAACCAATTTTATTTGGGGGATTGTTGGCCAGGACACTGAGAGAAACTCCCTTCTCTTTTCAAATAGTGCAATGGGATCTTTAACATCCACCTGAACAGGCAGGTGGTACCTCGGTTTAACATCTCATCCGAAGGACAGCACCTCTGACAATGCAACACACAATCCCAGCACTGCATTGGAGCGTCACCTTAGACTATGTGATTGCAAGTCCCGACGTGGGGCTTGAACCCACAACTTTCTGAATCAGATACAAGAGTGCTACCACTGCGCCAGGCTGACAAACAAACCATTACCCCTGGAAAGCAATCCGCCAATTGACAATCGGGTCACTACTTACTGCTCGGTAAACAGAGGCACTTAAACTAGGGAAACTTGCCTAATGTTTTGCATGCGAGATGAACGCACTACAGAGACGACACATTTACCTTTTTTTAAATTTACCCTTGATTATTTTATCATACTTTTCTCCTTTCTTGTGCACACAACTTACTTTTGATGTCTAAGTGCTTCTTCAGGAGGGCGAGATAATCTTCCTCAGACAGCTTAGGTGGGAGGCCTATAACCAAAAGTATGATCTGCACCACTGAATTCTTGTTCTTTGTGATATAAAACCGGGTCTGATTCATTTGTCGAATTGATGTCTGCAAAGCAGAGAATGTCATTGCACAATAAGACAATGCTAATCTGTATACAAGGCAAAGAAATATCATCAAAGCATGTTCTAGTTAATCTTAAAAATTACAACTGCTGAAATGGAATCTGCAATCTGGCTTTTATACGTAAAGAGAGTGACAGGTTTGAATTATAATTTGTTGGATACATTGGTCATGATAAACTTCCATTGCTCCTCTTCCACATCCTATTTGTTCAGTGCTCTAAAGCAATAGAAAATATCAATGATTACTCAATGGTTTTAGAGTACACCTCCTTCTTATTGAGTTATCATAACATTAGGTTTTGGAAGGGAATGATGGGTTCATGTGTTTAATTTCTCTTAATGCTAAATAAAAGGTGTTGATTATTCATTCATGCAACACAAATCAATATCACTTAAAAAGGGATTCACTGATTTTTCCTGCTTGCATTAGTCTTGATCCAGGGGATTCTAACCTTCACTGTGAGGAGATGCTGGATTTCCTTGAATCCAAAATCAAGGGAATCCGCTCCACGGTCACTCCCCCTCCAACCTCCACCCACCCCCCTCCCTTCCACACTCCGACTCCGACCCATTCTCCCCTACACACCTTCATACCGTTTCCCCACCCTCTGTCACCAAACTCATCCTATCCCTGAAACCCACCACCTGCTCCCTTGACCCCATTCCCACTCCACTCCTTATCTCTCAGCTCCACCTCCTTGCCCCACATATCACAGACATCATCAACCTGTCCTTCTCTCTCCTCTGGCTCTGTTCCCATTCCCTTAAAAACTGCCATCATCACTCCCACTTTGAAAAATCCCTCCTTTGATGCGTCGCAGCTATCAAGCTACCGGCCCATCTCCAACCTCCCCTTCCTGTCCAAGGTCCTTGAAAGAGTTGTCGCCTCTCAGCTGCGCTCTTTCCTCTCCATCCATTCACTATTCGAACCCCTTCAGTCAGGTTTCCGTGCTGCCCACAGCACAGAAACTGCCCTGGTCAAGGTCACCAATGACATCCTGACCATCTGCGACCAGGGCTCCCTCTGCCTCCTTGTCCTCCTCGACCTATCGGCAGCATTCGATACGGTCGACCACGCTATCCTCCTCCACCGCCTGTCCTCCCACCTCAACCATCAAGGCCCTGTCCTTGAGTGGTTTAGGTCGTATCTCTTCCACCGTCTTCATTTTGTTTCCACAAACGTTTTTTCCTCCGGCCCCCGTACTGTCTCGTGCAGTGTCCCTCAGGGCTCTGTCCTCGGTCCCCTCCTCTTCACCCTCTATATGCTCCCCCTGTGGTGACATCATCCGCAGACATGGGGTTAACTTCCACATGTATGCGGATGACACCCAACTCTACCTTTCCTCCTCTACCCTCAACTCCACGACCACCGATGTCCTGACAGCTGCCTGTCCGACATCGAGTCCTGGACGAGAGACAACTTTCTTCAGCTCAACGTGCGTAAAACTGAGGCCCTCCGCACCTCAGGCGCTGACAGCATCAGCATCCAAGGCTGCGCTGTCCACCTCTCAAAGCCAGTCAGGAACCTCGGCGTTTTGTTCGACCCTGAGCTGTCCTTTCTTCCATCACCTCCAAAACATCGCCAGACTACGGCACTACCTCACCCCTCACGCGGCTGAAACCCTGGTCCACGCCTTTATCACCTCAAGGCTGGACTATGGGAACTCTCTCCTCGCCGGCCTTCCCGGCACCTCCCTCCACACTGCAGGTCATTCAGAACTCTGCAGCTCGTGTACTGTCCCGCACCAGACACCGCGACCACATCACTCCCACCCTCGCTCGCCTCCACTGGCTCCCCATCCCCCAGAGGATCGAATTCAAGATCCTCATCCTCACCTACAAGGCCATTCACGGCCTCGCTCCCTCCTACCTCTCCGACCTACTATCCCCCTACCTACCTGCCCGTACCCTCCGTTCCTCTGGCTCCGGTCTGCTCCACATCCCCCGCCCCAACCGCCCTACCATCGGTGGACGGGCCTTCAGCCTCTCAGCCCCGAGGCTCTGGAACTCTATCCCCCAGTGCCTTCGCCGCCTCCTCCCTTTCCTCCTTCAAGGCCGGTCTCAAGACCTTTCTCTTTGACTGTGCCTTCAGCTCCCCTCTTGACTCTCTACCCCTTCCTCGCCCCCTCCCTTTGCTCCCCTCCCCCTGACCATTTCCCCCCTGCTCGGGTCCTGACCTAACTGTACAGCGCCTTGGGACGTCCTCCCGATGTGAAAGGCGCTCTATAAATGGAATCTTGTTGTTGTTGTTGTTTGGGGAAAATATGCTGTAGATGGGGGGGACTATTGATTTTATATAACGCATCCAGGACCTTGGGGAGGGGATGCAATTGTTCATTGAAATCCACTTTTGAACACAAGCCTAGCACGCACATAATGTGTTTTGGTTTCTGTCACTATCAATATAATCATATTTGTATTTGATATGACACCTTTCATGTCAAGAGCATATCTCAAAACATATCTTAAAGTGAAGTGACTGTGGATTTTGTGGGCAAAAACATGTCTATTAGCCCAACATTGATTCTTAATATTTTGCCTTTGATGAGTTTCTCTCATTGAAATCACAAAGCAAGAGCTTTATGCCATGAAGTTCTAGACATGAATCCGTGTCTCTATTAAAGAGTGCGACTTAGAATAGATGTTTCCAACATGCAACAAAACTAAGGTACAGTTCCAGTGTATTCAATACACCCTTGTAAGAACCACGTAAACTTAATAATGACAGCTCACAAAATATGTATGTGTATGATGATATCTTAAAATGTGTACATTAACTGCACTGTTCCCACCAATTAAAAGGAATTAAATATAGATTTGGATGAATATTTGATTAACAAAAAGACTGAAGAATATATATAGACAGAGGTGACTGCTCTACAGAATTCAATATGATCCACATGTGGGGCAATGGGACAGTTATCTGTAGAACTTCACTGGTCAGTACTAAAACTGATCATATAGGAGAGCATCACTGAGTTTACCTTCAATTAAGACATTTAATGAAGCTTTAGCTCTTTGGAAGATTTACCTGTGATTGTTCACTTCCCTTAAGCTTTCACCTGTGACGTCTACATGTCTGAGAATGGCATAAATGAGATTGTTCCTTTGACTAACATTCATACTAATCACTAAAATGCAGCTCATCAGCTGATTCCATGTTGATACAAATTAAGTTAATTAAGATATACAACTTTCACAAAAAATAAGCTTGTTTAATTTCTCACCTTTCTAATATGTTGAAGTCTACAAAGAAACAGTTCCTGATGATAGAGTGCCACTCGCTGGACTATAAAGACACACAGAAAGGTTAGTTAAATCCCTTTCACTAAATAAGAGCACCACAACATCTGTATTTTTTTGAAAAGATACATTCAGAGATGGAAAGTTACTTTTATTTTACATCCATCGATTTTACAGGTTTTTTAACACATGAAATAAATCTGAAGCTATTGAGCATCTGTTACACCTTTGTTTAAACCATAGAAGCAGAAACGGTGGAAATACATAAAACGTTAATTAACATCTACAAGATAAAAATTGGCTAAAGTTCAGCCCCTCCTGAAAAAAAACACCTTGACCCTTTCAATCCTAACTTTAATTACATCTCCAACCTGCCTTCTCCAAACTACTGGAACCTGTCATCACCTCCCAGTTATCTCCCACCAATTCCACCATTTCCTGTTCAAGACTCTGGTCTGGAATGCTTCCTGCCCACAGCACTGAGAAAGCCCAGTCAAAATTATCATTGATTTTCTTTCAGTCAGGAACCAAGATTTCCTGTTCTTGCTTGAGCTAGTTTGTCGCTTTAACACCATTCATCATTCCTTCTTCACAGTCTTTCCTTCCTGCTCACACTTCTAGACCAACCCTTTTTAAGGCCAAGGTCTCTTCAAATGTCTTCTCTCTTCACTCCCACACTTTACACCAGAAGAACACCAGAAGACCTTCTCCTTTTTGTTATCTACATGCTTCCCTTTATTAAGCGCTTTGAGACGTCCTCCCGACGTGAAAGGTGCTATACAAATGTAATTTTGCTGTTGTTAGCACCATCAAAAAGCATGAGGTTAAGTTCCACATGTATGCCGACGACACCTAAATTTACCCAACTCCAGGACCTCAGATGGTTACACATGTAATTTTGTTGTTGTTTTTGACCGACTTTCACAAACTAAATCGTGGATGAGCCTTAACTTCATTCAACTGGATGTAAAATCAAAGCCATCCTGTTTTACTTGGCTCAAGCCTCCATCTGTTGTTTGTTCCATCTCAAACTCTATTTGGTTCTTGACCAACACTGCATTTTGTCCACATACAGAATATTGTCCACTCAGTTCCTACCTTACCCTCAATATAGCCAAAACTTTCATTCATAACTTTTGTCATCTCTAGACTTGACTTCTTAAAACTCACTTTACAAGATCACAAGACAGGTTCAGATGAAGAAGGTCCTTCAGTCCATTTTATTTAATCTTTCCAGAATACCCACCGCCTTCCGATCATAGCATCAAATTGTTTGTTTTAAATGAGCTCCAGTGTCGTAGCTTTAACAACCCTTTCCAGTTGTTAATTACCCTTTGGTAAATAAATACTTTAGTGTCTGTCCTGAAATTGCCTTTTGCAACTTTAAATCTGTATCTTCTTTTCTGTTGACTCAGTGTATCCAAAAGCATTTTTCTAGATTTACTTTCTGAATCCCATTTAAAATCTTGTATACCTACAAAGTCCCCTCTGAAATTTTTTTTTCGAAACTGAAGAGTCCAAGCTTATTTAATCATTGTTCATAGCGGATTCCTCAAACACTGGGGATCATTAATGATACTCTTGTCTGCTTAACATCTACGAACTGGTCAGTCCCCTTATGTTCTCATAGGCCTCTCTAAACCAACCCCCTCAAGCTCCAGTTTATTCAGAACTCTCCAGGACTCTTCTGCATTTGGCTCTAAATGCTCATCACCCCCATCCTGGTCAGGCTCCACTGTCTCCTGGTTCCACCAAGATCCTCACATAGCAATGGTGGAGTGGAAGAGTGGAGGGTCACAGGCAAGAGAATAGGGCTGGAATAAATTGCATATATAGGGAGGGAGAAAACTGTAAAAGGGTTCAAAAGTCAGGCCACAGGTTGACTAGGGAACTGGGATTGGTGAAGCCTAACATATATGGCATAATGGATATGTGCAACTCAGTGTCGGAAAAATATGGGTTGCAGACTTTTGTTTTTGTTCAATGTTTAAAAATCTAGAAAGTTCTTACCTTCTTTACAACCCATGAATATCTCTATCAATTGGAAATCATCGGGGTTTTCGTCCTGTGAGAATAATTGATTGAAAGGTCATTCTAATGATCAGGATATAAATGTAGGACATCACACTGGTGATTATTAGTGACGTCAAATTGGTATTTCACGATCAGTGTTGTAGACTGGAAACCTGTGCCAAAATTCCATTCCATTGCTGCTGCATGTTCAGAATTGCGTAAGAGAATGGTGGCTGATCATCTAATTTCTACTCCCTACTTGTGGCATTTTGTCCCTGGCATCTCATCTCTAGTGTACATCCAAGACTGATGTTAATTTGTGTGAATCGAGGATATATATTCTATCACTGCCACACAGCGAGGCACCTCAGCATTCTCCTTTTACTGAAGTTAGACTTGATAGTAGGTATGGTTTGCTCACCACAATGAGATAAACACACTCCAATTAAATACAGATAAGAAAGCCTATCATCAGCAGTGTGTAACATTCAACATAATGCTTTTGACGTGCTAAATATTTAAGTCTCCTAAAAAAATTATGGGATCCAATATTGAAATTGCATAATAACAAAATTATAGCTTATACATTTGATGTAGCAGTTATAGCATCAACATGTCTAAAGGTGGTGTAAATTGTATTAGCTGTGTATTGGATAGATTAAAAAGAGAAATGTTAATGGGATCAAGCAAGCAGAGGCATGAAATTCCATCTAGCCTTAGCTTTAAAACAAATGTCCCAAACATTTAAGATGGTGTAGAGTTAAACTCAATCTCAATATGATAGCTGGTTTTACACTGTTCTTAAAGGGACCTGTAGAAAAACCGCTACAAAATTATGACTGAATTTAAGAATTTATCTTAAATTTTAAGATAATGGTCTGGATGCTAATAGTAGGAAATATGTTGGGTTTCAGGCGAGTGGGATTGAAGTTAATAGCATAGGGACCCGTTTTTGTGCTATAACATTTTTAGATTCTTTACCCTGTATATTGCACGTTGGCTAAATATTTCACACAAATTAAACAGCAATATTTCTAATCAGAACTGACCTGCCGTCCTAGCTGGAAAAGAACCTCCTTGATAACTGCTTCAACTATAGTTTCTTTATTTATAGGCATTGAGATATAGGCCACGCCAAGTCTGAAACAAAAACACAGCATTCATGTAATTACATAGTTTTACTTCATTGGGATGAAATGGGGTATGTGACAATAATAATAATCATGAGCACAGGAAGTGTGGTAATGTTTTGTGGATGTGTCCAGCAGGATTGGGGTGAAATTGATTCAATGTGATTCTTCCACAAATCAAATACGTTTCGCCTGGCAATAGTTTTTTTTCTACCCAAATTCACTAGCCCGAGCAATTCTCAAAAATTAAGATGACTGGAGAGGCAACCTGTAGACGAGAAACTAGCTGGTTCTAATCTAGTTTCAACTGAGGCTGGTGTGGTGGTAAAATTGGCCTAGGTCAGTGGTGGCCAACCTCTTTGGTTGGTCAACAAAATAATCGTACAAAATAACAAACTAGCATAGATTTATGCCACAAAGCTCAGTAGATAGAACACTCTGGGTTCAATTTCAAGAGACTTGGGTTTGATTCCCAGCAGAACGAAATGTTGGGCAAGTTTCCTTACTCCACACCTTCTGTTTATCTAGCAGTAAGTAGGAACCCGGTTATTAGTTGATTGGTGGATCGCTTTTCTGGGGGTAACAATTTCTTCAAAAAAAAAATTGGTTACTCAATCCACGAGTGCTTGTGGGACACTGTTGTGTGCAATTAGCTGCTGCGTTTCCTTCACATGAGGGAGAGGGTAATAGAAGGGTTTGGGACAGAGTAAGGAGCAGGATTTCCTTGTTGTACTTCTTTTTCTAAAGAAAATTAGAAAAATAATTGGAAATGTTTTTAAAAAAATTTAAATCAGATATCAACTGGTTTTTGCCATTCCAAAACATTTTCCTCTTCCATTTAGTAATTCAATTTATCTGCAAGAAACAACTTACTTTAGCCATCCAGGGTAAATCTTTACTATTTCAGAATCCTTTGGTTTTGCTCGTAGTACCCAAGCTTCAGGTATGGTGTCACGAAACACCAAATGGTTCCTGGTTTCTCCAGGATTTCCATTACTGTTGATAATATCCTCACTAGAGGAAACATCCTGGGTGAAGGTTTGGAGCTCATAATCCTGAGGATCATCAGGAATATAGTATGCTCGCAGAGCAGCATCCTATTAAAGGAACAGCAAAAGTGAGATTAGAGTCAAATTCACCCACAAATTTGTAACCTACCCACAACACTTTCGATTTACTCACATCATCCTTGGTGCTAATATTGATACCTTCCTCTTCATATGAAAGATTAGATCAAAGATTTGTTTGTGCAAATATATTTTCTAAAGAAATTAATCAATTCATTCTACATTGCTTACATTTTAAAAAAAAGACATCAGGCGATGGCACAGATAAGCAAGATGAACTTCCCCCACCACACCCAACATGAACTTGGTGAGCTATCAGAAACCACTGAACCAACAATTAAAACTCATCTGTTTTCTCTACATGATGGCATGACATGTGGCTTGAACTCAAAACTTTCCTACCCAGAGACACGAGTACTACAACTGCATCCCAGACAAAATGGGCATTAGAACGTACGAATTTGCTAAGCAAACGAAAACCAAGGTCCATCTAGTTCACCTTCCACCATCCTGGCAGTCGTTTGACATGTTGTGCCCCAAACTATACACTCTATCCTGAGATATGATTTTCTAAAGGAAATCTATCTAATTTGTTCTCGAAACAAACAACACTTTCTGTTTCCACTGTCTCCCTGGGGAGCCTGTTCCATACGTTTACTACTCGTTCATTGAAGTAGTGCTTCTGCAGATTAATTCTGAATTTACCCCCATTTCAATTGCAGGCCATGTCCTCTAGTTCTACTGTTCAGTACAAGATAAAAGAGTTTATCATGGTCTACGTTATCTATTCCTTTCAGAATCTTAAAGGCTATAATCATATCTCCCCTCAATCTTCTCTTCTCCAGCGTGAACATGCCCGGTTTATCTAATCTAGTCCAGTCCCTCCATCCCCTCAGTCATTTGTTGCCCTCCTATGTATCCCTCAATTGCTACAATATCCTTTTCATGTTGCAGTGACCAGAACTGCACACAGTATTCCAAGTGTGGTCGCACCAGTGATTTGTAAAATGGCAAGATTACTCCACTATTTCAGCTCAATATTGTCCTGTTAATACAACCTAGCATCTAGGTTGCTTAACAAACACTGTTGCTATAGCTTCATTTTATTATCAATCAGGACCCCCTGGTCCCTTTCATTTTCCATACAGATTATTTTCTTTCCATTTAAATAACAGTTCCTTCCTGGAATTTTTGGCCCCATTTGAAGCACTTTGCATTTTATCTGCCATCAATCTGCCCAATTCCCAAGAATGTTCAAGTTCTCCTGTAATCTATCCTGTTCATCTTTACAACCTACAACCTTCATTAGCTTTGTGTCATCTGCAAATTTAGCCACTGTGGTTGTGACTCATGACTTCAGATCATTTATGATGATGTTAAATAAAAGAGATCCCAACACAGTCCCCTGTGGAACTCCACTGGTATCATTCTCCCAGCCCGATGACATTCCCTGTACCACCACCCTCTGGGTCTATCAGTCAGCCAATTACGTATCCATTGTAAGATACTTCCTCTGATTCCCACTTTCTTTGTTTTCAGTACCAGCCTTTCAAGAGAAACTGTACCAAAGGCCTTACTGAAATCCAGATATACAACATGCACAGCCTTATCCATATCAAGCTCCTTTGTCACACAATCAAAGAAAACCAGTAAACTAACTTGGAAGGATCTCCTCTTAATAAATTCCTATTGGCTATCTTTTTATTACTGTCCAGATGCTCCAGACAGGGTACAGTGTTGGCAGTGCAGACAGGATGCAGAAGTCAGTCCAGACAGGGTACAGAAGTCAGTCCAGACAGGGTACAGAGGTCAGATTAAATGGTTTAGGTGATCACATTTAAATCAGTTTTTATTCTTTAGCATCAGACATTGTAGCAGACGTTTCTACTGGTTTAGGACTAAATTAACTCACCACTGCTTCTTCTATTTTTGAAATGCGAGGTACAGTAATAAGACGAAATAGGTTCCGCTTGATGGTGTCATTCCCATCAAAAAGTTTCAAGGATTGCTTACCTGAGAAGAGTGAACACTTATAATAGTAAAACAGAACAATAAACTTCAAAACATTTCAAAGCATTTCCAGATTATTATTGTCAAGCGAAGTCACTGTGACAAACACAACAGGCAAATTACCCACAATGTCTCACTAAGAGGTCTCGGGACAATGTAGATCCTACTTAAAAAAACGGAGTTTCTTTCAGTATCCCAACCAACATCATTCTCCAAATAAAATCCATTAGTCAGTTCAGAGCTGTTTATGGGTCTTTTCTATGGGCAACCTGGTTACACTGTTCTACAAACTACCAAGCAGAGGAATTTGTGAAGCATTTTGATGTTATAGGTGATATATCAAATGCATAAATTGTTACTGATACTTCTTTCAGCATCTTTGAAACTGAGGTGAATGTATATTAATGCCCAAGGTATAAGGAATATAATTGGTGAGATAGAGGTACAAATTGTTTGGAGGGGTTTGATATTGTAACATCATCAAAGGCGTGTATTAATCGGGCAGAGGTGATATGCTTGGCAACAGAATATTGAAATCAATTCAATCCTCTGTGGCAATTCACTTCAACAAAAACCTTTGTCTATATATCACCCTTCACATAGGATAACATCTCGGGGCACTTTGTATGGGGTTGGACGTCAAGCAATGAAGAAGGGGGAAGAGGAGTTGACCATAGACAGACTAAGAGGTAGCTTATTTAGGTGAAATTTATTAAATTTATTAAACAGATAAGAAAGGGGCAGGGGGCATCGGGCCTGAGTTAATTGAGCAGTGGTTGCAGAAGGAGGTTTCTTTCTTAAAGGAGGACCTTTAAACTCAATCTACAGGGAGGTAGGGCGCCAGGGAAGCCTGTAAAGCACTGGGTGGTGGGTTTGTAGAGTTTGGTGCCTGTGAGGATATGGGTGACGGAGTTTGAATCAGTGAGGAACGAACGTGTTAGAAAAATCTAGCCTGGAGGTAACAAAGGCATGAATGAGGGTTTCAATAGGATTTGATATAAAATAGGTGGAGGTAGGTAATGTAGTGAAGTCCAGTTCCTGAGCTAGACAGGTTTGCAGTATTCCAAAGCACAGATGACAGTTCAGCCAGCCTGGCTTATTGGCAAGGCTTGTTCCGAGGAGCTGGCATCTGTTAGCCCTGCCAAGCGAAAGCCTTAAAAGATATGGTGGACCTAGCTGGACAAGCAGAAGGAAGCTTGCCAGACAGTGCTGTCAGTGGTAACCTCTGTGGATTTAGCTGCTTAAATTATATTAGTACTCCAATGCACACTTTTGCCAACCTACTCTTTGGAATTAGGTTAACAGGAGAGAGTGCCCGTCCAGGGAGAGAGTGCACAATCCAATCCAGAAAAATGGGAAATTTCCATGTTTAGATGGTATACATATATGGTTGTCCCAGTCTGATTTGGATATTCTTACACATGGAGATGAGTTTCCGCATGTCACACACCCAACTGACCTTCCAAAAATTCCAACCTGCTAATAACTTGTCTAGTTATTTCACTAAACTAGGAGGGAGAGTAAACACCGAGGATGACATTAAAAAAATGCAACGAGATATAGATAGGCTAGGTGAGTGGGCAAATAGGTGGCAGATGAAGTATAATGTAGGGAAGTGTGAGGTCATTTACCTAGGTGGCAAAAACAGTAGAGCAGATTATTTTTTAGAAGGGGAGAGACTAGATAGTGTTACAGTTCAGAGGGACTTGGGTGTCCCTATACACCAGTCACAAAAAGTTAGTTTGCAGATGCAGCAAGCAATTAAGAAGACTAACGGTATGTTGGCATTTGTTACAAAAGAGTTAGAATATAGGAGTAGGGAAGTCTTGCTGCAACTGTATAGGGCCCTGGTGAGACCGCACCTAGAGTATTGTGTGCAGTTTTGGTCTCCTTATTTAAGAAAGGATGTACTCGCCTTGGAGGGGGTACAACGTAGATTCACTAGGTTGGTACCTGGGATGAGGGGGATGAGTTATGAGGATAGGTTGAGCAATTTAGGCCTATATTCTCTAGAATATGGAAGAATAAGAGGTGATCTTATAGAAAGATTATTAAGGGGCACGACAGAATAGATAGTGGGAGACTTTTTCCTCTGGTTGGAGAAACTATAACCTGGGGTCACAGTCTTAAAATTAAGGGTAAGCCCTTTCGCACTGAGTTGAGGAAAAACTTCTTCACTCAGAGGGTAGGAAATTTATGGAATTCTCCACCCCAAAAGGCTGTAGATGCTCAGTCCTTGAACATATGCAAGACTGAGATTGATAGATTTCTTGTGGATAAAGGGATTAAGGGATATGGGGATAAGGCGGGTAGGTGGAGTTAGAATAGATCAGCCATGATCTGATTGAATGGCGGGGCAGGCTCGAGGGGCCGAATGGCCTACTCCTGCTCCTAATTCTTATGTTCTTATGGTTAGTCTTATTAATCTTATTTCAAAGGATCGATATACATATCAAGATAAGCAATTGAACAGAGCAACAGTGACAGGTAACGTAGCTCACCAGAATCAGGTGTAGAAGCAGACTGTGAGTCTTTATATGAACCACTGTTTCCACTATCAACATCATTGTCTTCATCATCATCTATGGAAGAAAAATCAAATTCAACTACAGTTGGTAACACAGCCCAGGGGGCACTGGGAACCACTTTGTATAGCCCTCCAGCAGGCATAACACTTCATTCAAAGCTCTGAGTTATTCCTGGAGCCTAAGTTGGGAGAATGAGAGATAAAGAGACATGTAGGGTAATAGTTCGACGTGCTTTACAGATATAGAGTGGAGACCCAAGAAAGGCGGGAAATGAGTGAGGCAGAAGAGAGTTAACTGAAAACTGAAACAGAGAAGACAGGTGAGAAGTGAAGACATCTTGGGAGGGAATTTAAGAAATTGGGGCACTGTCACTGAAAGTTCAGTTGCTAATGGGGGAGGATAGTAAGGGTGGGGGGTAGATAGCAGACCTGAGTTTGTGACGTGGAGATAGTTAGTTGGACAGTGAGCCTGGAGGTATTTGCTGGGGTAAGGTGTCGCAAGGCCATGGAGCCACTTGAAAATAAGGACGAGGATTTTGAAGTCAATCTGCTAGGAAACAGGAAGCCAGTTGAATTTAGCAAGGGTGGGGGTGAAGGGCCCATTGAGCTTAGTGTGTAAGAGCATAGTGTGTAAGAGCTTAGTGTGTAAGAGCTGTAGAATTCTGGACAATCTGAAGAGTTTAGCTCGGATGGCCATCAAGGAGAGCATTAGACAAATCAAATTTGAAGTGATAGGGGCATAAATGAGGGCATTGGATGTGTTGGGGCAAGTGAAGAACAGTTGTAGGAGGTATTCATATACATGAGCATGCCAGCTTTCATAGACAGGCATGCTCGATACATATCAGCATGTAATAATATAGCCACTTCTCTTGCTTACTTTGTTCCATCTGAGGACTCTCTGATATACGAAAACAATGGAACTTGCTGAAATTGCGAGAACACAAACGCACACAGTTTGAAGGAAGAATCATGGACCTTAGTCTTCCAAAGTTACATTCTGATGTGAGAAAACTGTAGCAGCCAACATGAACCTGTGGGATGAGAGATTGAAATGAAAAATTCATTCAACTTTTCAAACAAAATCAGCCCAAAAGTAAGCTAACACTGATAAATTGTTGTCAAAGACTTTACTGCTTGCTCTTGATGCCAGCTGTAATTTGTGCTACCTAAACCACCATTAGTGAAGCAGCTTAATAGTCACAAGAAAGTAAATAGCCAAGGCTCCTAAATTTAAACAAGACAAGCTAAGAGAGGACATTGTGAGCTTGTGACATTGTGAGAATATACTCAACCATGCTTGTGACACTGGCTAGTAGGAGGCACATTTAAAAACTCCCAGACAAGTTACTGATTCCAGCTGTGTCACTCTGGTGAAGCACCAAGTGAAGACAGGTTCGTCCCACAAGATCAAGGGCACAAAACAATTCAGGGCAAAGTTCTCAGGCCCACACATGTCCAAGTCCTAGCACCTCACCATGGGGAACTGCAGTTCTCATGCATTATTTATACATGTACACAAACCTCCTCCATGGGCCACATGAACACACAGTATGGTAGCTTGTGAATTTGATATGCTACCCTTAAAATTAAAAGAGGGGAAACCCAAACCAATCTTGACATCTAGGATATTACTAATTGAGATCAGTTCAATCAGCAAACTAAAAATCAAAACAGGTTCCCTTTTCTCTGCACGGTTCAGTTCAATTGCCATGAGTTATCAGCAATTCTCAGTGCATTTAGTGGATACTAACACACAGTTCTGATCTAATTAAAGTGGATACTTACCATAGTCCCGCACCATTCACATCGCATGCCTGACAGGACTTCCGAGGAACCACATGATTTCTTACAGACTTCACAACGTGCATTAGAAGAGAGATTCCCTTCCCTCCAGTGATGGTGATACAAATCCTGTCAAAGAATTGGGATGAATGAATGAAAATGTGCTGCTCTCATACATACAAGCCCTTCAACCTCCACATGGTAAAGCCTGCTAATCAGATATGGTACCTTTAAAATTAAACATGACTTTGACTGACAACCTATTACAGCATCACTGATGCCGTAAAAGTATGTGAAAGTATCACTTCTTGATCAGATGAACACTTATGCATCAATAGCTGGTTGAGTCTCAATACAATAATAAAAATCTTTATAATAATAATCCTTGCATTTGCTAAAGCGCCTTATCACGTCTTCGCGATGTCTCAAAGCGCTTCACAGAATATACTGTAAAATGAATTGATTGTTTATTTTGTGGGCTGAAACGCGACAGCCAATTGCTCACAGCAGTGTCATACAAACAATCGTGGATTGAGTGACTACATTTTTTTTTGAAGGGATTATTAATCCCGGAAAAGTGATCCACTAATCGCCTAACAACCAGGTTCCTCTTTACTGCTAGGGAAACAGAGGCATGTTGAGTAAGGAAACTTGCTCAACGTTTCACTATGCCGGGAATCGAACCCAGGTCTCTCGCTTGCAAGGCGAGTGCTCTAACCACTGAGCTACAGGACTCCACAATGAATATATAAACTTTGCAATAATTCACCAATATAAGACAAGTATATACTGTGTAAAATGTGCCAATAATTAAAACAAACCAATTTTTGAAAACTCCCCAAATGATTTTTGTGCTGACAGAGGTCAAATTGCCAGAATGCAGCTGGAGTGATAGCATACCCTACTGAAGCTTTAGTGAGCTGTGGTACAAAAGATTTGTGTTGTTATTGTCATGGACATTGTCATCTTTGAGTGAAAAAGAGGAAGATTTACAGTATGAACAGGAAGGATGAATCAAATGGTCTTCATACCCCTCTTGTGATCTTATACCTTATTTGGCAATGAACACAATTGGTACAAGACTGTTGTTTCACTAGTAACAGATAGGTGCAATCTGATTGTGTCGGATACTCACATGATCGTGCTGTCCATCTTGATGACATCGTCGGCAGTCACTGCATGCGAATGCTGCACAGTCTGTGTGGACGTGTAACTCACACACTAGTGAAAGCAAAAAAAATGAGGAGATGTCCTTAGAAATGCACAATTATGACAATGAATAAAGTTCTGAGCAATATTAGTAGTTGCATACAAAAGTGGAAATTAAAATGAATTTTGTAAGCACACTTCAGGCTGTTTATACACATGGTCAGATAAGACTCTTAGAACTACAACTCTTTTCCTCTCTTCTCATACCACAAAAACCTGTTGCTTCCCATTTCAACTTACGAAGTTGCCTTATTGGTGTTTATAGTGTATTACAACAAGCTTCACTTCAAGATTTTATCCACACAATGAACAAAAACAGAACAAATACCTTTTGTTTTTACAGCATTTCCCAGGGGACAAACATCTATTTGTCTAAGGTCAATTATGTAACCAGATGATTTGGTGGTGGCTTGCTCATTCATTTAAATACTGCTTCAACATACTCGAAGTTTTCCTGTTGTTGCACAGTTGGGCAGTTTTCTTGCACGCAACTCGATAGCACCGAATTGACCATCTGCTTTCTCTCCTCTCTGAATTCACTCTATTTCACTATATTCACTATATACAACAACAACAACAAAATTCCATTTATAGAGCGCCTTTCACGTCGGGAGGACGTCCGCTGTAATATACAATTGTGTAATATACAATTACACATTCAACAAGACAACAAGGATAGGTCTGCATATGAAAGGAGAGTTATGCAGTAAGCGAACTGAATACACAAAATTCCAGTGCATCTGTTTGGAAGCAGTATTATAATCAGACCTTGGGAACCATGCAAGTTTTGTCCTTTATTCAATGAACATGTGGTTGGTGTTCAAATCATGCATCATTGGTTTGTTTAAATTAGTTTCAAAACATAAAATGAATAGTGCCCAGAGCAACATCATATTTCTGTGCTTAGCTAACAGTGCAATATTGGAGAGGTGCGTAAGGAGCAAATGGTAGCAATCGGTTTGCATTGGGTCCTGCGATGTGCTGTTGTAATAGTTGTTATGGATTGTGATCCAAGAGCCCCGAGCTATAACTTAGGTTGCTTTTATTGGCAACATCGCTTGAGAATTTTTATTGAGAATTGCAAAGAATACATACTCTCTCCAAACTTCATAGAATGCAAAGCATGTCAATAATTATAATTGCATTCAATATAGCACCTTTGAAACGTCTCAAAGAGCTTTAGAAATTTTCTGCGAAGTAGAGTGATTATTTGTAGACTAACATTGAGTTACAGATGGTACAGAATGCAGGTACATACATTGGATGTATAAGATATCTGTGCATTAGGGGGATGACTGGTAGACTTGCAGACATTTTGGGTGGTTTGGAACCGAGGAGGAGGTGGTATCATTAAAAGTGCTTCTCATCCACTCATTTGTTAAACCTGATCTCATCACTCTGTGTGTAAATTGTCAGAAAATACAAAAAATAAAAGGCAACAATTGCCAGTGAAAAATGTGACTTGACTTATAACAGCACAGCGATAATGAAAACAAGATGAATAATGCCTTTCATTGACTTTGGAAGCTCAGGCACAATTTGTTAAACATTAGTGTAGCACCTTTACTACACCAACCAAATTATATTCAACTTCAGTGGTTTCACAGATGTGCGGGTGGCGGGGTTTGACACCAAAATAAACTCCTTCACATTATTGAGCTATCCAACATAGACCATCCAGAGAACGGTTTAACTGTAACCAGGCACCTCCTGATCCACTTACAAATTCAATTCAACTATTCAAACATTACTTCCAGCACAGAGTCCAACGCTGTTTTAGTGCATCATCTTTATTTTTGCTTTTTCCGTGATGATTTCGGTTTTCAGGTTGAGTAATGAGAGTTAGGGACACAATTTCACTTTTTTGCTGGTCACACACACAGCAAAGCTCTCTATGAATTGGCCCAACAAAGAACAATTCTAAGCTAACAACAGAAGTTGCTGGGAACACTCGACCTGGAACCTTAACTCACTTTCCTCTCTCCATAGATGCTGCCTGACCTGCTAAGTGTTCTCAGCAACTTCCGTTTTTATTTCAGACTAGCCGTTGCAGCTTCACTTGCAACCAAAGGACCCAATATGGAATATACATTGACACACAGACAGACACACAGACAGACATTTCATCTTTATCTAAACTCATCTGGGAGGACTCCTTTTGGGAGGATTCAGTGGGAGGACTTGGCGCTTTAAAAATGTAATTTTGTTGTTTTTGCTGCGACTTAGCTTATGTTTTTAATTTTGTTCCCACCGCTTGGCTACTTGCGTGGTCTATGACGCAGGATGCCACAACGCCACGGTCAGCCGGCGCGGCCACCAGGTGTAACTGCAGTGCAGGGGTACATATCTACGTGCTCTGTAACGCACGATGCCACAGCGTCACTTTGATTCCGCGGTCACCAGGTATAATTGCAGCGAAAACTGAATATAATTCATGAACGATAGGAGATACCCAAAAACAAGACCTTTCTGATGAGGTATAAATCATATTTCTACGTCAATCGGTTATTGAGATCCATCTTGAAACTCAGACAGACATTGTAATTTTATTAGTATAGAAGATTATTAGTATAGGTATATAGAAGATAAATTTCCAGGATCTGCAGTATCTTGCCTTTTTTTTAAAGAACAATTCTATTTCTGTTGCCATGAGTTAAGTTTACTCTGCTTTGCAAAACTTGTCTTGTTTGCCAAATTTGTTTTATTTAAACCGTAAACTGTTTTATTTTATGCAGATATGTACGTTTTCATGTGGATGTTTAAAGCGGTGATGTTAAATAAACCTTTTGACACATTAGAGGATTTAGTAGAGAAGATGGTGTGAGGACTGAAGTAGCATTTGTGATAGCTGTGATGGTGAGTTGTGCATCGAGAGGAAGTGGTCTTAAAACAGCACAAAAGCTGAGGCTATTTCTTCCCAAGGGCAGCAAAATAATAGTAAATAATTAGTGGACTCTTGACCTTTCAGTATAAAGTTTATAAAGACTTTTTTTTCCCAGTTTTATGTATTTTTAACAAATTACTCAGCACCCATTCACCATTCTCTGTGTTAGTTTAATTTCTCACTGACACTTGGGTAGCCCTTTAATGCTCAACTTTTAGAGAAGTTTCAGGGGTACTGTGATAATGACATTCGATATATCCCATAGTGTTACAGGCACATCCATCGATTCATCCCAATTTATGTGGTATAACTATCCATGCCTCTCAATTAAAGTGCAGCATTGGCAGAGGTTAGTTTCTAGCCTTCCTGCTTGGCCACAAGAAGCACACAGTGCAGGTACACTGGGCAAAAGAGAGTAAATCATGGACTTTTACAAAGACTGTACAAACACAAGGGGTGTGGGGTTGGGGACAGGTTAGCAAACACAGCACATGCTTGCATTTTGAATTAATTCTGCAATAGTCTCATTTCTACCTATTATGTATCAAGTAATTACTGTCAGCGATCAACACTTTTTACTGTAGTCAAATCAATTTTATACTATTTCTCAGTAGTCCAGTTATTGAGCCAAGTACATATAATAATAATAATCCTTGCATTTGACATAGCGCTTTTCATGTCGGGAGGACGTCCCAAAGCGCTTCACAGAACACACTGTAAAGTGAATTGACTGTATATTTGTGGGCAAACGCGGCAGCCAATTGCGCACAGCAATGTCCCACAAGCAGTCGTAAATTGAAAATTTATTATTGTTTTTGGTTTTGGAGGGATTATTATTAGGTGTGTGAAGTAAGGAAACTTGCCCAAGGTTTCGCCCTCTGCCTGGAATTGAACTCAGGTCTCTCGCTTGCAAAGCGAGTGCTCTAACCACTGAGCTACAGGACTCCACAATCCTCTATATAATCCTCCAGGCTCTGCTGATGACACACACGCCAGCCGGGTTCATTGGCAACAGGACTTTGGTATAACAGGCACTTGGGGTAAGGATTCTAGCTGAACAAGCAGCAGGAAGTTTGTCAGACAATTTTCACAATGGCAAAGCTATTCAGCGTTAGCTGGTTAACTTCCATCAGTACACTCTACAGTCCCCAAATTTTGGATCTTTGCAACTTGCACCCAATAGATTCTGGGATTAGGAAAGGAGAGTGCATTCCATCCCAGGCAAAGGGAAATTTTCTTACACATGTGGAATTCTCAGTCTAGTTTGGATTCTCTTAAGCATGGTGTTGGACTTCCATGTGTGCCAGAGACCAAACAAAAGTAGATGCGTACTATTTCTGGGATGAATACGTGAACTGGAAAGCAGAAATGTTTTTATACAGATATGAACATTTTCGATGGATGCAATAATCGTTGCTGCTAACTTGATATAATATCATTAGAGAGGATTTATTCTGCTTCAGGTAACTTTTTTTTCCTATTATAGATACTTTTCTTCATAAAGTGCAAATAATGAAACATCATCTCTGTACCTTCACATCGTATTGCAGGAGTCTCCTCCAGTTGTTTTCTACATACAGAGCAAAATTTCTTTTTGTACTGTCCAGGAGCCCCAAGACAGTGCGCCACAGGAATCTAGAAAAATAAACGTATCCCACTTTATAACCACGTTAGTTGCTGGTGTACTACATTTAAATTGATGGATTACTGACACCAACTTTGCTGGTGTATTACATTTAAATTGATGGATTACTGACACCAACTTTGCTGGTGTACTACATTTAAACTGATGGATTATTGACACCAACTTTGCTGGTGTACTACATTTAAATTGATGGATTACTGACACCAACTTTGAAACTACAGATCTCTTTATTGATAAATAGTGTAGCAGTCATCTGGTACAGGTCATTAATGTTCCAATAGTAGAATGAAGAAATCTGACCTTGCATCCCACAGAGTCACAGACTAACTCTAACCTCAGCTGGTCTATTATGCCCAATGAGTAGAGGCAATGTGCTTCCTGATAAGGAGTATCTTAAAACAAAATATCAATGGGCTAGTCAATCCAGGTCCCTCTCAACTTCCAGCAGCTAGATGTAGAATAGGATTATTGACACCAGGAAGCAAGGCGTCCCACCTCCTGGTTAGGAGAATGTGGTGTGCCAAGTAGGACTCATGTACAGAAAGCTGTAGATGCACAATAGATAGCAATGTGTAAAAGGGAAATTATAATAAATACTAATAATTCTTGTATTTGGTATGGCCTTTCACTTTGTATTTGGTAAAGCGCTTCTCAGGATCTACTGTGAATGGGAGTGACAGTAGTACATTTACAGGTTAACCCGGCAGCCCAATTGCTCACAGCAATGTCCCACAAACAGCCTTGAAACAAATCACCAATTTTATTTGGGGATTATGGACCAGGACACCACTCTTTTTAAGAAGTGCCACGGAATCTTTAACATCTACTTGAACAGGCAGACAGGACCTTGCTTTAACATCTCATCCAAGGTACGGCATCTCCGACAATGCAATGTACTCTCAATACTACATTTGCGTCTCAGCTTAGACGAGGTGACCTCAATCTAGCTCTTGCAGGTTGACAGCAGTATAAATATGGCTGTTACTATTCAGTCCAGTTTCTAGGCCAGAGGGATCTCATAGGATTAATTGACACTAAGACTGAGAACTAGATTTTCCTTAGCCATAGTTATCTTTATTCCCACATCAATTTGCTTTTTATTTTGGAATCCCTTTAAGTAATACTGGAAATAAGACCACAGTATTTAACAATTTGGTCCAAGTTTTAAGTAAACACATTTCTGAAGAGGGTATCAAAACCAGTCTGAATACTCTCTAATTCCTGGGGACAGGAATTCTTCCCATTCGGCTACTCTTAACCCTGCAAGCCCTAATGCGTAATCTTAGCTGGAAAAACAGTACAAGGCTTTACACGCAGTGCTCCAAATGGCAAGCTGTGCAGTTTTAGCTGGTTAACGTTCAGCTGTACCCCTACTCACTCTAGCCTTGGCTCTTACCAACCTCCTCCTAACACTCTCTGGAATTAGGTACGTAGGATGCGACCCTCCAGAGAGAGTGTAAGCATTCCAATTCAGATTTAGGGACATTTCCATGTGTAGATATTTAGAACTCTCAGTCCAATTTGAATACTCTTAAGCACAGGAGAGGTTCCTGTATGTATCCGATAGATGCTAGGCTGACCAAAAAGATTTGAAATAAATAGCACTATTACCACCGAAACCCAAATAACGTCATTTCTTGATTTTGCTGAAATGCTAGGGCAGGGATCTTGTTATTAATGTCTCGTTAAAATAAAAAAGGAAAAGGCAACAAAAGATATTTAAAAGTATATTTTTAAATCTTCCCCTCTCTTTCTCCTTCTCTAGTGTGTATAAACAACTACTGCTGGTGAAATCCCTGGTGATACAGACTTGGAATGAACACCACACAGCTGAAACCACACGAGTTCTCAAGAAGTCAAGTTAATGACAGTATCCCTGCCAAAGTTATTTCAGTTCCTCCATTAACGCCCACACATACCACTCACTCACTGTTCAAATTCATTTTGTGTTTTTTAAAAAAAGTGACAACAAAATGGATGTCACCTTTAAAATAAATGCCTGAGTTGTATTCTTGAAATGGTTCTTAAGGTGAATCTCTCCTCCTGTTTGGTACCACCACCCACATAATATTACAGTAGACAAGATATTGCCTTAGACAAGCATATTGATATTTTAGATCAAAGGCAAATTCCATGAAATGTGTTTTGGAGACAGAAATGTGGTTAGCCTCTTCTGAGTTCTCTAGGTGATCTGACGAATGAATTAGTTCTGTTTAAACATCAACGGAAATCTTTGTAAAGATAAGATCAGAATAGTGTTAAAATAAGTATTTGAGCAACAATTATCATGCTTTATAATACTCCAGACCAATGCATCGTTACAACTACACACTGGTACAAAAGAAAAACATTTAACGTTTTATATTTCCTAGATTTAAAGCAACATTGTGAAATACAACTGTAACTTCACACTAATCCTGAACCACTGTGATAAAGACAGTATAAACATCACACTTTACTTTTGTGTTCAACATGCATCAGGTCCATAAGGTTTTAAACCATGGTTATGTCATTGCACAAGCTCTGAAGTCACTTACCTTCACAAGGTTTGCTGCCAGACACGAGCAAAGAGTCCTCACATTCTTCAAACATTTTTCGTGAGACATGAAGTTACATACTGAAAAGATAAAGATAGGATGTTGTTATAATCTAACAAGATTTACCTTATATAAAATATATCCTGTGTTCATTTAAATTATATGTAGTTAACCATATGTTACCACAAAAAATGCTGTATATGGACCCAATTGTACTAAATGTATACACCTGATAATAAAGAAAAGAATGAAATCCATAAATTGCATCATTTTGTATTGACTTTTCTGCTGTGAATGTAGTTTGCAGATATTTACATCTCTTTCTGAAGTAAGGGAGCTTCTCTCAGTCATTCTTCTCTATATTCTCTCTCACACTCTCCCGAGTCAGGTTGTGGGTTCAAGCGACACATTAGGACTTTGAGCTCACAGTCCAGGCTGACACTCCAATTAAGTGCTGGGGTGGGATGCTGAATTGTCAGAGATGATGTCCTTCAGATTAGACCTTAAACCTGTTCAGGTGCATGTTAAAGATCCCATGGCATTATTTGAAACATGAAGGAAGCTTCTCCTGGTGTTCTGGTCCACAATTCCCACATTAAAATTGGTCATTCACTTAATGGCGGGTTGTGGGACACTGCTGTGTGCAAATTGGTTGCTGTGTTTGACCTCAAAATACAGTGATTACACTTAACAGTAAATCCCATGAAGCGTTTTAAGATGTTACCCCCAATATGAAAGGTACCATATCAACTGCAAGGATTATTATTCAAGTCCACATTAATAATTATTTTAGATGGTTTGCTGTAAGACCCAACTTGGAAGTTATTTTCCAAAGTTCAAAATTGACTTAAAAAAACTCACAGTTCACATACTTGGTGAAGTCTGATCTAAAATTATAGTTTTTACAAAATAAAGAATATGGCAAATCAAGAGAACCAAACCTTACAGATAACTGGAGTTTCGTATTAATTGAGTGACTAGATTTTTACTGAATATTCAAGGAGCAAGGCGAGCTTGCCTATCTTGGGACACTGCTACAAGTCAGTTCCCGTTGAACCTTGGCTGGCCCAACTCAGAGATAATGAGACTAATCATAATCCCCTCATCAACTAGTTATGTGACTCTGCATTCACCAAGCATAAAAGTCCATCATTAAAAAAAAGGTTATGATGCAATGCAAACATTTAGTGCAATGTGCAGCCAGCAACAGGGAGAGGAATGAAATCTCCCCTGGGAATTAGAGGTTCTTCATGAAATATGCAACCCACTGGCTTCCTGTTCTGATAAAAAGGAAGGCACTTCAGACAGCTATTTCTGATTTTGCCTGTGAAATATTCAGCTCTGTTAGGTACAGAACAGAGAACTAGTGGAATGATTGGTGAACAACTGGAGGATCCATTAACAATGAACCATTCCAATACAATTACTTAAGTAATCTGGTCTTAGCCAAACTTATCTCCCAAGATCCCTGGTTAAAGGTCAAAATGTTAAATGTGAGGATCACATTAGTTTTTATCCTTTGAAGATATATTTACAAAAACAGGGCAAACAGTTGCAATTGTTAACAGCATATGCTATAAATTGTATACTTTTGATGCACAACCTGAAAAAGTGAAAACAAATAAAAGCCACCTTTCAGATTATACGGCGCAGTTAATCCTACGTTACTTTATGGGATGCAAAAATCGGCTCAAAATGGGATGCAAAAAACAAACATCAGGTCAACCTCCCATTATGGGTATCCCCAAACTCACCTTGCTGCACTACTGGTTCTGGGGATTGGTGCACCATGCAATAGGCACACAGATGCAATAGGCGCTATATTAAATACATGGATTGTTATTATCTCTATACCCCAGTGCCTTCGCCGCTTCCTCCCTTTCCTTCTTCAAGGCCGGTCTCAAGACCTTTCTCTTTGACCGTGCCTTCAGCTCCCCTCTCAACTCTCTACCCCCTCCTCGTCCCTCCTTCCTCCCTCACCGACCATTTCCCCCTGCTCGGGTCCTGACACAACTGTACAGCGCCTTGGGACGTCCTCCCGACGTGAAAGGTGCTCTATAAATGGAATCTTGTTGTTGTTGTTGTATTAAGGTGGGTTTCAGAATGCACACCTCGATTTGCATTGAGTGTCCATTCTTCGCTTTTGGATTGGATTCATTGCCTTCATCTGTGAAGCTTTTCTTTTTACAAAAATGCAATTAATGTACTGAGAGTATCTGGCTTGACTTACAGAGTATTTTTATGTTTCAAAATTATTTTCGCCGATCTTTTGGGGGGAGTCAAATTGATTCCCCAATTCTTCTTTTCTGACAATAAAGATCCTGAAACTCACTCCAAATAACAATTATTATTTTGTGGATAAAAACTAATTTTAATGTTCCTTGTTTAGAAGATTATACATTAATTTAATTGATGCCAAGGAGCCTCTCACAATAGAACTTCACCTTTACTTCACCTAGAGGACATGAAGAAGGTCCCTGGTATATACTATTGCAGTAGTCCCACAGTTAGTATACATTTTCAATCCCAATGCAATGACCTTTTCAAACTTTGTTAATCTTTATTCACCTTAGTAATTCATTGACTCATAAATCATCTGTACTGTGAGCCTCAGTGATGAACATCAAGATGGGAATTAGGACAATCTCTATCAAAACATTGATTCCCTGAGCATTAAAGTTACACTAAAAACGCAATTGTCGAGGAGCCATTCACGTTCGTATCTGTGCTTAATCCCTAGAGTATAAGTCAGCTGCTTCGATTTTTCAGAATGCAGGATCTCCTGAGTAAAGGTGGGTGTTTTAGAGTTATTGCAAACACGTTTATAGCTTGTTGCCCGGCTTGTTGCCAGGCAGCCTCTTGACACCCAGCACCACCCCCTCTCTGTCCCCCTCACCCTCCCCATCATCTACTCCTACCACCATCCCCATCCTACATTCCTTCCTCCCCATCTCTCCTTCCTTCCTCTCACCCACCATCACCTCCATGAAACCCACCACCTGCTGCCTCAACCCCCTCCCCACCAACTTGCTGGTCACCCAGCTCCCCCTCCTCTGCCCACTACTGGCTGACGTCATCAACCAGTCCCTCTCCTCCAGATCAGTCCCTGCCCTCCTCAAAACTGCTGTCATCACCCTCCTCCTCAAAAAATCTTCCCTAGATTGCTCAAACCCCAGCCATACCATTCTATTTCTAACCTGCCCTTCCTCGCAAAAGTCCTAGAACGCATTGTTGCCAATCAACTTCGCGCACACCTCTCTTCCCACTCCCTCTTCGAACCCCTCCAGTCCGGTTTCCGCCCACAGTACAGAGACTGCACTTGTGAAAGTCACAAACGACATACTCTCTATCTGTGACCAGGGCTCTCTCTGCCTCCTTGTCCTCCTGGATCACGGCAGTCAGTGCACACTGACACTTGTGGCTATTGACTGTCACTGAGCGCGGGCTCCTCTCCCTCACACTCACTCACTCACTCACACACACACTCACTCACTCACTCACTCACTCACTCACACTCACACACACTCACTCACACTCTCACACACACTCACTCACACTCACACACACACTCACTCACTCACTCACTCACACACACACTCTCACACTCACACACACTCACTCACACACACTCACACACACACACTCACACACACACTCTCACACTCACACACACTCACTCACACACACACACTCACACTCACAGGTTGTGCAGAGGGTTTGGTTCAGCGCTGACAGTCGGTCAGTGGGTGAGTGCCTGTGGTGTGTGTGTGTTGTTGTTGTTGTTGTTGGTGGTGGTGGTGGTGTATGTGAGCCCCGCGGTACCCGCACTGGGGGTTGAGCAGTGCCCTGAGCGGAGCGGAGCGGTCACCGGCAGCGATGTCCCGCGCACTGATCCTCGCTCTCCTCCTCGTTGCTGCGGGTAAGTTTATTCCTTTATTTCGCGTTACCGTCCCCGGTCCCCTCCCCGTCCCCGGTCCCCTCCCCGGCCCCGGCCCCGGCCGAGCCCTCTCGGCTGTCTTAATAACGTCGGTAACCCAGCAAACAGACCCGGGGAGGGAGGGCACTGGGCTGGCAGCGAGGAGCCGGGCAGGGCAGGGGCAGGGCAGGGGCAGGGCAGGGCAGGACAGGGGCAGGGGCAGGGCAGGGCAGGACAGGGGCAGGGCAGGGCAGGGCAGGGCAGGGCAGGGCAGGCAGGGCAGGGCAGGGCAGGGCAGGGCAGGGCAGGGGCAGGGCAGGCAGGGCAGGGCAGGGGCAGGGCAGGGCAGGGCAGGGGCAGGGCAGGGCAGGGGCAGGGCAGGGGCAGGGGCAGGGGCAGGGCTGAGCTGCTGAGTGTGGGCACCTTTCCCTGTGAGTGGCAGTGCTGCTGAGGCTGGCACAGACTGGCACAGGCTGGCAGAGCCCGGCACAGGCTGGCACAGGCTGGCAGAGCCCGGCACAGGCTGGCACAGGCCGGCAGAGCCCGACACAGACTGGCACAGGCCGGCACAGGCCGGCACAGGCCGGCACAGACCGGCACAGGCTGGCAGCTCGGGCTTGTGCTCTGTGCCTGTGGTATCAAACCCAGAGCAGTTCTGCCGAGTCACCATCAAGGTCCAGTCAGAGGATCATAGAATCTTACAGCACAGAAGGAGGCCATTCGGCCCACGGTACCTGGGCCGGCTCTGGAAGAGCTACCGACTCGTCCCACCGCCCCGGCGCTTGTCCCGTAATAAGAAAAAACGATGACCCTGGTGTATGGAGGACCTGCTTATGATCTTGCAAATGAGGATGGTGGGAAGCTATGGATGAACACAGAAGTGTCTGGGCTGATATTTCAGTGCAGCGCTGGGAAGGTGCCACATTGTCAGAGGCGCCATCCTACAGAGAGGTTAAACCGAGGTCCCATCTGCATGTCACTATTCAAAAGGGAAGGAAGTCCAACAATCCCTCAGATAAAATTGCTCGCTCACCTCACGTCTGTTTGTGGGACATCACTGTGTGCACATTGGATGCCGGGTTACAAATACAGTCACTTTATCTCACGGAAAACTCGGTGTGAAGTGCTTTGAGAGGTATTGACCTGATAAAGCACTGTATCAAATGCAAGGAATTTTATTTTGGTTTGAAATTCTTCCAAAACCTTGTGGAGACCACGCAGCTGAGCCATTCCATGCCTGCTGCGCTGTGTGCTGAGTTAGCTTTGGTCAGCACGACAATTGGCCTCAAGGCTGCTATGCTCGGGAGGGGGAATGCCCTGTTTTCCCTAAACATCCATTGACCCCCAACTGGAAAGTGCATGAGAAGTGCTTTGAGACGTCTCAAAGACGTGATAGGGCACTATATCAAATGCAAGTATTATTATTACTACGTGTGTGGATGGGAATCGGCTGTGATGCCCCCGATCAAGCAGTCTGCTGACATATAATGCCCAGATTATATGATATTCTGAGAATGGGCAGTATGGGCAGGTACTGAAGGTCACTCTCTCCTCATAGAATCATACGACAGAAAAGAGTTATTGACGTCAGGAGAGGAGAAAAAGATAAAATTGGCAGGTGACCGCAGATTTACACTCAGCAAATCTACAGTCAACTGGAACTGATGTCTACTATTAGCTGGTTTATTCAAACATAACATCTTGTAAGTTATTTCTGATAGTCAGGAGAGGCTGCTACAGCTGGAGGTAACACAGTGGTGCTTTTAGACCCTAACGTGAAGCAGCCGTTATCAAAGCTAATCAAACACAGTGGGAAGTTGCAAATTAGAGGAATTCAATAAAGTAAATTATTCTATACTTATGTACCTCGAAGGCAGGAAACTAATATATTTTGCTATTGAGGATCTCAGGCTTTCACGGCTACAGAGATGTAACTACAAGCCCCCGCTCCCCCCCACCAGCAAAGATTTATCATTATTATTAAGGGAATGCTACCAAATGCTTCCCACTCACTCTCCGTAAGGATCCCTCGCAGCCTGCCTCTGTTATGTCAGTCAAATCCGCAACTCTGCCAGTGGACAGAAATTGGAGCTTCTCGTGGGGATGGAAGAAAAGTTCATTGCACATGTATGCATCACTCCGTGTGAATGTGCTGTGTAAATCAGTGTGAACTGGAGCAAGACAGAGCTTCATTGTAGGCAGATTAGGTAAGAATAATTGTACTTATAGAATTGACTTGGTTCCCATTGAAACTCGGCCATTTTGCCCCCTTCCCCCAGCACTTACTGAACCTTGGATAAACTCACCCTCTCCTCCCTGGTACATTTTGGTCCTCTTCCCCCCTCTCCTGCTCCCCCCCTCCAGTATCAGTAAACTCAACCTAGCTCCCCTTCCCAACCCTGAGCCTAAACAATTATTAGTTGTTATGAAGATCCCAGTGCTGGCCCTGGAGTGTATTCAGTTTTTACAATTGTTTTTCAGCAGTTGGCTGTATATCTGATTATCACAGATATAACAGACTAAGCAACACCCAACAGTCATTTCTGAATGAGCTGAGTCATTTTATGGTCTCTGCACACACACACTTGATATTTAACAGTCTTTTTTTTGCTTTATGAAGTTATACTCCTCCCTCCATAGGCTGCAGATCATCCAGAACTCTGCAGCCTATGTCTTCTCCGCGACCATATCACCCCCATCCTTGCCCAACTCCACCGGCTTCCCATTACACAGAGGATACAGTTCAAGATCCTGGACCTCACCTTCAAAGCCCTCCATGGTCTTGCTCCCCCCTACCTCTCTGACCTCCTAACCCTTTACTGTTCGCTCCCTCCGCTCAGCCGGCTCCGGTCTGCTTCACGTCCGCCGCCTTGCTTGCCGCACTATTGGCGGGCATGCCTTCCGCCACTCTGCCCCCACCCTCTGGAACTCCATCACACAGTCCCTCTGCCTCGCCACCTTCAAGACCCATCTCAAGACCCTCCTCTTTGACCTCCTTTTGATCTCCCTACTTCCCCCCTGCCCTCCACCCTCCCCCACCTTGACCCCCAGCTCGGGTCCGTAACTCTGTCTGTCCAGAGCCTTGGAACATCCTCCCGACGTGAAAGGCGCTATACAAATGTAATTTTGTTATTGTTGTTGTCGGGTGGTATTTTTCTTTTTCTGTGGTAATGTCGAGGTTGTTAATATGCTAGATACTGGGTGCAATTACAATTGAACATTATACAGTTGAATATTTCATCTAGCCCACATGTGAATTACTCATTCTACTGCATGATTGCCACAGATGGAGTTGGTTAGTATCCTTCATGTGGAATAATATCTATGTGAAATGAATATATTAAAATGCTGAGTACTTTCATGTGGAAGCTTTATCAGCCTTTTAGAACATTTTGTTTCCATTTTAGATTCTTGTTAATAGGATTGACATGAAGGGAAATGGCATTTTTGTGGAGGGAATAATTGATATCTAGCCTGAATCATTGACTGTCTGGCTTATTGAAAGATACATACTGTATTTTTAGCATTAGGCCTGAAGTAACAAGCTGCAAAAAGAGAATGTGCATCTCACTTTTGTTTAACCTTCGACAGCTGTCCCTGATAGGAAAGGAAATATACTTCCTTCTTACAGCAGCAACTTGCATTTATGTAGCACACTTCACATAGTAGAGTGCTCCGAGATGCTGCTCTGTGTGAAGGGTGTTTATAAATTCAAGTTGTTGTCGTTGGTGTTTTTGTATAACGTGTTAAAGCACTTCACAAAGATGCAGTTGGAGCTGAGGAAAGGCGGGGGGGGGGGAGGTTTCTGTAGAATTGGAGAAGTAGATTTTGGATACTCTTGTTAGGGTGGGGGGGGGGGGATAATGGGCAGGAGATGTACAGCAGGTCCAAATCAGCCAAGCAGATGGGGGAGCAGAAGGGGTGGGGGGGAAGGGGAAGATCACAGAGACAAGGCACTGTAAGGGTGTGAGGGTGTATAGATGAGGGCAATACTCAAAATACTATTCTATTATATTCTTGTAGCACTCAAATTGCTAGTAATTTGCAGAAACTAACTCCATGACTCATGATTAACGTATACTGTTTTCTGAAATTTAACAGTGGTGTGCAGGGTATACGGGAGCCTAGAAATAAGTGTTTAGCTGACATTGGTACCAAACCCATTACGCTGAATATAAACCTTGAGGACCAGTAAAATATGTACCATGTATTCCAATGTACAACAACAACTCACACTTAGATAGTGCCCTCCACACAGGGTAGCGTCTCAAGAGCGCTTAACAGTGGCGGAGCCTGACTCTGAGCCGGGGGAGGGGGAGGTGGCCATGAGCACGGTTGAAAAGGAAGGTTTTCAGGCAGAACTTGAAAAAGGGGAGAGAGGGGGCAAGGCGGAGGGATTGAGGGAGAGTGTTCCAGAGTTTTGGGGTGTAGTGGCTGAAAGCGCGACCTCCAATGGTGGGGCAGAGGGTGCGAGGGATGAGCAGAAGACTGATGCCAGTTGAGAGGAGGCACTGGGTGGTGGATTGGGGAGTGATGAGGTCGGAGAGGTTGTGAGGTGCCAGAGAGTGAAGGGGTTTGAACACGGGTGTGAGGATCTTGAAGTTGATCCGTTCGGTGATGGAGAACCAGTGGAGCCTGACCAGAACTGGTGAGATATTGGTATGGAGTTTAGTCCGGGTAACCTAAATGTAACCTAAAATCAGTCGAGCTTTGCCTTGTGGCTCAGCGGGTTTATCCGGTGCTAAGCCAAAGCGATTCATTTTTGATTAAGCATCACTGACCTGAAACGTTAACTAATTTTCCTCTCTCCATGGAAGCTGCCTGACCTGCTGGGTGTTCCCAGCGACTTCTGTACTTATATTCATTTTTAATTGTTGACCTCAAATTAGCTGATCCCAGCCAGGCGACTATGATTCGGATAGGAAAATCAACTGCAAAATTTCAGTCATCTCTCCTTTCCATGTGCAAGTGTAGATATGCCAGGCAAGGAAAGAATGGGATAG